TTATATATTATATTTTTAATAATATTATTTCACTTAAAATATTAAATGAAAAAAAATTAATGTATACCAAATTTATTAAATTATTATTAGCTTGGAAGGAAAAGAGTGTAAGTGGTTTGACTGGTAGACATGAGTCGATGTTTTCAAGAGTGCACGAGTGTGTCTTTTCCTAAGAAAACTTGTTCAAATTAATTTAATTAAATAATTAATTAAGATGTCCAAATTCCAAGTCTCCACGTTTCTTCTTCTTCTCCAAACACACATTATCCTGCTTTGAGTTTGACCACTAAACAATAAACAATATTTTAAAATAATTTTAAAATAAATTCTTAATATATATATAATGAATGAATGAATGGAACAAAAATGAAGAACCTAATAGTTACTGTTGGTGCCTAAATATATGGTAAAAAGGAACACATCAAACAGTAAGTTCCTATCAATCAATCAATCAATCTTGTCGAATCTTTTTGACAAGATGTTTTCTATGCATTCTCAGAACAAACATTTATTATATTTTTTTAAAAACTATATTTCCAGTGAATTAGGGTTTTGGTAAAAAAAAAACCCTAAAATAAATGTTAGAAAAAAAAAATTGAAAAAAAAGGTAACAGAAGCTCCACTGAATTAAAACAGTATATGTGATGATGATAATTCATGGGAGTGAATTTAAGCAAATGCAATTGGTGCAAGAAAGAGGTGGGAATTGAAATTATTTATATATATATATATATAATAAATTGAGATAAAAAAAATATACGTGGTCAAATAAATAAAATAAAATAGGTAGTGAGGTGACGAATGGCAATGGGAAAAGTAAGAAGAGAAATGATTAGAAGTCACTGTAGATAGAGAAATATGATGTCATATTGGTATGTGTATATTATGTATGTCTGCTACTTTTATTTAATTTGCTGCTCTAAGTCTCTGCTGCATGACAGTGATTTCTGCATCATTCTCATCCATATTATATCTCTCTTTTTTTAATTTTACACCCACTACCCTACCCTACCCCACCCCACCCCACCCCAGCTACATAATCTCATCTCTGTGTTTGCTGTATATATATATATATAAAAGAAGTGGTTTTGAAGAAGAAGAAGATGATTGGCCATAAAACAGACACTACGTATTGACATGGCCAATTTGTAATTTGGATGAACTGTAATTTACATAATATATATAGTTTTTGAACATTTAAATATTAAACAGAAAAAAAATTGTTAAATTATGTTATAAATTTGATAAATCACACTATCCTGGTTATAGCTAATCAACATTGTGTTAAATTAATTTTATTTGTATATTATCATATGTTATGTTGTACGGACTATTATTATGTGCTATTGATTTATTATTATTCGCTTATTAGTGCTAATCAAATGTTGATTAATATCCGGTATATTTTATATTATTAATAAAAATACGATTGTAGATTCCTATATCATTAAAAATAAAATAAAATGAATAATGCATGAACAAATTGTTTACATTCAACACATGAAAGATGTGATCTTCATAAAAATTCTCGAAAAAACTATCTTGATGCGTCGATCACAACTTCCCAAAATTTTTTCAAAGTATAATTCCTTTTCGTAACTTCTTATCCAATCCGATCCAAAAATTTTCACTATCAACCGATTCGAAAACAAATTTCTTTCTACGTGACTTAATTAGAGTTGCATTTTACGCAACAATTTCGACTGTTCCTAAGCATGCTTTTTAAGACAAAGAAGAAGATCAAATCTTAAATATTTCAACAAAGTTGGGCAATATGCATGTTGTCCTAAGTCCTCAGGTTTATGAGCTATACCTTTCACAAACAGTCCATTTTTAGAATTAATCCAAAACAACAAATGGAACAATAAGATACTCAAAACAAAAATCATCATCATCATCATCTCTTTAAATTTTTTCGACCTAAAAAAAAAAAAAAGAAAAGTAAAGTGGGAAGATGCCAGAACCCAATAATAGTCACGAACACACAGTGAATTTTTCATGTACAATGAATTGTGCCACTGATCAGCAAATATTGCTATTTCTGTCCCCTTTCCAGAAATGTAATGGTCCAGCTTCCATTCATTTCTAATAATATCTATCTAATGCCATTAATATCTGCAAGAAAACATACATACATATATACATATATATATATATATAAGTTTTTGTTTCTTACACTAATTAAAAACTATGAACAAGCAACCAGACAACATTGATTAATCCCAAACTTCCCCTACACATTCTTGAAAATTAGGGCAAATTATAGGCAAGATTCAATTCCAAAGGTTAGTTTTTGATAGAGTGAGAAAGTAAAGAATATCCATCAATGGGGAATTGGGATAGATAGATAGATAGATAGATAGATAGATAGAGAGAGAGGGAGAGAGAGAGAGAGAGAGAGACTGACATCATGTAGGAAACATGTGAGGGGTGTAAGAGAGAAGACAGAGGTGTTTTATCTGGACAGAAGATTCCATTACATTACATGACATACAGGCTACTTTGAGGATCGATAATCTGATCTGATCTGATCGGAGAAAAAAATGGGGGGGCAGTAACTGCAGCTAGAGTCGACAAATTATACAAACAGAACCTCCACTCCACTCCCCTATTAGCTTTTCAATTCAAAGGGTTTTTCATCATTGTGTGTTTGTTTTGTGGGGCTGATTAACAGACCACTCACTAGCCAAGGTGTGGCGTCGAAAACGACGCCTCCCGAGGCCATGTCGTCGTGGTAAAGCGACAGCCACCACCACCGGCGAATGAACTCCATCGGAAACATTATGGGATCATCCATAATTATACGTAAATAAATATGTTTTGATTGATTGAACAATGTCTTAGGGTTTTCTATATAAAATATCATATCTAATAATTTGAAACAAATATAGGGTATGTGTTGCACAAGTGTTGCATATATAGCAAAATAAAATTATGTTGAGTAAAGGTAATTAATTTATTGATTAAGCTGAAAGGTAAAATCTGTGACAAATTATACCAGTACGTATATAGTTTTTAATTTGATGAGGTGAAAAAATGACAAAAAAAAATTAAATAAGTAAATAAATTAATTAATTAACAGCCAAAAAAAAGAGGCAAGGTGGTATTCCCGTGAGGTGTCAGATATTTCTGAAAATGAAACACCTGCTGCAGTCTGCATATGCTGTAGAATTTCTCACTCACTCTTAAATTTATTAATGATTATTAATTATTTATTTATTTATTTTGTTGTTTAGATTATAAATGGGCCATTTTCTTTACATTTGGGCCTATTTATCCTATTGGGTCGTGAGGTTAGTATGATACCATAAATTACATGATGGTACATTTTCCATCAATAGTGGAAGATCCTATTGGATTGTGAGGTTAGTTATTAGTTGGTACGTTTTTTTAGCAATATTTTTTTAAATTTTATTATTTGGACTCTGCGTTTTTTTAAAAAATATATATATTTTTTTTCACAAAATATCTAATCAAATATTATTTTCATACCAAATTCAAACCAATTATTTTTTTTTTAAACTCAAAGAAATACACCCCATATTTCTTATTACAATTATTTTATATTCTCCTCATAAAATGAGTGAGGTGACCTTCATAATCTTTCATTCAATTCAAATTTTGACGTTTTCAACTGGCACACATATTTTACCTAGTGTGACTTGTCTTGTCGAATCCAATCAAAGTATTAGTTTTGATCAGAGTCTATCCGATGCGCACTTTCGAATAGAATTGCGGATTCTTATGTTATAAAGTAAATAAAAATAATATTTGATGAATATAATTTATTTCAGTAGAATGTATAACTTTCAGGTAGTGTAGCACTTTTGGGTTTGTTCTTTTTAATTTTTTCTCCACATATTTTTTCAAAAATATTATTCTGTATTATACACAATTATTATTTTTGTATTTTATGCATTATTCCCTATACTTCACATAAAAAATATTTTTTGAACTCATTTTCACAAAATAAATATTAAAAATATTATTATAATTTATAATATATTATACAAATAATTTTATTTTTATATTATACACTATTAATATAGATATTTTATATTTTTTTATTTATATTAAATATTGATATATTAATATTAAAATATTAAAAGTAAATAAATACTCCTGTTTAACTTCAGAGGACCGAAGAAATATTTTGTTTTTTCTTTTTAGTTTAATTTTTTATTATTTATAAAACTTTTTAAATATATTTAACTCGAACATATTTATTTAATCGGTTGGCTGCTTGAATTAGAAATTGTTTTCTAATATCCTGTGTTCAATTTTTATTGTCTAAAGATATTTGCATAATTGTTTAAATAATTATTTTTTTTTATAAATAGATAAATTTACTTTTTATGATAAGATAAATACTCATCAGTTTCGTTGGAACGGTGACATTTGTTTTTTGACGTAAATTTTTGAATAATAGTATTATATTGGATTATAGTAAAAAAAGTAATAATTTATGTTAGGTAAATAGTACAATTACTAAATTAGAAAATTTAGAAAATAGTAATCTTTTAGGACAAACAAAAATAAAAAATAGTAACATTTTAATGAATTGAAGAGGGTATTAAAAATTGAAATGAAAAATAAAAAAATAAAATTTATATTTTAAAAAATAAATAAGATAATAGATGTGGATATCTCGGATAGAAAAATATAATACTCCCTCTGTCCCACATAATTTGTTCTTATTTTTTATTTTCGTTCGTCGCACATAATTTGTCTATTCTTTTTTTTAGAAATATAATTATATACTTTAATTTTATTTTAAATTTTATAATTTTTTTAATTTTAATTATAGTATATAATTATCTTAATTTTAATTTATAATTATTATACAATAATTATTTTTACTAATATACTTCTTATTAAATTCCGTACATGGACGGAGGAACTATTAATTTGTGAAGAAAATACTATTTAGTAAATAAAAGAAAAAAATAAAAAAGAAAAAGGGATATTGCAGACACAGACAGACGGCGAGGTGAGAGAAGGGTTGAGGAAGGCCCCATGGATCTCCTCCTCCTCTGCCCTACTGCTGCTGTTGCTGCAACAAGTTTGGAGTTCCCGATGCATGCGGCCTGCCTGTCCCAGCCTTCTTTATGCACTTACCAATGGTGACCCCTTTTTGAACTAATTCGTTGAATAAAGAATGAAAGAAAGGCTTGTCGGACAGAGAATGAATAGCGTGGAGTATAGTATAGACTGTAGATATATAAATACATATACTATTATATACACAAGGAACAAGAAGATAGGCCCCGCCTCTCCTGCTCTTCTCTCTCTCTCTAGTCTTGTTGCTTTCCTACTTTTCGTATCCATTTAACGGGTTCAATTTCACATCCCAATATTTGAATTCTCGTCTGTCGTGGCAAATGGGCGGGCTAGCTCCTGAACGGAGGGAAAGTAGCAGCCGGCAAGATTGTGAAATTGGATTTGGGGCGCACGTTCGTCCTCGTCCATTGGTGGTGGTGGTTGTTTAAAGAGGCCAAACAATTCGGATCTGTAGCAGCTACAGGAACAGCTGTCAGGCAGAGATTGAGCAGACACTGTTGCTGCTTTGCTTCTGCCTGGGAACTGTTGATTTTAATATTACTAACTAGTATTATTTATTAGTCTGGGGCTTATGATGCGAATGGATGAATGAATGAATATAGAATGGCATTTTTGTTGTGTTGTGCAGCAGTGCAGAGCAGAGCAGAGCAGAACAGCAGAGGCCTATCTAATAATAATATTGTGTGTGGGGCAATGAATCCAAATTTATGGAGAATTGGGCAAATACGTTGTCAGAAGCCTAAAATGTCTCGAGGGATAGAGACACACGTGAATACAAAAATGGCGTGGTGGGGGACGCCATTTGGGACAGGGATTTAGGGGTGGCGTGTATCTCAAGCCCGCCATCAACGCTCAACCCATCCACAGCACCAGACACGACGTTATTTACCAGACTGACTGAGAAGGAGAAGGATTTGAATCTCTGCTCGTTCATACTTGGGGTTTTCGCTGCAACGAAGGTATTTCGATGTTCTGCTTTAAGGCTCTTTTGTGATTTACCAGTCTCAGTTTGAAATTTGGCAATCTATCTTTTCCACAGCTAATTTCGAAAAAAGAAAAAATGAATGGGGGTGAGCAGCAAGGGGTGCATTACGTAGACAATGGCTACAGTTACCCAGTTTCTGAGGGTTTCATGGGCTTTTTTGGTGGTGTCTCGGCGGTCCCTCCGCCGTATGTGGACATGGGGCCGATGCTTGATCAGGTATATTCTCGTGTTCGTGGTCATTTTCTCTGATATCAGACAATCGGTGGCAAGTTGTTTGTTGGTGCTCTATGTATGTATAGGAACTGTACCCACACCTAATTGCAAGAATAGTGAAACCATGAGAGAATGTAGGTTAGAGTTCATCTAAACCTATTCCAGCAGCATCTGTTGAGCTTGGGTCATGGATGTCCATGTTGATGCATTTGTTTTGTTTCAGCTGCATATTGTCCACATTTGAAATTGATGTTATTAGTGCAAGTGAAGTTCTGAGTGATTTGGTCAGCAAATTGAGGATTAGCAGCAGATACTACACCTTAGAACAGTGGCGAAACCTTTAGAGTGTTGTTAATGTCGATAAGATTGTATACATATAATACATGACGGATCACTTATTGATTTTTTATTGGTCATTTGTGAATGCTTATTTTGAATAGCATAAATGCTATATAGTGGTTGCAAGAGGACTTTAGTAAATATCTGTTGATTTTTAGAAAGTTTCTGGACATATGGCACATTTAACTTTAGCTATCTAGAAAATAGTTTTTTCAAGCCAATGTTTCTTAATTCTTCAGCAGGTATAGTTATGAGATACAATGTTTTATTTTAATTTTTTGTTTCAATTCCTCAAAGCCTTTATTTGTGTGTGTCTTGTGGTGATATGAAGCCATCCAAATTTTATCTCATGAGTTTTTGCTACCTAGGAATCTGCTTATTGGTCAATGCATATGTCTTCGTACAAATATGCTTCTTCTGGTTTGGAGAGCAGTTCTTGTTATGGTTTCTATGAGGACAATGATCATGATTCAAGGATGGATTTGAACAGGGGAGCATGGGAATACCCTGAGATGACAGCAACAGAAGAACATAATGCTCCAGATGTAGAATCTCAGCAAAATATAGTCTCCACTGCAAACTCTATTCCAGAGGCAGAGGAGGAAGGTTAGTATTTCTTTATCGTTTGTTGAGTATTCATTCTGGAATGGAGTACATTAAATTTGTTTCGTCTTAGGTTCTATGGGTTCTTATTGTGTATTGCCGACAATCATGTCCATTTCTAATGCCAGAATTTTATTGTAACATACTAACAGGATTACCAAACGATCAAGATGCTGAAAATCATCAGGTATGTGTTAGTTACCATTGTTTTTATGTTATGCATCGATATTGCCACAAAGATAAAATGATGTGAAAATGAGCTCTGTATGAGTGGGAAATGACATTTAAATTTGAGTTGTCACTTGCATATGGGTAAGACTTGTAAAATATGAATCGGTGCAATTGTGATTGAATGTGAAAATTTAAGTTAAGCAATCTAAGGATGAAACTTAATATAAATCAGCAACGTCAAACTTCATGGTGTCATGTTAAATCAGAGATGCATTTTCTATTTGTCCAGTCACAAGTTTGTAGTCATTTGCATTGATAACTGGTTGGGTTATAGTTTGTATTCCATTTCCATATATAAGCATTCTTGTTTTGTAATTGTAGATAGCGTGGCATGATGATGTTGATCCCGACACTATGACTTATGAGGTATGGGAAAATCTCTACATAGTATCATTTACCATTTCATATTTGAGATCTTATTGTCTAAATGAAGAGCACTCAGTTCGAGCATACTTCAACATGTATTGCAAATTAAATCTCGTTATTCATTCTAAAGATTTTTCAATAACTATAGCTCCAAATCTTACTATTGTGGATCATAATAGAATGCAGAGGTGATGTACTCTAATTGACATATGGTTGCTACTTTTATTGTTATGTTTTCCTATATTATCAAAAGTGGTTTCTTATACATTGCCTACTTGTATAGGAACTGCTTGATTTAGGTGAGGCAGTGGGAACCGAGAGTCGAGGACTTTCACAGGAGCTCATTAATCTACTTCCGACATCAAAACACAAATCTGGTGGGATTTTCTCAAGGAGAAAATATGAAGACAGGTAACTTGCAGTTGCAGATCCTCAGTAGTCATCGGTTTAATCTACACAACAAGTCTTATAGCTTGATAATTTATAAGGGTCGTGGTTTTTTCTGGAAACAATTAAACAGATGCGTCATCTGCCAAATGCGATACAAAAGAGGGGACCGGCAGATCACTTTGCCGTGCAAGCATGCATACCATATTGACTGCGGCTCCAAGTGGTTGAGCATCAACAAGGCAATCCTGCACCTATCTTACAAATAATTCTACTATCACAATCCTCCACTTGCTTTGTGTATCTGACAGATGATTTTCTGCCTTTTCAGACATGTCCAGTTTGCAATGCCGAGGTTTTTGCGGATGAATCAACGCATTGATAATACGAACAAATTGAAGTCATGCTATGAAGGGGTTGCTTTATTTACATTCCTCTCTCCCTCTCCATCTCTCTACTGCTCTTCGTTTTGTGTTACTGTAAGATATCTATTAGGTATAATGTGTGACATCTAATTTTAGTGTTCTCTAAATTCTTGGAAACTTCCTTCAATTGAATCTGTTCATTCTCCATATTCTTGTTTGTTTAAATTCCCAGCCCTATTGTTCTCTTTTTAATCTAATCTGGATTGTATAAATTGTTGATTTTGTTTATTAGTCTCTTTAGTTTGTGAGATTATCTATTATAGTATAGGAACTAAACGAAAAGGATTTGAGGCATAGAATGCATATGAACAAAGGCTTAGGCATCTTAAGCTCTGTTTTAGGTGTTTAAAATAACACAAAACAAATTAATTTTATTTCATTCGTATAATATGAAAGTACAGGAACATGGGTCACATGGAAATACATTAGACTCAGAGATACAATGGCTGCAAAGGAAGGATGTTCCTCTGTAATTTCTTTCCTTCTGCCAGATGCTTCATTTGACTGCACTTCCATGGGCATGTTTGGCAAGAATGGACATTTTACAGGACTCGAATGTAAAAAAGAACTTTATTTTTGAATGGAGCTTCAACGGAAAGAACAACACAAGACAAGTAGTGCAATTTGAAGTAAGACTTAATGGTGGTGTTTAGTTTATGATGTATGGTGAGATTGTGATTAAGGAAGTTTAAAACTCTAATACTTAGTTGGAGGAGATGGTGGTGACTCGTATTTGTATGTTGGGGATTCGTACTTATAGGGTGGAGGAGACTCGTACTTGTATGGAGGAGACTCGTACTTGTAGGGTGGTGAATCATATTTGTATGGAGGAGACTCGTACTTGTAGGGTGGAGACTCGTACTTGTATGGAGGAGACTCGTACTTGTAGGGAGGTGAATCATATTTGTATGGAGGAGACTCGTACTTGTAGGGTGGAGACTCGTACTTGTAGGGTGGTGAATCATATTTGTATGGAGGAGACTCGTATTTGTATGGAGGAGACTCGTACTTGTAGGGTGGTGACTCGTATTTGTAGGGTGGTGATTCATATTTGTATGGAGGGGACTCGTACTTGTACGGGGGAGATTCATATTTGTATGGGGGAGACTCGTACTTGTACGGGGGAGATTCATATTTGTACGGGGGAGATTCGTACTTGTACGGGGGAGATTCATATTTGTATGGGGGAGACTCGTACTTGTATGGGGGAGATTCATATTTGTATGGGGGAGACTCGTATTTGTATGGTGGTGACTCATACTTGTAAGGAGGAGACTCGTACTTGTAGGGTGGTGACTCATATTTGTAGGGTGGTGATTCGTATTTGTATGGTGGAGACTCATATTTGTATGGCGGAGACTCGTATTTGTATGGTGGTGACTCGTACTTGTAAGGAGGAGGAGGTGGAGATACATATTTGTATGGAGGTGGGGGAGGTGACTCGTACTTGTATGGCGGAGGTGGAGGTGATTCATACTTGTATGGTGGGGGAGGTGGTGACTCATACTTGTATGGCGGAGGTGGAGGTGATTCGTACTTGTATGGCGGAGGAGGTGGTGACTCATACTTGTACGGGGGAGGTGGAGGTGATTCATATTTGTATGGTGGGGGAGGTGGTGACTCGTATTTGTACGGTGGAGGTGGAGGTGATTCATATTTGTATGGTGGGGGAGGTGGTGACTCGTACTTATATGGTGGAGGTGGAGGTGACTCATACTTGTACGGCGGAGGTGGAGGTGATTCATACTTGTATGGTGGGGGAGGTGGTGACTCGTACTTGTATGGCGGAGGTGGAGGTGATTCGTACTTATATGGTGGTGGAGGAGGTGACTCATACTTGTATGGCGGAGGTGGTGGTGATTCGTACTTGTAGGGAGGAGGTGGAGGGGATTCATATTTGTAGGGTGGAGGAGGTGGTGATTTGTACTTGTAGGGCGGTGGGGGAGGCGATTCGTATTTGTACGGTGGCGGAGGTGGTGACTCGTACTTGTAGGGCGGTGGCGGAGGTGATTCATACTTATAAGGTGGTGGTGGAGGTGATTCATACTTGTAAGGTGGTGGAGGTGGTGACTCGTATTTATAAGGTGGTGGCGGAGGTGATTCGTACTTATAAGGTGGCGGAGGTGATTCATATTTATACGGCGGCGATTTATACTCATAAGGCGGAGTCGCCTCGTACTTGTACGACGGCGACTTATACGGCGGCGACTCGCATGGTGGCGACTTGTAGTCGTACTCCGGCGGCGACTTGTACTCTGGCGGCGACTTGTACTCGGGCGGTGAGTAGTAAGACCACGGATTCCAAGGGAAGGCCACACTGACCCTGGCGGTGGCTAGAGTGCTGAATAAAGCTAAAAGAACCCACCGGAGGGGTTCCATGGCTGCCGGAAAAAGGTATTTATTGCTTTCTTCTCTAAGTTATTTTCTGTAGTGTGTTAATCTTATGCATCACTATGCCTTTATATATAGGGTAATAAAAGTTGAATAATTCTTTTGGTTTGGTAATTGCTTATGTGGGATAACTCGTTTATTCACAATAGAATCAGTCAGTTTATTAGCAAGTAGTGGTTAATTGTTCATCATCGTCACCCATTTTTCATCAAGAACTTTTCTTCAGTTAATTAATTAATTGGATTAGATTGAAGATGCACTGTTTCATAGCCTTCCTTAAAACGACATCAGAACTAACTGAAAACGACATCATCATATCCCAGGTTTTTTTAAAATGCATTAGGAATGCGTGTTGAGCAAAGATGAAGATGATGTTAATTTACAAAGTCTAATTTCAGCAGCTGTATCCACTTTAATTACAACTTGGGGTCTTTTTGTTTAGCTTTGTAAGAATTTATAAAAACCACTAGTGTGTTCGATCGATCAATTCATTAATTTTGATTAAATTAGGGTTGATTTTTGGAGCAATTTGGGGGATTTGGTTTGGATTTTGATTTTGTTGTTAATTAATTAATTAATTAATTAAATTAGGGTTTATATATATATATATATAATATAGTGTACGTACGTAGGAAATGTACTGTCCAATCACGTACACCAAGTCACCAAATATCGATCAACAATATAATAACCATATTATTTCAGTTGGATATGGTCGTGTTTGAAGCTGTAATAGGAGTTCCCATTGCTGTCTTTTTGTGGGACTTTTTTTTTTTTTTTTTATTTATTTATTTTCTTGTAGTAATATTTTATGTTGGAAAATAGCAAACCCACATTTGAAATTGTAAAACTTTTAGGCAATATAATATAATAATATGTATAGACATGACAAGTAGAGATGCCCTCAAATTGAAAGTTTGAACTGATAATACAATCCGTGTTAAATAAAATTATATTGTAAATTTTTATTTTTTATTTTTTTATATGAAAGGATGAGAGCAAATCTATATTACTAATTTGGATGCTGATTTATTTCAATTAAGACAATATAACCATGCATACAAATGTATTTATGTAGTCTAAATTATTTGAAATTTGATCAATAGTTGGAGTCATATTAAAATAAAGGTTAATCTTTTGATGGGATTTCGTACATATATAAAATATTTGTAGCTTAGATATTATTTTATTTATTTTGACCATTTATTGTAGAAATAAAATAAATTAAAGATATATAAAATCTTAATTTAATTGAATTAGGTGAAACTAAAAATATAATGAAAGGGTATGTATACTCAAAATATGCCAAGATCATTTGAAAAATATAATTTAGTGTCCAATTTTTAAAATTACATATGATGCCGCCGCGCTATATTAAAGTATACAGTATTAATAAAATATGTTTGTACCACTCGTAAAATCAAATAGTCTTTATTTATATATATATCAAGGGTGTGTTTGTTTGGAGATTTGGATTTTAAATTGAGATTTCAACAGTAAAAATTTTGAATTGAAACAGTTGTATGATGTAATATAAATAGCCGTTGATGTGATGTTTTGAATGTAAAATTGATTTTTAGAATAATATATAAAATAAAAAATAAGTATTTGATGTGATATTTTCGGGGAGAAAATTTTGGATAAATAGTGAATTTTTTGGCAAAATCCCACCAACAACCACAACCTAAGTATAAGGGAAATATTTTTATTATAAATAAGTTTTTGGTAAACTAAAGTGGCAAATTATATCAGCTAAAAAATATTTAATATTTTTTTTTATTTATTCTAATTTAAAATATTATATTACTATATTTTTCATTCAATTTTTTACTTATTTTTAAACGAACACAATATTTTTATAATATAAACTAATAAAATAAAGCTTGTAGTAAAATTTGATGTGTAATATTACATATAACTTTTTTTAATCAATTGGAATAATTGTACAGATCTAATTATGTACATTACCTATGCGTTCAATTTTATTTTATTTTTTATAATATTATATTTATACTTTATCTAGGGTTTGTTTTACTATAGTTTGAAATTAACTTTAAGTATTAATTTGAATTTTTGTTTTTCAAATATTATTTGATATACTATTTTATAAAAAAAATAATGTATTTCTTATTTTAAACTTTATAGGATACTAATATAAATTTCAATTTATATATATATATATATATAAAAGATGGGTGTGGGGTTCACCCAATCAAATTTTTTTTCAAATTTTTTGATTATTTTTTATTTTTTAATAAAATAAATATGTATTAAATTCCATTAAATATATATAATTAATAAAATTATAATTAATATATTTTTAAATATAATAAAATAATTGATTTAATTTTATAATTAAAGTAAATTATAATTTTGTTTATTTATACCCCTAATTAAGGTTATTGAAAATATAATAACTTTGAAATGAAATTTTATTTATTTTTATAATTAAAATAATTATAATAATAATCAATAAAATTAAAACTATCATTAATTATATTTTGTAATCTTAATATATATAAAAACGCAAACAAATTTCATAATTCTATAGTTTTTCTTTATTTTTTAATTCTTAAAAAAGATTAAAATTAAAATTAATTTAATATTTTCTTAATTTTTATTTATACCTGCAAATAATGGATAATGAAATTTTTAAAATTTTTTATTATAATTGATATTAAATAATTATATTAATTGATATAGTTATAATTGATATAATTTATGAAATTATAATTAATCATGATAATTTAAAAATATACTTTAATTATATATATGAAAAATAGATCTCATATCAATTTATTATCTTTTTCTTTTTTTCTTTTTTAAAAAATAAATTTATATTAAATATTCATAATATATACCATATAATACATAGCAAATTTATAATTATCACAATCAATATATATAATTTGATAATATAATATAATATATATATATAATACTTCTTTTATTTTAAAATTAAATAATTAATTTTATTTCATAGTATTTGAACTACTCATTTATTTTAATTTTATTTTATCTATTTATCTATATAAAAGAAAAAATCTAACTTATACCATTTTTTTTTTCTCATTATTAGTTTTTTAATAAAAAAAAATTATACTATTAAATTAAATATTTATTATTAATATACCATAACAATATACTTAATAATAATAATAATAATAATAATAATAATAATAATAATAATAATAATACTATTAATGATAATTATAATACTAATTAATAATTTAAAAAATGAATTACTATTATTTATAAAATATTGGAAATTTTTAATAAATTTAAAACTAATGTAATATTCTAATCAAAATATATAATTAATGTTAATTATATTCATAATAAATAATTTTTAAATTTTTAAATTTTAATTAATTTTATAACTAATTTTTATAAAATAATTTTAATCATACAGATTAATTATAATTATATTTGTAATTAACACATATCTTTTTAAATAATAAAATTTTATTAAATATACTTAAATTTATTATGAGTAAAATTAATTATGACGTTTATGATTGGAAGTTACCAAATATTAAAGACGTCAATTACGATTAATTAACGTCGACATTAATGACGAATTTGATGACAACCCTCATTTCAATGTCTATAAAGGATTATATCTTCACCCCATTTCAATCATACATCAACTTCTCATCCTTTCATCCTCTCAATTTTATTCATTTTTTGGGTAATATTTTTTCGGCGAGTTTCCGATTAATATTTAAATAACGTTTTTATTTTCCTTCGCCACCCAATATAGTTGTTTTTTTTCCCTGCATTTTAATAATCGGAGTTCCAAAATATTTTGACGCCACCTAATCTGAAGATGATGGTCGTATTAACATATAATTTACTTATAATATTTATTTTATTTTTATTTTGTACCGTGTATAAATAATTTCATATAATTTTGTGTTTACAAATATTTTTGTATTATTTTTTTTTGGTAACTCATATATATTAGTTTATATTTAATAATAAAATTAAAATTTAAAATTGATTTATTTTTATTTGCAATATTAATTATATTTTTATGTTATGCAGATTATCCCCACATGACAAGATCAATTTCTTATTTTTTATAAAGTATTTTTCCTGTGGTTTTTCCTCATTTTTTCACAATGTTTATCTCTTTTTAGCTATTAAGTACAATTTTTTTCTCCAAAATATTGAGATTGTATCTAATCTAAAAATGATACAATAGTTTAAAATATAATTTATTTATAATATTTTATTTTGTTATTGTTTTGTCCTTCGTATAAATAATTTAATAGTATAACTTTTTTTTTTTGTATACTATAGATATTTTTCTATTATTTGCTTTTTAAATAATTTCTATATTAATTTTTATTTAATAATAACATTATAATAAAATTGATTTATTTTTATTTATAATATATGTATTATATTATTCAAAATTTTTCATTTAAATTAAAAAATTTCATTTATTTTAAATAAAAATATAAATATTGATAATTTAATGGAGTTTTTATAATTTTATTCAAATATATTTGTGTATATATAAATTTTCAATAAATTAATACTATTTTATTTTATTTTTCTTTATTTTTGATATTTTTATTAAAATAAATTTATATTAAATATCCATAATTAATATATCATCACTAACATATTTAACAAACTATAATTAACGCAATCAATAAATATTTTATAAATATAAAAGTTGATCAAATTATTAAGAATATGATACTATGATTTATATGTAAAATACTTATCTATTTAATTTAAAATTAAATAATAAATTTGAATTTAATAAATAAATTTGCTATTATATATATATTAATTACATAACTATTGATTACATCAATTCTAATTTTTAATTTTTAAGAGAAAATAATAGATGTTTTCTTTTAATAAAAATTTAACGGAAATATAAAAATATTTGATGAACAAAAAAATATATATATAAAAATACCGTGCATCGCACGGTTTCCCATTAGTAATAGAAAAAACAATTTAAATATGGTTTGATTGTATTTATAACATATCATTAAATGATGTATTGATTTAATCGGGTGCTTATTTTTGCCACCTCTATATTTAATCTTATTAAATTAAATTTGATAGTTTATAATATATAATGATGATTTTTTCTTAAACTTGGATGATTATGAAATTAAAAAAAAATAAAAATACAACATAGAGTATTATTCTTTTATTTTTTATTTTTTATTTTTTATTTTTATATATGCAAGCAATATAATCCATAATAAATGAAGTCTAATGAAAAATTAGAAAATCTAAGCCCAAATTATTAGTTGGGATAGGCATATGAAAGTCAAACCCAAGGAAAGAAATACTAAAAAAGAAGTTTAAGAAAATATGATTTTAACCCACATACTTAAGACATATTTGTTCCAACCCAAATAATGATGATGGGTTACATGATTAATAGCATTCTTAATGAAGGCTTATGGTAAAAATTATATAAAAAATATTTATGATGGAAGTCACAAAAAAGTAATAGAGATTTAATCAGACATATAATTAAATCAAGAGAAAGACAATGCTTTTTATTTTAAAAAGAGATTGATTTGTAAGGGAGAAGAATAGATAAGATTGTAAAAAATATCATCTTACATATACTTATTCATTCTTTTTGTTGATAAAATATATCTTATATATTTGCAAAAATTATTATTTCTATCCACCGACCGTATTACTAAAACTTTCTTTAGATTGAAAATTAGAAACTAGTTATTTGTTTGATTGTTAGATTTGTTTTATACTCCCTCCGCTCTGGGTGAGATGATCCATTTGGTTAAGGATACAATATTTTAGGTAGTATAAATTACTAAGTTATTAATAATAAATTATGATATTATTTTTAAATTTTTTTATACGAGTAATTTTGTTAGTATTTTAAATATTTTTAACATTATATCTCAATAAAATATATGTAATATGAATATCATTTTGTTGGACTGTGGGCCCAAGTACCACATTAGAAGATTTAGAAAATTTCACAACTTATAAGTTTCACATGAGCTCAAACTTCTGGAAAAATATAGTCATTAATTATTTATCCGTAAACGGGAGTTTCCAATAATTATTAATTTTAATGTAGATTTTTGTTTTCCTGAATAATAATTAAAATGACATAGTATCAATGGATGCATCAATTCACAATTAGTTTTTTAATTTTACTCTAATGTAATACTAATTACTCTCTCCTTGGATCCGACACGAAAGATTAAAAAATATATATATTTTATTAAAAAGGTGATGAAAGTAAAATGATAGTTGAAAGTATATTTGAAAAAGTTAGTTTGAAACTAAAAAAATGATGAGAGAAAGTAATAACATAGCCGCATTTGTTTTAAATAAATGTTGAAGAAAGAAAAATAGTTAAAACGTTGATTTATTAACTTTGTGAAAAATATGTAATGAGATAAATTCAGACCACGATTTAAATTTAGCAATGTTGTATATTATTTTAATATACAACCTGGCTGTGCTGCTACACTAATTAATGTTTATATATATATATATATAGTTCTAGGGCATTGGCACACAGACATTTAGTTTTATTTATTCAAGTAATCATACATGATGCATATATATGTATATCATTGATCATCGATCTCTTACCCTAAAATTCATTTACTGTTACAGACATATATATGTATATGTTGGGAAGTTGCATGCATGCATGCATGTTGATCTGCAATGAGATAGAGAGAGAGATCCATAGTTGAATTATTATTATTATTATTATTATTATTATTGGGACATTTGATTAATTAATTAGCAAGTATAATATAGTAGTGATGATGGGGTGGGAGGGGAGCTATGCATGTAGAATGGGTGTGGTGTCTTTATAATTGGTGAATATATATATATATATATATAATTAATTATTGGTATTGTAGTAATAATAATAATACTGTGGGTGTAATGGATGAAAGGGAGGATTGAAGGGTGGTTTGGATTATGCATTAATTAATTAATTGTAATTAGTTAAAGTAGGCGGGGGCGTCTGCGGGGAGGCGGGGGAGGAGGTCGACGGCGCCTTGGGGGAGGAGGTGGTGGACGGTGTTTTCGACGAGGAGGTGGAGGTGGAGGTGGGCGGCGTTTTGGGTGAGGAGGTGGTGGCGGCGGAGGGTGTGTTAGTGGTGGAGGCGGAGGAGGATGAATTGGATATTTTGGTGGTGGCGGAGGAGGATGAATTGGGTATTTTGGTGGTGGCGGAGGAGGATAAATTGGGTATGTTGGTGGGGGTGGTGGTGGAGGGGAAGGAGGTGGTGGTGGTGGTGGGCTTGGAGGTGGAGGAGAGGGACTTGGGGGTGGTGGAGTTGGCGGGGGAGGAGGTGGTGGTGGCGGTGGAGGACTAGGAGGTGGTGGGGATGGTGGAGGAGGAGGTGGCGGTGGCGGTGGGGGACTAGGAGGGGGTGGGGATGGTGGAGGAGGCGGGGGTGGAGGACTTGGAGGAGGTGGAGATGGTGGAGGAGGAGGTGGCGGTGGTGGTGGAGGACTTGGAGGTGGTGGGGATGGTGGAGGCGGTGGAGGCGGTGGCGGTGGAGGACTAGGAGGTGGTGGGGATGGTGGAGGAGGTGGAGGCGGTGGCGGTGGAGGGCTTGGAGGAGGTGGAGATGGTGGAGGAGGCGGTGGCGGTGGAGGTGGAGGTGGAGGACTTGGAGGTGGTGGCGATGGTGGAGGAGGCGGTGGGGGTGGTGGTGGAGGACTTGGAGGTGGTGGCGATGGTGGTGGAGGTGGTGGTGGAGGGCTTGGAGGTGGTGGGGATGGGGGGGGAGGAGGTGGTGGCGGTGGTGGTGGACTTGGAGGTGGTGGCGGTGGTGGTGGACTTGGAGGTGGTGGGGATGGTGGAGGAGGAGGAGGTGGTGGCGGTGGTGGACTTGGAGGTGGTGGAGATGGTGGGGGAGGAGGAGGTGGGGGTGGCGGCGGTGGTGGTGGACTTGGAGGTGGTGGGGATGGTGGGGGAGGAGGCGGCGGTGGTGGTGGACTTGGAGGTGGTGGGGATGGTGGGGGAGGAGGCGGCGGTGGTGGAGGTCTTGGAGGCGGTGGAGATGGCGGGGGAGGTGAAGGAGGCGGCGGCGGTGGATGCTTTGGAGGCGGTGGAGATGGCCGGGGAGGAGAAGGAGGCGGCGGCGGTGGATGCTTTGGAGGCGGTGGAGATGGCGGAGGGGGAGAAGGAGGAGGTGGCGGCGGATACCTTGGAGGCGGTGGTCGTGGAGGCGGCGGCGGAGGAGAACAAGAGAGTCCAGGAAGTCCCGGTATGCGCACACAAAGTCTTTGAGCCTCCGCAGGTGCAAATGCAAACACCAACCCAATAATCAAAATCCACTCTTTTACTCCCATATTATTTATATTTATTTATTTATTATTTGTATCCAATATAATATTCATAGGAATATATAATATGTCTATGGAGTATACACTTCTTCTATGAGAGATTTATTCACTTCACTTCACTTCACCCACCCCTTACCTCAAATTTAACAATTTTGCCCATCTATTTATACACTTACTTACATAGGTTAGTTACCTACTTAAATATATTACCAATCTTATTTGTCAAAATCACATATTTATTTTATAAAAGTACAACTATACTACTACTCCTTATTCTCATTACAATTATTTAATTCATTGGTTGAAATTACATGCAAATTAATGGTTCTTGCATGACACTTAAAATTATCACAATACTTGTATTGGAGTAAATTATTTGAGAGATAGATGTACATCCAAGTTCATGGATAAAATAAAATATATAAGCAAGAATGTAACATGTTTATTAATTTAATATAAATATCATCTACTTTGAATGTATTTTATTTATATTCTTATATAATTAAACATGTTTATTTATTTCAACAATGACTTAAGAGAAATTAAAATTAACTCTACATATATCAAATGAAAGTGAAGTAAAGATTTGTTTTATGCCTTAAAAGATAATGAAATGAAAATTTCTTTATAAAGTAAAGATCTATTGAATAGCAAAAGTAGAAAAGTTTTATTGACATGATAAATAAGAGTTATAAATTATCCAAGCATGCAAATAAAGTCGTATTTAATTAGTTTGGCCATGCCTACATATTGTTATGTACTTTATTTATTTATTTATTGGAAGTATGCAAAGAGTCAGAATGCAAATATTTAATCAAGTAATTATGGCAGATAGTTTACTAATTAGGAAGCAAAGTCCAGTTGCATAGTTGATGATTTTTATTTTTATTTTTATTTATTTTAATTTTGATTTTGGTTTTAAATAGTAATTTTTAAATATACTATTATTTTTTGAGGAAAAAAAAAAATTTATCTTCATAAAAAGTCATGATGATTAAATCATAGAAAAAAAAACAAAAAGAGTGACCGTGAAAAGAACAATCAAAGTGTATGTTTGTTTGATGTTTGAGATTATAATCCAAAGTTTTCATTAAAATGAAATGCTGTTTGATTAATATTTAGCTACGTTATGATATAATATATTTTATTAAAATAAATTTAAAATGAGTATTTAAGTATTTTAAAAACTATATTGTGATTAAATATATTCGAAATGAATATAATTTTGTAAGAATACAATTATAAAATTGCTTTTTACTCCCTCACATAACCTCATATTATTTTAGGACTATAAATAAACTACTTATAGAAACAATTTTATATTTTAAAAATTTTGCAGAAATAATTCTCCGATATCATAGTTACATGCATGACACTCTCATAGTCCGCCGAAGTTGATGTGTTCACACGCATTGTAGCTATGCTATTAGTGTCACGTGATCATTTAAAGTACTAAAATGATAAAAGATATCAAAAAAAAATATTAAAAAAATAATTATTTATAAATATAATATATGCATGCACAATTAAAATAATTCAATTTCGTAAAATAAAAATAGAGTGTGCCCTATTAAAAGTTCACAATCCTTAATGCATATTATTATTATTTTTTAAATAAAGTATTTCTTCTTATAAAATACTTCTTGTTCTCGTAATAATAGTCTTATCTACATTGCACATCCAAAATAAGTAATATTAATATTATATCGATAGTAACTTAAAAAAATATATGAATAATTTATTTATTTTTTGTTTTAGCGAGTGTATTTGTGTAAAAAATTAATGATATTTACGTAATAATAATAAAAAATAAAAGTAATTTTATGGTGGTATAATTATTTATAAATGAGATTATTTTTTTAAAACAAATAAAAATGATAAAATTGAGACGAAAGAAAGAAATAAAAACAATAAACATAAGTATTTTAATCACAATTTCATAAAAAGATGTTCGATAATTAGTTGTTAGATGATTTATAGCTGATTAATTAGTTCACCACAAGAAAAAATCATTTTTGTAACAAAATTTTTTTGTCTCTAAATCTACTTTTTCCGTTACTAATGACATTAGAGACGAAATTAGGAACGGAATTGCGTTAGCTACGTGAACTTTAGGGACGGAATTCCGTTACAAATATATTATTTCTTTTGTAGTGGTTAGTTTGACTAGTTAGATATATTATTTATTTATTTATTTATATTAAAATATTCGGTAAAATAATCTTTTTTTGCATTAATTGTTTATATATAAAATAATAGTTAAACATATTTTTAAATTTTATTTTTAAACTATTATTTTGTATTCTTTAATTTATTGTTTATAGAATTTTTTTAAAAAAATTGTTACTATTTAGTGGAAATTATAAGTGTATTATTAATATATTTTGTATTGGCGGGGAGGAAACGAAGATACTCTTTTGAGTTTTTTTGTTTAGTGTCTTAGTTTGAGTTTGAATTTGAGTTTAAATTTTTAATTTTATTTTTTTTATTTATATGAGGTACGAAGAATTATACTAGTAATATAAAAAATAATATATATATATTGTTGTATATTGGCTTTTTGTAAAAAAATAATATATATGAATTAATTAGTTAAAATAACTTTTCTGATTGAAAAGATTTGGAGCATTGAGTGGAGAGGCATACATTTCTTTAGATCTTATTTTCATGCAAATTGTGTTTCTTGACAGTTAAAATAATTAAGAGATGAGTATGAAATTATATGTAATATTATGATATATAGGAATGAGTTCACCATATGAAAGAAATTAATCAAGTATGATGGAGGGCAGCTAGACACAATTATTAATTTATTTTTTATTTAGAGAGATGATCGAGTAGTACAAAGTACATATATGATGGTCGATCAACTATGTAAATATTACAGATAGAGGTACGTAGAGGAATGCATGCATGCATGCATCAGATAATACATACATATATTTATATGATCAATTAAGAAGGTGAGAGCACCATCGATTAAAACTTTATTAAATGAGATGAATTATTGGGAAATTACTTGATTTTGTGTGTGTGTGTGTGTTTTTTGTCAATATTATGATTATTATTATTATATGTGGGGTTTAATTAAGCATATAATTATATAGAGTAGCAGTATTGATTTAATGTTGGTGATGAAATGGGGATATTGGCATTAATTAATTGATTATTTATTCCGGGCGGGGTCGGCGTCTACGCGGGGGTGGGGGCGGAGGCCGGCGGCGTATCCAGTGAGGAGGTGGTGGGGGTGGGGGTCGACGTCGTCTAGGTCTAGGCGAGGGTGGGGGAGGAGGTGATGGCGGAGGGGGTCGAGGTCGTCTAGGTCTAGGTCTAGGTGAGGGTGGTGGCGGTGGAGGGGGTCGAGGTCGTCTAGGTCTAGGTGAGGGTGGTGGAGGAGGCGGTGGTGTTGGAGGGGGTGGTGGTGGTGGTGGTGGAGGGGAAGGAGGTGGCGGAGGTGGAGGGGGTGGAGGTGGGGGTGAAGGGGAAGGTGATGGTGGCGGTGGAGATGGCGGCGGAGGTGGAGGAGGCGGGGGTGGTGGTGGTGGAGGTGGAGGGGGTCTTGGTGGTGGTGGAGATGGCGGCGGAGGTGGAGGGGGTGGTGGTGGTGGTGGTGGAGGTGGGGGCCTTGGTGGGGGTGGAGATGGAGGTGGAGGGGAAGGTGATGGCGGTGGTGGAGATGGCGGTGGAGGCGGAGGCGGAGGGGAAGGTGGTGGTGGAGATGGTGGTGGAGGAGGAGGTGGTGGTGGTGGTGGAGATGGAGGAGGAGGGGAAGGAGGAGGAGGAGGTGGTGGTGGCGGCGGTGGAGATGGAGGAGGAGGGGATGGAGGTGGAGGGGGAGGTGGTGGCGGAGGTGGGGGCCTTGGTGGTGGTGGAGATGGAGGTGGAGGGGAAGGCGGTGGTGGAGATGGCGGTGGAGGAGGAGGTGGTGGTGGTGGTGGGGATGGAGGAGGAGGAGAAGGAGGAGGAGGCGGTGGCGGTGGAGATGGAGGAGGAGGGGAAGGAGGTGGTGGGGGTCTTGGTGGGGGAGGGGATGGTGGAGGTGGCGGCGGTGGCGGTGGAGATGGAGGTGGAGGGGATGGGGGTGGGGGTCTTGGTGGGGGAGGAGATGGTGGAGGTGGCGGTGGAGGGGATGGGGGTGGGGGTCTTGGTGGAGGTGGAGGTGGAGGTGGAGGTGGTCGTGGCGGTGGTGGAGATGGAGGTGGAGGGGACGGGGGTGGGGGTCTTGGCGGCGGAGATGGTGGAGGAGGCCGAGGTGGTGGTGGTGGTGGTCGATGCCGTGGGCGTGGAGGCGGAGGAGGAGGTTGGCAAAATATACGATGAGTTGGTGGTAAGTGACTCCCCGGCCTATATGGTCTGCAACGGCTAGAATTGGCGCTCACATTTGACGCCAAAATCAGTGTCAATAATACTACAAATGATAGTCCCTTATTCATATCCATATTTTTGACTCTACTATCATTTACCCTTACCCACATTATTCTTTCATATCTATTTATACCCAAAATTCATCTTTATTTTTCACTATTTATTAAACTCTTAGTACAAATCACAAGTTAGGCAATTGCTTAATTAAAACTGTACATCCATAATTTAATTTTCCCAACTAAAAATGACTGTGCATCCATCAATTAATACCCCAAATTCACCTCATTCTATCTTCCTGTGGTTGAAATATGAACTATGCTACAATTACATACATATTCAATTACTTAAATAATTTTTGTCGGTAACTTAAAGATAATAAAATATTGAATTATACATTAAACATAATTTTATTTTTATTTTTTTTTAATGAGGTGGGAACCCGCATACATTAAACATAATTTTGATTTGGTGACTTGTGATATAACATACATTAGATGTGTCCATTCGTGTTTTCAAATTGTGCTCATGTCGCGTTAAGTCATTCGTGTAACGAAAACCGTCAATCTAAACTCGACCCGAACCCAAAATTGACCCGAAATTCTAGATCCGAACACGATACAGGTTTTTTCGCATCGGGTTTAGCTCAACCTAATTTAGTTTTAGGTCACTCAAAATTCGAACAACACCGTTACAAAACAAATCCAAAAACTTAAAAAATTTAAATTTACCTAAAAAATCTATTTTGAATACAATGTTTTATAATATACTATATTTAATATAATACTTCATTCGTCCAATTTCTATTGTCCTAAAGTATATTTGCACGATTTATTAGGTGATTGTTTTTTTTTAATATGAATTGACAAAGTTGCCCTTAATTGTATGGTAGATATTAAAAGTAATAAATAAATTGAGGGTAAAAATATAAAATTTGCGTTTAAAAAATGAAATAGGACAATAATTGTTGGATCGTTCCAAATAGAAAAGTAGGATATTAGTTTATGGACGGAGGGAGAATAAACATTATCAATTAAAATAATAAAAAAATTAATTTCAGATTAATCCAAAACTTAAAAACCGACCTGATCTTTATATTTCATATTATCAGGTCAATCCCAAATTCGACTCGATTACGGCACAAATTTTTTTGTATTTCGGGTTCGGATCGATCCGACCTTTTGCAAACTCGAAACACTCAGATCCAAACCTAAAATATTTTAGATCAAACTTTGAAATTGAATTTTATTTTGACACCTCTGAGATAAATTATGGTAACTAGTTTTTGGCAGCTTCCGTTGCCCGACTAACTGGGTCAGCATTTTTTTATAAACAAGACAATATATCTGACAATGTTTAATAATAGAATATATTATAATGTCAACATACAATAAGTTTATTATACAATACAATATAAAAAATAACATAGACGGCACATGCTCCTATATTATACTCCCTTCGTCCCAAACAAGGTCCAATATTTATTTTTGGCACGAGTTTTTAGACGGATAATATTAAGTAAGATAATTTAGAAATTAGGTGATGTGATGGAGAGAGAAATATATATTTTATTTTTTTATTTGGATGGTGCGAGGGAATAAAGTATGGGGTAGAGATTAAATATAATTAATTATTTTATATTTTAAAAATATTGCATTTGAGAGGTACCAAAAAAGGAAATGTTGAGTACATGTATTGTATACAAAATACATCCCATTTAAAAAAATGTATTTGACTTACTTAAATAGCCAAACTGACGTGACCCATTAGCATGATAACCGTCACCCATTTTGGCTGAGAATGTGTTTATTTGACAATTTTATTTTAATTTATTATTATTATTATTATTTTGAATAGTAATTTTTATAAAATGTGTTATATATATAATTAAAACATATTTCCCCAATCAATAGCGCTTTGGTCAGTGATACGTGATTAGATAGTGCAAATTAATAAGTTATCAATAACAAGTTATTATATTATTTTTTTATTTTTTTTATGAGTAGATATTTTAAATATTTTAGAATTATATCTAAAAATATATATATACAATATAGATATCATTTTGTATAGATAATAAAATTCATGTATAATACAAGTAAGTAAAGAATATATTTATTTATTTATAATAAACTTAAAACTATTTTTTATAAAAATTGATAATATAAAAAATAATATTTTATGTTAAATTTTGATTTTTACGAAAGAATAAAATATATATATTGAAAATCGTATTAAAAAAAAAAAAACAAATAAACCCAAAATAAAAGTTAATTTTTAAAAGGTGAAATAAATAAATAAATAATAAAAGAGTCTAACCCTTGTAGAGACATCATTTGAGGGTTGAGTAATAGATTCGATCCTAGACATGTGTTGGGTAAAATTGTGTGAGTATATATTATGTTAGACAGATAATAAAATTCAATATGTCAATTATTACAAACAAAAATACTTCTTATAAATTTTTTTTTCTTCAACCCAAAATAATAAAACCCTACCATTATAAAAAAATAAAATAGGACAATCTCGGTCTTCATCATATTTTATGTTAACTTTTATAATACGTAATATGCATGTCAACTTATTTTATTAATTGTAGTTTATTGATGCAGTTGAATTTTGGTCGGTAATTATTCTTCCAAGTTTGCTCCATTAATTTATTGTGTCCGTAGATTTTAAATGAACTGCTTAATGGTTGACTAAATTTCAGAATTATTATTATTATTGCTACGATCTAATTGAGATTAAATAGATACACGTAATACTCTGTAAACTATTCCAGCTTGAAAGCTTACTTTACACAAACCCTATATGACAAGCTAGATCAAAAATACATTTCCAGGTTCAAATTTCACATTGGAAGATACGAAGAAAAATTCACATTCTTGTAAATTATTGACTTGATCTAGTTCCAACGGTGGTATGAATGAAGTGAACTGGGTAGCATTAGACATTGTTGGTGGCGGTGGACTCTCCCTCGTGACATGCGAAGGTGTCTTGTGTCAAAAGTCTCATTGCGATTGGGTCGGTCCCAACAGTTGTGGTTGGTCAGATAGCAAGTCTCTTTGTATTTAGGCTGTGAAAAGTGGCAGAGAAGACCATAAATTGGTCCTTGGTTTGAGGAAAATTTGTTGTGGTGCAAACCCAAGTCCCACATTATATACAAGTACCACGTAAACTCCACTAGTATGAAGCATTTTGAAAGAAGTCCAAAAACAAATCCGTACGGGCTTAGCCTAAAACGGACAATATCATACTAGTGTTGAGTTAGCCTAATCCCAACAAAAAACTTTGAAGCCGAACCCAAACCTAAACCCGAACCAAATATGCAATCGAAATTCATTCTCATAACATAACAAAACGCACCTAATAAATCTACAAAGATCGAACATTCACCGAAGGTAAAATTAGATTGAATATACAGCCAACTATGCACAAACTACCGGCATTGCCGAGCAGACTTGCCTATATCCTCACGCACGTGCAATTTGCTCCAAGATTTGCAATCGGGGTACTTACAACGGTGAAAAAGGGGCAATCCTCGAATCGGCTGATCCACCAAGAAAAAAGACAGAACATTACTTATCATGGACTAGTTAGTGTCTACCGGAAATTATATGAAGTGCAAGAGAAATATATTTTGAAATAGGAAAAGAAGACGAGCTTACCTTTTTAGTTCACAGCCGCGGAGCTTCTACCTCCATTTGGCATTTTCGCCATGAATCTGTCGTGGAAATATGCATACTGCTGCCTGCCATAGAAGTCGTCTGGCTGTGCCGAGTATCAAAGTACTTTCAAAGTTGGATTGTCCCGATGTAGCTAATGAAACTTCGAGTCCAATAGTAATTTCGAGATAACTATATCCTTGGTATAGGCTGTAATAATCCTTTCAAAATAATGTGATATCCAAATATTCTTCAACCAACTTATATTCTTGATATCACAACGAAGCAGTGAACTTACCACCAAAATTATTTTCCGCCACTGCGCTAATAATGGAAGGGACCAACGCGTTTCATATGATTAGTATTCCGTAGCGCTTTCAATCAACCGCCTTGCAGTACGCCATGAATCTCCCTTATCAATAGTCTTGAGTCATTGGAAACAAGTTTGCTTCCATATATTATCTCCCGAAATAATTCATGCTTACAGGCCGGCTTGAATGGCTCCAGTTCTTCGTATGGTTCAGTGATCGCTTCTAGATTGTGTATTCTTTTCGCTGGCTGGACATGCTTCCACCAGAAATCAGACAATGCTATATTCAAAAGATTCCAGTACTCGACATTGCGGTATATCCTAAACAAACTACTTCCATTAACAGTCCACACATACATATCCATCCAATCTAGATCGAGTATTTCCATCATACCTTGAGCTTGTGGAATATAGTACACTGGCACTCGTTTCCAAGGAGTGGCTACGCTCATATCACCTTTAAAAAATGGACATTTTATTTCAAGAATCCCATGGTTCTCCAAGGAATAAAAAGGGGGGTTGATAATTCCGTCAGGCGAAGCAGCTAACCAACTATCTTCATGGTTCTCCTTCCTATACACCTGAAATTCAGGAAACGATACTGTGTTTCCAGTTATCAACTTGTATCTTTCAAGAGCTTCCTCTTCTTTAATGTTGCTCCAACAAGTAGCAAGATTTCCGGAAAATGGTTCAATTTTCCCGAGCTTTTCTAACCACAGTCTACATCGGCCATAAGGCCAAAAACCAACTGCCAAACTAAATGTACTCGCTGTCAGTTTATGCTTTCTCAAGTGTTGCCAATTCTTGAACCAATGCTGAAGCCCTTTAGATTGAAGAATAGGATGACTTTCACCGGGTAATACTGCAGCAGGAAAACCTTTTGGAGTGCTCCCGTACCTCCTCTTTCCACTGTAGGGTGGAAAGTTTAATGCGCTCTTAAACTTGTTCCTATACTTGCTAAAATTTAGATATTCAGGAGATGAAATTAAATTATAGAAGCTCTTCACTGCCAAAAATAGATGGCAAAAGTATATTAGCATTGAATACGATAACAGCATCACAAAGTTCCTCAAAAATATAAAACATAAATAAATATATAAAAACCATTACTTTAAGGGAAGAGATACTAGGCAGAGACCACTTTGGGGCAAACTATAAGAAAAGGTTGAGTAGTTTTAAGAAAAGAGAAATGGATACAATATCCATAGACCATGCCAAAGATTATGACATTTCATCAAGGGAAACATGCAACAAACCATCCGAGTGTATATATGTTAACTTAAACAGTAAACATGTCAAAACTTTATCAGAAGTTGGTGACTTTTCAGTGGATGCTGAAAAGTAAAAATATTTATTTGTTTATAGGATTAGATGGTAGAACCTTGGGAGATATACCTTCCATGCACACATATGCTCCCAAAAGTAAAACAAATCAATAAAACCCATTTGAATCTTCTTGACACCATGTAGTACCAGTGCAGTAATACTTTATGTTCCTTAGTGCATCCTAATAATAGTTTTAAAAATTCTTCTCTATAGGAATGATGAATTTATAAGCACAATAACTCATTAGAAGATTACACAAGTAACAATGCTTAAAAAAAGAAAAAAAAAAAAAATCCCCGCATTAGTCACATAAAACACCAACCAACCTATGGAAGGAAGCTGACTCCCTGAGGTCCAACTCAAGGTTGCAGCTTATTGAGACATGAGACCATACGACACTAACAACTTGCATCCAAAAATAGGTAAGATTATGGATTGTCCCTTCCAACAGGAAATGCATAAAACCTAAGAACTTGTATGAGAATATAATGTTTATCAATCTGATCAATATCACCAACTCAGAAAATTATCCGCAATATCAAAAAACTTAGCTTGAGAGCAAATACCATTGATTTTGTTTGCTCTGGTATCCGCCGTGACAGATGGATCCTTCAAGGGTTGAGTAAAAGTAGGGCATTTTTTGGAAGTCTTGACAGGGAAAGTAAGCACAGATTCTGCTTTGATGGCCACATTTGCATTAACAGACTTGGACGTTATGTACAAAACTAAAGCATACGCTCTAGACACACCAAACATTGCCACTGGAACCTGAAACGCACCGAACAATTAGTACAAACAGAAAGGTGCAAGAATGAGCATCATGACTAGGCAGAGGCATCAACCAATCAAGCCATATTCTAAGTTTAGATCATGAATAAGGCAGATACATAAAAGTTATTGCTGGAATGACATAGTGGTACTATGTGAAATGTGTATTTCGGTGTGGTCTAGATTCGATTGTCACTATTCATTGTATTCTTTCTCTTCTATATATAGGTACATATACATATTTCATAGTGGTACACATCAAGCACCAATTTACATTGAAAATATTTCATCAAAAACACAGTTTTCATTCAAATATAGCACTAAACACTTATTTAACTCACATTAAAAAAATAATAAAAACAAAAAACTTTGATTTAAATCTTCAGTATTCTCGAACTACCACATCTCCCAAGTCCCAACCGACATCCAAACAAATTACACTCCCTATTTGAGAGAAAAACAATAAATTTTGCAGGTTCTGCAAATTATAGTGTGGATTAGATGAGAAAACCGCACTTGAACCTCCCATATAAAATGTACCAGACACTACTGCAATGCCAACATGTAAGTAATGAATTTTCCAAAAACACATTAAGCTGGAAAATGTAAGATATGCAAGCAAACAGTGGATAAACGAATAAACGTAAAACTCACAAAGCATATTCACCTTAACTTTCCGAGCTGCTGCAGGAGGAACAGATACATGGCTCCTCATAAACTAGGATAGATAACCATAAGTGACCATATATTCAGCCCATAAGAGAACGAAGAAGATTATAATCTGGCCGGTGCGGCGGCGGCGGCGCCGGCAGAAGAAGAATGGGAAGAAGGTTAGGTTGGATTTTTAATTAGGGTAATTTGTGGCATTTATCGTTTTATATATTTTACGGGGTAGAATTTATAATTTTCAAAAAATTGATGGACCGAATGCAATTAATTTCATCGCCGTCATCTACACAAACCCTAAATTCACCGAAAAAACTCTTCTCGGGGAGAAATTCACGATTTCGTCTGGGAAGATTGAGCAATCCTCAGGATGAGCGCGTACATGAGCCGTTTGTTTCCACGATCCAATTCAAGCTTCTTCCTTCGTAGCGGACTCGCTCTGGATGCGAAAGTCGTGCGGCTAAGGGAAGAGATGTACCTCATAGACGCCGGCGTGGGTAAGCCGCGGATAGCCACTCAGGAAGAGATCATCAAACCCCCAAACCACGACGGACCGGCTCGCTTCTCGAACCGAGTCGGCTTCCTCAACCCGTCGAACCAAGATTCATCGGTGAAGAACCAGCTCCTGCAGCGATTCTTCGTTGATCTGGTGACCGGAGATGCGCGGGCCAAACAGCAGGCGGCGGCGCGGTTCGATGACTTGGTGGGGCTAAGCGACACCGTTAGCGGTGGGGAGCAGCCTCTCCTCCTCCCTCGGAGGTTCAGGAAGCAGCGAGCGTGGACTGAACTTCTGAAGAAGTGGAGGTCCAATTCGAAGGTGAAAGGTTTCGTGGCGCAGAGTACAAGAGGAGGCTATTCGATCGCCATTGCCGGTTACCTCGCGTTTGTCCCGACTCGTAACGCTATGAATAACAGGCTCAGCGGCGATCGCTATATCATCCAGAGCATCAGCCCTAAGAATTTAGTGGTTGCCCCAGTTCGATGATCACATTTTTGGTCGATTTTGGGGTCCCGTTTTGCCTTTATATCTCTTACTCTATAATTCCTATTTATTTCAGCTTAAGTTGGAAGGTCTTGAATTTTTCATCATAATGCATAAACATATTTGTTATTAATCGAGTTTATTCAACAAGAAACGAAAGGAATATGTGTGTATGTATACATACGTTTATATTGTTGCAGGTAGAGATGATGCAATGACAAATTTTGAAATAAAGGGGTGTCCTTTATACTGTCTGGTAAGTTTTATAGGTGAAATATGTAAACACTAACCAGGTTCTTATTGATAATTTATTCCATGCCTCAGTGGATTTACTTGATGGCCATTTGAGTTGTGAAATCTTTGTATTGCACAAATTAGTGTTGCCTCATTGTTCTGATATATTGAGAAGAAAATGTTTGGAGTATGCAACAGGCTGTTTTCTTGGACAAGTTTTTGAGGGGATAGAATGTGGTGATGATAATCTTATAGAAAGATGGACCTTAGGGCTTTACAATTCTATACCATAGGAATATTGCTGGGGGCCCTTATATTCGGTTTCAGAAGCAAGAGAATCTTTATCGTGCTTAGGAGTCTTTTCTTGTATATAGTTACTACATGTGCACAACTCTTATTTTACATCCTCTTGATGTGTTTAATGAAAGCTATATATTTGTTTCTCAAGAAAAGAGAAAGGTTCTGTGATTTCACTGGAGAAGAAATACAAATCAACTTTAGAAGATGGCTTCTTGAATCTCTGTGATTTGTTGTTTGATCACATGGGGATTAAGCATGCCACTCCTATTTGGTCACAAGGGTAATATTTGTTCTTATTATTATGGCCTCCTATTTGGTATACGATAATTTGCTCTTATTCCTTAGTCATTGCCGCAGTTTATTAGCATAATGTGTGGTATTCTTCTTCTTGTTTTTAGGTTTGGGGTATTGAGACTGTAGTAAGATAGTTTGCTCTAGTCATTGCCGACGTTTATGATAGCATACTGTAAAGCCCTGGTTTGTATGGATGCCGGTGTTCTACCATATTTTTTCAATCTATGGCCAATAATCTGTTTGAGACTTTTCTTGGGTGATCAGGGTTGAAGATGCAAATTTGAATTAAACTTTTGATAATGTGGAAATGGATGGTTGATTGGGCCTTATTATCCTTGAAAGTGTTCAAATTGTTGTTAAGAATGAGATGAGATTACTTCTTGTTAAGGTGTATAGAATTTAAGTGAAGTGTCCAAATACAATAGCTTGCAAACTAAACCAGGATTTGAATTGTGGTCATTAGTCACCATATTGCACCAATTTGGCCACTTCATTCGGCTTTGTATAATCATATTCTATTGTTCTTCAAATCTTTTGTTGGTTGATTAGGATACAATTGTAATTGAAGAATGGTCTATACAAACGTCGGATTTCTCCCCCCAATAGCCATTATTTGCAGCTACTTATAGTGATCACTTATCAAGAATCTTGAAAACAGTGGTCATCATGATCATCCCTATGGCTTAACATAATGGAAAATGAATATATTTAATCCCATTGTATTTTTGCAACTACATGAAACTCCATCATCAAACCCTGAACTCCCATGAAAACCTCTTCACTACAACTAACAAGCTAAAAAAACCATTCACCCAACAATAAGCCAATGAAGAAAAACATCAAATCAACAACAATCTACTCAAAGATTCCAAATCATTACATCCTTAAAAAAGAACAAAGTATACACACACACACAACCCTCAAGCAAAATTCCTTATTACTACATATCCCAAATCCAAACAATCTAACTATCCTCGAACAAAACATTCATTCTATAACATCACCCCACAACATTCACATATCCCCACCATTTCCGAGCATACAACTCATAATTCTACGGCAAGCATGCCTGACTCGAGGATAAATCCTCACGGTATGGGCCGTCGAGTCCTTCCACACGCCCTCCATAACCTCCACGAACAGAGTCAAGCTTCTGATCGGAGGGATGTACAGAGTCAACGGCACCGCCGAGAACGCCACCGCCAAGAACACGTGCAGCATCGCCACTAGATTAATTCGACAAATCCGAGGAGACGTGTATAATTTCTAGGGCTGTCGGCCGCCTTCGAAATTAGCCTGCCGATGATCGGAAAATGGGACCCGATGATGAACAAACAATCAAGATTTCAGACAAAAAGGGGATTTGATAGGGAGATGACAATCAAGAACCACTCGATCGATCCGAACCTTCTTTCATATATATCGCCAAGAAAACAATAGGGTTTGAGGCAGAATCAATAATTAGGGATTTTGAGGGAGGAGAAATAGACAAGTCGAAGTAGAATCAAGAAGACACATTTCACAGATGTAAGCCCCTGCAAACGAACTAACTCCCCAAATCATTCAAATGAAAAGTCAACACTATACCAGAAGGTTCTTGATTTTTTGTGGCCAAGAATTTCCCATCTTTTCTTTAAAAAAAAATAATAAAAAATGGATAAGCCTAATATTACAATAGGCCTGAGATGTAAGAACCCAAAGAAATTAATATGATCGAGTTTTAATTTTATTGAGCCGGGCCCAGTAAGCCCAATTGAAGCAAGGGCACGGGGATGGTATGGTTCGCTTCCACGGTTCAAAATGTCCGATCGTTTTCATTTTGGCCTTCCACCATTTCCGAATCTTCAAGGAGAATTACGGTGCAGCAGGTCGGGGAGTGAAGGAAGCCGCGAACGGGTGGGCGAAGGTTGAATCGGAGTGAATAGGGTGAGGAAATTCAAGGGATGGCAATGGCAGGGCGCATGAGATCTGGAATCCCTCTCCTTCGCCGCGTGCTGACCGAGGAGGCGGAAGGATCCGTTAACCTCAGAGCCGCGCTTTTCCCTTCTTTTGGGAAGTCTGAGGTATGATCTAGAATAGGATTTAATGGATTTGTGAGATGTTGATCGCTTTTCGCTGCGGACCTTCGTATTTTGCCCTATTTCAATTTACCTCTTTTTTTTTTTTTTTTTTTTCGTTTGATCATTTGGTGAAATTATTCAGTTTCAGTGTATCTGCCGAGCATCAACGCCTTCATTTATGTGCCTTTTAAAAAAAAAGATTGTAGAGGTGAATTGCATAGTGTAAGATGATTAGGATATGCAGGCTGTTGATTACAATTTTTATGGCTATTTGTCGCAGTTTACGAGGAGCTATGCTTCTGGTCCTCCTGCAGCGGCTAAGAAAATTAAGGTGAATATCCTTTTTGATTTTATATTTTTCACTTAACTTATCGTAGGCGTTTATTCCACTAACCTTAGATAGTAACAATAGTTCTTAGATTTTCCAGCTTCATTATGTTTATGGAAAATATATCGCTTATATGTAGCTGTGGCTTATATGTGGTGGATTTTTTGTTTGGGTTAATTGTAGAGCTGATGCAGCTATTGTCATCTAATGCACATTGTATGTTTGCTTAATCTGCATCTTTACTCAGTACCACTTGGTTGTTCGCCAATGGTTCTGTCTGATTCATGATATAGCATAATAGTATGGCTTGATATATTCACGATTGGCTGTTTTTCTTAATTATGATGCTGGCAATTGGCCTAGTTTTGCACCTTACTTTCCTGTTTGATTTAATTGTGTTCTGCATTTTAGGTCCCAGTGACTATGTTTGGTGTGTCCGGAAACTATGCTTCAGCTTTGTACATAGCAGCTGTCAAAGCGAATGTATTGGACAAAGTTGAATCTGAGCTTACTGCCCTTGTTGAGGCTTCAAAGCAAAGCCCTACTTTTACTCAATTCATGAAGGATCTCTCTGTAAGGGCGGAGACCAGAGTGAAAGCCATCAATGATATTTCTGCTCAAGCTAAGTTTTCGGAAATTACGAAGAATTTTTTGAGTAAGTGATGCTGACTCAATTGTTGAACGCTTGCTTTCTAATACATGTTAATGTTCTAGGAATTTCTTATTAGGATGCCAGATGTTTATTTTTGGTTGTGCTTTCTTAGAAATACATTTGAAAATAAATTTTACACAGATGTATGCCAATATGTTCAAACCATGTAAAATTGCCACTAGCACACTAGGAGTCCCTATTCTGAAAGGTGTTTTATGTCTTGCGAAGGAATTAAATTATAGAGAGGAAGTGCATATACAAGTTATTCCAGTGAGATATTGCTAATATTCTTGTTTATTTATTATTTTCATTTTTATTGGTCTACATCAATCATATTGTAGCATCCATCTGATTTCACCTTGCTAATTTATCCTAAATAAATATTACACAGTTTTACGCTATTATTTAGGCTGATCAATGTATCCATCTGATGTTGTTTTCGATTTGAGTTCACAAATGAGCCAATATCATCCGTTCAGTCAAGCTAGATGCATTCCCGTAATATATTCTATTTTCTTGTACCAGCTGTTGCAGCTGAAGGGGGGAGGCTGCGTGTTCTAGAACGAATATTGCAGAGATTCTCAGAGCTGACCATGGCACATAGAGGGGAAGTACAGGCTATTGTGACCACTGTTATTGTGAGTTCACATACTCACCTCCATTATTATTACGACGTAGAAATTTTTGTGTAGATCAGAGCAATATTGTCTTGTTCATTTTTGCTCCATACTGTGTATGATTTGGTTTGATGTTCTCCACAAATCTTGCTGCAAGAACTAGCAATCATAGATTCCTTATCCAGATATAATACAGTCTAAATTACAGTTCCCTCGATTCTTTTAGTTAATTTGTTATTTTGCATTTTTACTTGCTGGTGAAACACATGCTGTTAAATTCGAGATTTAATTGCATTTAATACCCATCCACTGCAGCATTTGTTATTTCATTTTCTCATATTCTCTCCCTCTTCTGCCTGCAGCCATTACCTCCAGCAGAGGAGAAAGAACTGAAAGAAACATTGCAGGACATACTCGGGCAAGGGAAGAAGGTTAAACTTGAGCAAAAGGTACTCAACTTTACTTGTGCTCTTCCACGACATAAATATAAAACGACTGTAATATGGTTATGATGTTCCTGCAGATTGATCCCAGCATTCTTGGCGGGCTTGTGGTGGAATTTCAACAGAAAGTCTTCGACATGTCCATAAGGACTCGGGCCCGCCAGATGGAGCGATTCCTCCGCAAGTCTATTGACTCAGATGTTCAATAAATGCTGACAACATATGCATTTCCCAATCTCTTCGGACAGAAAACCTTTGAAGGGAAACATGTTACTCTTCATTTTCAAGTGTGCCCTGGCGCCGTTTTTTGTTGAATAAACAAACATCCCCTGATGCAGACAAATAAAACCATCCCTCTTCATGAGTTTTTCATGTAAGTTTTAAGACATGTTCTTCTGAGTTTATTATATATCTTGATTAATGTTTGACTAGATATTTCCTACCTGTTTGTGTGCAATATTATTTAAGCTAAATTTATGGACCACTCTGTGTCAAATTCTGAAACTAACTGCCATAACTTGCACATAGAATTTCTGCACAATTTTAAATGTCTTGTTATTAAAGCAATAGATGAAGATGAGAGAGAGAGATAGAAGTAGAGGTAGAGATAGAGAGAGAGAGAGATGATCCCACCAGCAATTTAACTTTTCTTTCCTTCACTTAACCCTCAAGTTTGGTTCCATGTCTTGTTCATCACATTACCAAATCTTTGAATTGTTTCTTTATTACACCTTACACTACACTACCATTCATTCTTTCCTTCCTTGCTGAATTATTGTCACAATGATAATAATCATTTGATTTGGTGATTTTTGGGCTTTGCTTTCTTTCATTTAATTATGCATCTTTCTTATTTATTGAAATCTATGCCCCCCTCTTTTTGGGTATTTGTTACTTGTCTTTGGAAAAGTAGAGCATGTCTATTACCATGTGTATGTGTGATATTTTGTTAATTATTTCATTTTGAAAAGAAACCCCCACAAATATATAATATGATTGTATTGACTTTCAAATGTTGCAATTTGAGTGCACCCTCTGACTTTATATATATAATGTCTTGTTTTTTTGGAGTTGGAAATGATTTTCTTGGAACACTTGTCTCTCTTCTATTAATAACATGATTCCACAATGTCCGTACTATGATCTTTTTAAATTTATTATTGTTTATGATTTTCCTTAAAAATATGTTTGTATCAAATATTTAATTTTTTTCTTTTTTTCTTTTTTAAGACATTGTGTTTAAACTTTATTTTTTACATAAAATACTAAATCAATATTCGATTTATTCACATCAAACGAACAATTCCAATTATATACTAAAGTTTTCTAATGTAACTTTCCATTCTTTGATACTCCCCTCTTTAATTTATTAGTTCCCAAAATTCGAATTGGATTGAAGTGAAGATAATATACTATAATCAACAATCATAAGCATTATTAAATCGTATAATATCTATATATAAATTAAATCATATGTATGTATGTGTGTCGATCAATTTTACAGCATCATCAGCTCTGAATCCTTTTTCTTTGTGCGGAATCGAAAATTCATTGTGGATTGAGTATGAGAAATTTAAATGATGCCAACTTTACAATATAATCATGATGGATATACAGAGTACACCAGATAATTAATTCTTGATCTTCAATCCTGCTTTTCTACACCTTTTATTCATTCTCAAAAAATAATTAAATTCTTTAACATATATCCACACAGCACTTGACATGTACACATACTGACTGTAAAATGGGATTGATTTATTACATGTGCCACATTTGATTTGGGCTTCCCTGTCGTAGTACTCAACAACTGTATATATATATATATATATGTTTATCTTTTTCTTTTAATAATATATATATATATGGATACGCCTGTCTCTATTTCTATATGTGATATGAATTGTGTATGTATACGTGTTCAGTTGTGTGTAATTGGAATATATATATATATATATGAGAGAGAGAGAGAGAGAGAGAGAGAGAGAGAGAGAGAGAGAGAGAATTGAGTACCTTGAGAGTTTTCTCATGAATTGTTTGGCTTTTTATCGTTCTATTAGCTTATAAGCGACATGTCCCATTCACTACAATATTATCAATTAAGTCATGCAAATATATATATATATATATCATCGTATATGTAGAGGAGGAGGAGGAGCACGCCTGAGAAATTTATGGCGGACTATTAGGTGATGAAAGGAACGAACTCTCACTCTTACTCTCTCTCTCTCTCTCTCTGTGTATTGGGAGTTAAGATATATCTATATATGTGTATGTATATGTATATGTATATGCCATGTCATCAAGTCTGCAAATGAAGCAATATGTTGATGATGATCACTGTGTATATTTTATACATACATACATATATCTATGAAGTAATTCTTACTCTAAACCATTAATCGTCCCTCTTGTAATATACATTGGTGTATTTCTGTTAATGCAATTCTGTGAACACACAGCTATATATATATATATATATATGTATGTACATATATAGTTGAAATATGGCATCAAGAAATTTAACGAGGACAGAAAAATAAAATAAAATTGATATATATATATGACATATGTATATATATATTATCTATCCTGCTGCAGCTCAAAGCATATACTAGAATATGTATATATATATATATATATATATGTTTTGATGAACATCATGATTATAACTTCAAACATAAAATGATTGCAGACAAAGAAAGTGCAGCCTGGAGAAAAATAAATATATATTATCTTATGTTATGCAATGTAATGTAATGGTCAATGTGCTTATCATTTTATTATTATTATTATTATTATTATTGTGTGTATATATAGAGATATATATGTGTCCTCGTGTGTATTTATTTATAATTATGTCTTGGTGATGAAGGTATGAATTAAAGAAGTGAATATCAACAGTCCAAACCCTAATCAGATATGTGACAGGTGAATATATGTGGGTTAATACTATTACAGAAGTCTTGTACGTGATTAATACTATTTGTATGTAACGACGAAGAGTAATGTGAATGTTGTTTTATTTATAATTAATTAATAGAGGGACAGACAGATGATCAATAATTATATCAAGTAAGATTAAAAGAAAAGGAATTGTCTATTTTCTGTTACTGCAGCAGCAGCCTATATTAATACTTATAAAACACGTGTGTGAGTGTATGGCCTCTCTGTGTATGTGTGTGTGAGAGAGAAGAAGAAGAAGAAGAAGAAGAAGATGAAAGAAAGCTTGATAGTGTGGTAATGGTGATGTGTTTAGTGGGACATTGTTTGAACTACTACAAATATAATTATTAATACATAACTTTTATATATATATATATTATTGCAGCATTCAGCAAATAAAAATCATTAGTAAGTTGTTGTTGCTGCTCTCCCTCTAAGTCTTCATTTTTAGCTACAAAGAAAGAATGAAACAAAGAAAGACATTCTCTCTCTCTCTCTCTCTCTTTCTCTCTCTCTCTCTCTCTCTACATATATATACACACATATACATATATAATGTGTGTTTGTGTGGGTGTGGAGGGGTTGAGTGGAAAACGGATTGGAGGGGGACCTAATTGCAAGAAAAGGACATCTGGTCTTCTTGTCTTTGACTCTCTCTCTCTCTAACATTGATCTATCTCTCTTTTGATGAAATTTTCTTCACTCACAAGGTAATCATCATTTTATGTATGAGAAATATATATGTATTCTTTTGCTTCCACTTCACATAATCCCCTTCCTCTCTCTCTCTCTCTTTCTCTCTCTCTAATCATTAATGTCCATCTTCTTCTATATATGTATCATCATCTCCATTTTCATCACAGTCCCCATCAATGCCAGTTGGAGCTGCTGCCCCTCCCCCAAAAACCTTTAACTAATACTACAATCTATCCCTCCTCCATCATCATCTCCATAACAAATAACAACCACAATCCATCAGATCAGATCAGATCAATTTAGTGTCATCATGAGGAAGCCTTCAACAGCAGCAGCAGATCCTCATGGACATGGAGGTGCATCAACAATGGCGGAGAAGGGCAATGTGAAGACAACGAAGCTCCGCAAGGGGCTGTGGTCGCCGGAGGAAGACGAGAAACTGATGAATTACATGATGATCAACGGACAAGGTTGCTGGAGTGACATTGCCCGGAACGCCGGCCTCCTCCGCTGCGGCAAGAGCTGCCGCCTCCGGTGGATCAACTACCTCCGCCCCGACCTCAAGCGCGGCGCCTTCACCCCCCACGAAGAACACCTCATCCTCCATCTCCATTCCATTCTCGGAAACAGGTAAAAAATTTGAAAATAGTAAAAAATTGAATAAAATAAATTATTTGACGAGATGTTTTGATCAAAAAGCATACTTTAAAATCGATAGAATGTAGGTAAATTTTTTTGAAAAGATAAGGAACATATCCTAAAAAATTATGTTTAGTTTTCACTATTTTATGACAAAGTTTTATTGTATTTGTACATGTATACAATTTAGTATAGGGTAGGGGTGGTGTCAAAAGTTATAGTAAAATTTTTATTAATCTCTTAACTAACCTATATAAAATTTTCTAGTGGAATTTATTCTATATAGCCTTAATAGTACATTACATTATGCTACTAGTCATGTAAATTATTAAATACCATTAAATATTTCCTTCAAAAACACTCAACTAATTGAATATATATATATATATATATATTTAGTAACTAGCCACCAACAATAGTTTGATTTAATTTGACTTGATGCATACATATATATTGTACCTATATGCATGCAATAATTTTGTAGCTGAAAAATGGATTCTTTGGTTATAATTCAATTACTTAATTCTTTCAATCTTTTGTATATATATGATAATTGTTACTATGATTTTATCATCAGGTGGTCTCAGATTGCTGCAAGACTTCCAGGTAGGACTGACAATGAAATAAAGAATTTCTGGAACTCCACTATAAAGAAGAGGCTGAAGAACAGCACGAGCATGAACACAAACACGAACACGACTGCTTCGTCAGCGTCGCAGTCCCCGGACAACAGTGAATCCTCAGACATCAACAACCCTACCAACACCACCATCACCACCAACAACATTAATGCTGCAGTCTTCCTGCAAGAATTCGACGTAGCTCGGGTATCGATAGATTCCTCCTCTTCTTCTAATTGTTCATCAATGCATCAGGCTCCAAACATGCCCTTCCCCACCCAATTCACAAACCCTAATTTTGATTACAACAATTCCATTGCCTACAATCATAACATTTTCGACACGATGGAGCCCCCACCTTCTTCTTCTTCTTCGGGTACACTGTTCAATCAATTAGGGTTTGGGATTGGGGAATATGGGGTGATGGAGCCAACCCTTGTGGGATTGGAGAATGAGAATTTTGTCCATGGATTGGAGGGGAGTGGGGTTGGGATTGGGGATGGATTAGGGTTAGGGTATGAGGTTGAAGACAATCTGATCACCAATTATAATAACTATAATAATCTTTTGGACAAGAAATTCATCAATGGTGGTAGTGATGTGAATTGCAACAATAATAGCAACCAATATTTTTTGAATAACAATGTGAAAGTAGAGGGATTAGGTTTTGGGATTGGGATTGGGAATAATAATAATGAATGGGAAGGATCAGAAGAAAGCTTCAAGATTGGGGAATTAAATTGGGAGGGTTTGTTGGCTAATGTCTCTTCTATACCTTTTCTTGATTAGTTTCCAAACCCCTTCAATAATCATCTCTTTCTCTCTCTCTCTCTCTCTCCCTCTCTCTCTCTCTAAAATTGTTACTTGGCCATTTGTTTCAAAGCTAAAAACCCCTGAAATTTCAATTTCTTGTACTATGGCAACCATTCATTTCATTTTCTCCTTAGCTTAATTCCTCTCCATGAAATAAGTATCGGTGGACATTGGTGATCGATTGATCGATGTAATTAGCTATAGATGAGAGACCTTTAATTTTGGCTATGTACATTTCATGTGTACAAAATGTATTGTACTTCAAGAGGTTAAATGGCCAATATGCAAGATGTGAATAGTGATAAATGTAATGGTAGATGGGGAAAAATAAGATATATATATATATGTAGTTACATGTATCTTTTGTATACTAAAGAAAATAATTCATTGTAACTTAGTGATCAATTTGTGCTTTTTGCATCCTTCTTGGTTACTTGAAAATTCTTGGGTGTCTTTTGTAAAGACGTGATTAATTATGTGTGATGAAGAAAATTGATAATTATAATTGTTGCAAGTATCCCATACGTTAGCATGGCCGAGACAATCGCTCTATCACCAAATATGCCGGAATATTGAAGATAATTTGGACTGATTTGAAATGAAAATTGATGATGCTTACATTTATACACGATTATTTGAATCGCTTCATTTTCACACAAACTCTTCCTCGATCAACAACATATGTTCTCTCTCTATATATGTAAATATATATATATATATAGTTAAGGTATATACACAAAATTGAGGTAGATTCGTTGGAGGTTATATTTTATCAGTACAATTAGTTTTTATATGATTTTTTCTTTAGTTTAATCCATTGAATTCATATATGAGATACATCATTTTGATAATATGTAGTGAATTATTTTTATTTATAAAGTTTAAAAATTAAAAAATCATTAGTCCCTATTCACACATATATTGATTGGAATTATATAATATGCTTGAATACTTATATATGAAATGCTAATCTATGGTAGGCTCATAGTATGTTGTTATAATACCAAGATGCTATTACTAAATTAACACTACAAAAAAATAATCTATTTGTAACGGAATTTCGTCCCTAAAGTTCACGTAGCTAACGTAATTTCATTTCTAATTCCGTCTCTAATGTCATTAGTAACGAAAAAAATAGATTTAGATAAAAAAAATGTTTTGTTACAAAAATGATTTTTTCTTGTAGTGTAATCGGAATATTCCTTTATTCTTATTATGATTATAATTATACTATATATTGACTTATAATATACAAAAAAAAAAATGATCGATGACTTTTAAGTAGTATATATGGTGTTGATTCTATTGAAGTCTCCTACATTCTTCACTCGAAAAAAATTTGTTTTTGAAAAAAAGATGATTCCATGGGCGATGGATATTGACAGTTGCAATTGCTCTTCTAGTATAAAATACCTTAGGTATGTTTACACTATATATGGAATTATCTAAGATTACCTATCGATCATTTATTAATTCGTAAATTTAAAAAATAAATAAATAAATAACCCCAATAATTTGATGTAGAACACATTTTAAGTGTATTAATTACTCATAAACCATACATATTATGTAGACACGTAACAAATACTCCCTCCGTCCCATATACCGTGTTTGCTACGCTGTAGACACAGTATTTTAGGAGGGATGCAATTAATAGATAATTAAGAACGTATTAGTGAAAATAATTATCCTATAATATAAATAATTATAAATTAAGATTAAGATAACTAATTAGTTTAATTAAAATTTTAAAAAAATATTAAAAAGTTTAAAATGAGATTAAAGTGTATAATCAATTTTAAAAAAAAAAAAAAGTGACATGAAATGTAAAACAGACATAAACGGCAACATGGACATGATACGTGGGACGAGAGTATATGTTGTGTATTTTAATTAATAAAGTGGGATCCAACAAAATTAGTGAGGACCAAAATAGAGATAATTAATATTAGCCCTCAAGGCCATAACAACAAAGCTCAAAATTCCATGTGCACATTATCAATTCACAATAATAATAATAATAATAATAATAATAATATAGTCATCATGTATATATCTTTTTATCCACAATTATATATATGTATATATATATATATATATAGTGATAACTTGATGAGAACTCACAGTGTCTATTTTTCATGTATGTATTGAGTAAATTCTAGCATAATATACACTACAAAAAAAAATAGTATATTTGTAACGGAATTCTGTCCTTAAAGTTCACGTAGCTAACATAATTTCATCTCTAATTCCGTGTCTAATATCATTAGTAATGAAAAAAGTATATTTAATAACGAAAAATCTTCGTTACAAAATTGATATTTTCTTATAGTGGATAGAATAATTATACTATGGTGGAATTTAAGATTTGCTTCTTCTGTGAAAATTTTTTAATATATTTTTTTTAAAAGAATTAATATTCTATAGATAGTCAATATTTTTATGAAATTTTTTATATCTAAAGTAATTTTTCATTCAAATAAAAAACACAAAACAAACACATGCAGTTAATTATATAATGATGTGTCTTGACACAAAAGCAAAAGCTAAAGCTGCCCCGCCTCTTTAATTTGTTCATTCTTGTAAGGTAATTTTAATTTTTCCTCTGCACATAAAGTAAATAAACGTACCAACAGGCCTCCAAATTTTCATCATTGTTACATTGCTTATATTATTATTATTATTATTATTATTATTATTATTATTATTATTATTGAATTGCATAAATATAGCAAGTAGCCACATTTATTAAATCGCTACAAAATGGCCTGCAACTTGCCTTGCTATTGATATAATTATCATCATTGCATAAAAATGAAGAATATATATATATATATATAAATATTTTAAAGTATATCATTACTTGGTTCTTAATATTTTGTTGTAACTTGTAAGTTCGAGTTTATGTTAACTATATAATGCTCTCAATTTTTTCCATCTTAACTTCTTTCTTCTTCTTCTTTCAAACTATTTAAGTGAAATTATTTATAATTATCTATTCATGTCTTTTTTTTTTATTATTTATTAATAAATATAATTAACAATTAGAAAAAATAGAAACAATACGAAAATTCAATTCGAACTCAGAATCTAGCCCTTAAAAAATGTTTCACATCGTCTACAATGGTTTTAACTAGTCTAATAGCTTAGTTCTTACTTGTTGTATTGTGAAGTTTCAAGTCGGAGTGTGGGTATTGTATATTTAGTCTTTCGACCTATATCACTGTAATGCTAATGAAAATATTTGATTTGATCGTTTTTAAACGTAGATCATTTTAATTCAATAAGGTCACCAAATTATCATTTTTTTTATATGTTTTTTTTTGTGTGTTTTTCATTTTATTTTTTTTAATTTTCTCAATTTTGGTAACAAGAATATGCAAAATTGAAATTAAATGATACTCACAATATTCTATTTTGCTTCTCCAAAGAGTATGTGTGTGTGTATATATATATATATATATATACACACGAAATGAAGGAATAATTATAATGAAAATGCCCTAAATGTCACATTTTTACCTTAAACGAATAGTAAAAATGAATATACAAATATGTAATATTTAAAAGTTCTTGATTAATTTAATGTGATTAAAAAAAAACATGCTTAACTTGACATGATTTTGCTGGGCTTTAAAAGAAGCACCAATTCGGTGTAAAGCAAACCAAAAGAATTATTACATTCACCATAAATCTATATATAATCTTAACTTCAGAAATTTAAGGATCATAATGAACAAACAACCAAACCAATCCACGCCGTCGATTCAGCGGGTCCCCCTAACACTATCACGAACTCCCGGGAGCCGAGGACCAGCGTCTTCTCCCCTTAAAATACCGACGACTGCACGTCGGAGCTCTCATCAATGGCGGATTACAGAACCGACCCCGAAGAAGAACCGCTGTTCTTATCCTACCCCTACGCCCTCTACTTCATCCAGAGCCCCGCCTCCTCCGCCGCCAACCATCCCCCCTCCCCTCCCCTCGCATTTGCACTCTCCGGCGGCGGCGCCGGCGGCTATTCCCCCTCCCGCGGCTCCGACGACTCCTTCCTGAAGAAGCTCTACGACGATGGAGATGCCAAGGTCCGCCGTGGGGATGGTCATGGAGACTTCGAAGAGGGCCTTAACGACGGGGATGTGCGTGTAGATGATACTCACCGGAGCTTCGAATACTCCGGCGATGAAGACGACGGCGGCGGGGGCGGCCGGAGAAAAAGGGGGTGGATTCAGTATTTCTCGTTCGGGTACTCAGATTCGGGTTGGTGGATCCTACTGCAGCTGAGCTGGAGGTTCTTGTTCAGCTTTCTCGTCGCCGTTCTGGTTTTCTACGCCGCCGTGAAGCCGCCGCCCCCCGCCGTCTCCGTTAAGGTCGGCGACGCTTTTCTCATGACGCTTATTACTTATTTATGCATTAGTAATAATAATAACTGTTTGTTTCTTTTGAGGTTTTTTATGGATTTGAAAATTTGTATTTTTTTAATAATAATTTAATATTTCACTTTGTAAAAGAAAAAATATTTTTCTATTTAAAAAGATGACGTTGGGATTATAAATAATATATTGTTTTATTTAATATAAATAATTCTTAGATATGAAATTTTATATACAATATTTTTTATAAATAATTTGTTGTAATATTCTTAATTAAATTGGGTTTATTAGTACTTGCTATAAAGCCCAAAGTGAGAGGTTTATATCAGGCCCACTACATTAGTTTCGTATTTTTTCAACAAAGACTGGGCCTCATGCATATCCTATGGTTATATTAATATAAACAATAATTCAAATTTAAAATTGTATAATCCTAATTATATATCTAAATATTCCATCTATGTACTAATTATATATTTCTTCTATCTCACAAATAATTATAAATTTTAAAAATAGAATTAATTGTATAATTATTTTAAAAAAGAAGAAATATATATATATATGTGAACGAATTACATGGGAGATGAAAGTATTATTTTGTCACGTGCTTGAATTATAAACAACGAGGCTGTCCATTTCCGCTCAGCCATGACGACGATGACGTATGAATGACCTGTAATTCCCAAATCGCAGGTCGCCAGAATACGGCAGTTCCGGGTGGCGGAGGGGGTGGACGGCCGCGGCGTCGCCACCAGCATCCTCACGTGCAACTCCACCGTCGCCGTCGTGATAGACAACACCAAATCGAAGCTCTTCGATCTCCACATCCACACCCACCCACCCCTCTCCCTCCAAATCCTCTTCGCCAATCTCCCTCTCGCCGCCTCCCATCCCCCGCCGCCGCCGCCGCCTCCCGCCGCCGCCAACGACGTTACACGCTTAATATTAACCGCCGGAACAAAGAACCTCGCCGTGTACGGCGCCGGCAGAGAGATGCAGGAGCTTCTGAATTCCGGCAAGGGCTTGCCCCTGCAAATCAGACTGAGCTTCACGTCCAGCTTCCATGTCGTCCGCGGGATGATCGACCTGAAATTCCGACACGACGCAAGCTGTCTCGTCGTCGTCTTCGCAGACAAGTACGATCGGAGACGAAGGACACACCGTTTTAACAGCACGTGCGTCGTCGCTCGTCGGCCATTGTAACCACCTTCGCCGTTTAAATTACGAACCGTACGGCGAACCGGGTTTTTTTGGCTGTATGTTTATTATGACAAAGAGGTAGTACAAACGACGTCGTAATACGGATTCTGTACGGACTGTTATTTTCCTCCCCTCCCTTGTGATAAAATTCAGCTGAGTAGCTGAGTAATGATTATGAGATTATTATATGTGTATAGATATTTGGTTAATATTTTGAATTTATATGTGGGATAACCTTATATATATATATATGTTTTTGTTATTTTAAATTTTATAAACTAAAAAATCAATATGTTTATATATATTTTAAGAATGCATTTGGTATAACAAATAAAATTGCAAATAAATACTAATACTCTACTTCTTTCGTCTGTCAATTATATATATATATATATATGTAAATTACAAATGATATGGAGTAATAAAGAATAAAAATTGCACAAAAAACATAATCTTAAGAATTGAAATTAGATTATTTGTTTGGTTAAACAGATAATGTAATTCATTTAAGATCACTATTTGAGTTGTTCTTTTGCTCATAGATCACTGTTTCTATTGTAGCGTTTTTTACTCCCAAAGATATCAAAAGCATCATATTTACATTTAAGAAAATATACTTATATCTTCCTTGTCGCATCGTTGATGAACACCGTATAGTACTGTGAGCCTCCAATGGTCGATACAAGAGCTGATCCCTACAAGTCCGTATGAACTAACTCCAACTTTTCATTTTCCAAGTCGCATAACACATATATTGTTCGTTAAAATACCAATTACTTCATCTGTTCCAATTTAAACTATTATTTTTACTATTTTCGATTGTCTCACTTCAAAGTATTTTTTTCTTATTTTACAAAAAAAGTAATCATACACTAATATCAAAATATTCTTTAACTTTTACTTAAATTACAAAGTCAAAGAACAAAAATATCAAAAAAATCTTATACATATTCACTAACTAATAAAATATTATTATTTCTCAATTTTCTAAGAACTCGCAGTCGCTACCCGAAAGTGCGCATTGGAGAAACCCCGACCGAACCTAATACCCTGCAAATTAAGCTCGACAAACAAGTCACACTAGACGAACTATGTGTGGCAAGTGACCTGAGACGTCGACCTCACAATCACACATTCAACCCCCACACCACCGGGTCATCCCTTGCTACTAACATCTGCCACTTTTATCTCATAGTATGGTGTCGTACAACGAGTGACTTAGTGATGTGCCCACTCACTATTGGTTTGTTGGCTCTTTTGAAGTTATTTTATTTAAATTTTGATTTATATACTCTCTTCATCCCCAAGCATCATGCAATATTTATTTTTTTGGGTATGTCTCAAACATCTTACAATATTTTCAAAATAAATATTAATTGATTATACTTAATTTCTACTTCACATTTTATCCTCTCAAATCATCCAAATAAAAAAAATAAAATATATATTTATCTCTTCATCACGTCACCTAATTTCTAAATTATCCTACTTAATATTACCCCACCTAAAAACTAGTGCCCAAAACAAATGTTGCACCTTATTTGGGACGGAGGGAATACTAATATTGCAATATTTGTATTTTATAGCAGTATTTCATTATTATTCCAATCAAACTAAAATTCAAATAATAAAATTAATTATGTGGTGTGGGGATGGATGGGTAACTGTGAAGTAATGAGTTCAAATTTTATCTGTCACACATGGTTCGTCTAGTATGATTTGTTTTATCATGCCTAGTTTACAAACTATTAAATTCGTCCGAGAGTCTACTCAGAGCACAACTGATGGGTAACGGTGGCGGATTCCAACGTTATAAATAAATAAAATAAAATCAAATTTGTGTTTGAAATCCAAGAAAATATATACTTCCTCCGTTAAGTATAATTTACTTTTGGCACGAAATTTAAGAAATAATAGTATTTTAATTATAGTGGATAGGTAAAAGTAGTGTAATGATATTTTTGCCCTTACTTTTTGGTATAAAAGTAATGATATGATGTAAAGTAAATGTATTTATGAAAAAAAAAGTGAGGTATTTAATGAAATGATTACTTTGTAATTCGACGTCCCAAAATAGAAATATGTATACTTTGTAGCTGGACCGATGGAGTATAATTTAATTTATATTGTTTTCAATAAAAATATATTTCATCGGTTTTATATAAAGTGTCTATTTTATGGTAGATACAAAAAAAAATAAAAAATAAAAAAATATTAGTAATAATAATTATGATATAATATAAATAATTATTAATTAAAATTAAAATAACTAAATAATTTAATTAAAATTTAAAAAATTATAACTATAAAATTTAAAATTTGATTAAAGTTTATCACCATCCCATATATATATATATATATATATTAGTGAACACTAAAGAGTTTATTTTTTACCATTACAAACCAAAATCAACATTATTCATTCCACACAACTTTCAAGATATTATTTTCTTCTACAAAGTATCAAATCAAAATATTATTTAAACAAAAATTTAAATTAATATTTATTTTAAATCAATTAAACAAAAATATTTATTTATGAGAACAAAAAAGTCCTATTATATTTATAAAAAATATAATATAAATTAAAAGTCATATTTAATCATCAAACTCCAATCAAAACCAAACAAACCATATAACCTAAGATTCACTCATTTTTATTTTAGTACTCCCTCCATCCCACAGTAACATGTCCATGTTGCCGTTTCTGTCCGTTTCATATACCATGTCACTTTCTCTTTTTGAAAAATAATTATACACTTTAATCGTGTCATTTCATTATATGTGAGAACAGCAACAATAATAATGTGTTCAAAAATGAAATTAATAATTTGAAATTGGCTTGTGGACGCCACACGCACCTCCATTAAATATACAAGTGCGATTTTATTTATTATATTTAATTTAACAATACACAATGAAACAATTTAAATATATATATATACTTGGAAGTGCATGTTTCTATTTTTAAATATATTTTCACACTATTGATTTTATATTTTATTTTTTTGTTAATTCGTTAAATTTTTGTGCAATTTATATATAATAGAATAATCTATCCATTTATAATTTTGAATTCGATTTTTTTCAATTTCAAATTAAAATTAATATTATTCATTATGTATAGTTTTTAATAAAAATAAATTATTTTCTCTTAAAACGTCACAAAATATTATTTAAATAAAAATTTAAATCACCATTCAATTTCAAATCGATTTCAAATCACGGCTAAACAAAAGGTGTGTTTGTTTTGTGAAATTATTAAAAAAAAAATTATATAAAGTTATAGGAAATTGTGTAGATAATATAAAAATAATAAATATATAGTGTATTATTTTTTTTTGAAAAAAGTGTAAAAACAAAAAGAGAGAAAGAACAAATTAAACTCTTTATTATTCTTACTTTACTAAAAATAATAATTTGTCATTATTTTTTTACTAATTAATCCATTATTCATATTTTTAAGAACTATTTAATAATTTTTTTATAATATCACATTCTCTCTATTTTTAGATACTCTAGTTTAACATTAAAATATTAATATTATTATTTAATGTCCGTATTCATATAAAATCACATAAATTTTACTGGCGAATGAAATAATATGTATTTATATTACTAACAAATTATTTATATACATAACATAAGAAAAATATCTCAAATTAAAAATATAAAAAAATACAATTTTTTTTATTATTATAGATATATATATATATATATTTAAACCTAATCTAAAACATATATGGAGAAAGTACAATTGACAGCTGGGCTCTATTATAAAACAATTGAAATTAAATAAATTTCCATCCACTTTCTAAACTAGTTAGGTAAGAATATTTTAAGGGTATTGTTTCAGCTATATATTTTTAATTTATTTTCTATTAATTAAAAAAAAATAGCTTTTTTTTTTTTTTTTTTTTTTTTATGGAAATATGAAGATTGCATTGTATATATATGAAGAAAATACACAGACTTACACATGCACACAAACAAACAAACAAGAAATGGTGATTGTGGCCATTAGAGTTCCATTAGTAGCATTAATAACTATATAAATATAGTAATTCCATCCTATATATAAAACTTCCTTCTTTCTTTTCAGAATTTTTAAATAATGTAATTTAAATAATTTTTGAAAATACATTGTATTCTCATATTCTTTTGTTTGAGTCAGAGTGTTTGGATTTTTACTTTTAATATTTTTGAAATGGAGACGGTGGAACTCTAATTCCAAACTCAGCTTAAGTTCTAATACCATGTCGGATGTATAATGATCCTCTCACCTAAAAATTTGAATTTTTAGAACAAAAAAAAAATGCAACAATTCAATTTTTCATTGAATTCTATACGATAGTTTCATTCAACACTTATATACAATAATTACTTTTGCTTTGTAATTTTAGCCTAGGATAATAACAATAATTATTGCAAATAATAATAGCAATAATTATAGCTCAAAAGTAAAGAAAATACTCACATATTGTTGTGTAAGTTTATCTATCAAAAATTCTTATAAATTAAGTGGTACGATTTTAAAAAATAAAATAAAATCATTACAACTAGGAATAAGACACAAGTGATTGCACGATCATGCACATATAAATATTGGCCTCGGCTTCTTTTTTTCAATTTTATTTATTATATACTTCTTCTTGTCAATAGAAACATATCCAATTTTAATTTTTAAAAAAGAAACTGTTATATTTTGAAATTAATAAATTAAAATTAACAATTTATGATTCATATATATTCTATTTTTACATCGGATGTGTTGTCAACTCTGTAACAATTTTAGTATATATATATATACCATGTCTAGACAAATAAATAAATAAATAAATTTTGAGACAAATAATTTTACATTAATTTGGAATTTACCGTTGGTGCATTACACTAGGTTGCCACTACGAGCTCTGTAGAATAAAGTAATAACGTACACCAATATATATATATATATAAACTAACTGTGGATGGCACGAGCATATATAATTATTACGAAATTAGATAAAGTTTCCAGCAATAACTTATATTACTTATAATTAAGATAGCATTTAATATATTTAATTTGTTATATTTACACATATACATACATTACCAGGTGTTAATAATTTTTTCTAATAAAATTAGGGTTTTGTTTAATTTGTTTAGTGTGTGAATTTGATATATATATCTTTTTATATAAGATATAGAAAATTGTTTAAATAATATTTTATATTAAATATAAATTTCTATGAGATTATAAAATATACTCCATTCGTCCCAGATATCATGTCCACGTTGCCATTTCTGTCCGTCTCACATACCATGTCACTTTCCTTTTTTAGAAAATGATTACATACTTTAATCTCATTTTAATTTTTTTTTAATTTTAATTAAATTAATTAGTTATCTTAATCTTAATTTATAATTATTTATATTATATGATAATTATTTTCACTAATACATTCTTAATTATCTACTAATTACACCCCTCCTAAAATATCGTATTTACAGTGTAGCAGACACGGTATCTGGGACGGAGAGTGTAATATATTATATTCGGAAGAACAAACCTTAGATTTGTTTACTTTAGGGGTTAGTGTTTGTAATATTCAATATATAGAATGGTTTAGTATAATGATATTTTAATAAAATAAAATGTATATATATATATACAAATAAAAATATATATATATATTTTATGTATATAAAATAATAATTTAGTGGGAGAAGATACCTTTATATTTTCACTCACATTTGTAGCTAAAGTGTGTGATAATTGACTCTAGTTATCAAGTGGAACAATATTATTAATAACAATAATAATTAACTAAAGAAAATGATTATATTGGCTACTTTCCATGTTATATATTTATATTTATTTATTTATTTTAATGTTGAATTAAAATAAAAAGATTATATTCCTAAAAAGAGAAAGAAAGATACATCAACCTAACTAATCCCCTAAGCATTACAAACAAATGGACAATTAATTCATATTGAATTCTATTTCTACAACTCTTTCACTTTTATTTTTAAATTCTAATTTACCTAAAACTTTTGAAAATTGCCCAAAAATTTTATTATTAGGGCCTCAATTGCCAGTCAAATCTATTAATTGCAAGTATAACTATTGAAATCTCGACAAAAAATTATACTCGGGGAGTTTTTTTTTTTTTTTGGATAATCTAAAATGAAAATCCCTTAAACTTACTTGTTAAAAATTAAACTAATTTCGATTATATTAGTATTTTATTATTTTTTCATGATTAAATCAAACATATATTCTTCTTATAAATTCAAAATTTGTTCATAAAATATTGTTTTGATAATTTATATGAATCTAGTAGGATTATACTCCCTCTGTCCAAATAATAACTATACATTTACTTTTGGCGAGAAATTTAATAAATAATAGTATTTTAATTATAGTGGGTAGGTAAAAGTAATGTAAAGACATTTTTGCCCTTACTTTTTGATATAAAAGTAATGATATGATGTAAAATAAGGGTATTTATGAATAAAAAAATAGGGTAGTTAATGAAATGATTACTTTGTAATTGGACGTCACAAAATAAAAATACGTATATTTTGTAGCTGGACGGATGGAGTAATTAATTGTAGCTCATTATTTTCATTATTATGTGTAAAGACCTGTTATATATCGATCATGTGCGCTAAAAACCCGAAAATAGATTTTTATACTAAATCATCAAGATAATTAAGGTCGATTATTTACAAGACTAAATTCAAGCAGACGACGAAAATTAATCTATAGATTAAACAAACACAATAATTGGATGATGATGAGATTAAATTTAATCAATCATAATGTTGGATTTAAATTATGATTAGCAGTGAAAATTAGGTAATTACGTTGGCGTACGTACGTGTGGACTGGTGGAATCATACGTGCCCCATATATCTTTGCAAAAAGTTGTCCAATTAAAATTAGGTCGTAACAAAATTATTAACGCCCACAAATATTACAGTTCATCTGTCATTTAATTATGTGTTCATTTAATCGGATTTTAAGAAAAATAAATAAAAATATATATATATTTTTTTATGATAAAAGATATAAAGCACATTAATATCCATTGTTCCTAGAAAATTGTACAAAATTATTATTGAACTCAGGTCACAAACCTCTTTAAGGGAGATTTTTTTTTTTTTTTTGGAAAAACATATAATTAAATATATTTTATATTTATAAAATATCACATCAAATAAATAATTTTTTCTATTTTTAAAATTTTTCAAAATTATAAAACTTTTATATAAATGAAGCTAAATTTTGCAATAACTTGTAGGGATGTCAACGAGGTGGGGTCGGGACGGGTTATGCAGGCCCCGAGATCTGCCCCACTAAAAAATATTAGGCTTCGAGACCCGCCCCGCCCCGCCCCGCCCCGCTAGAAAATATTAGGCTCTGAGACCCGCCCCGCTTCCACCCGGCCCCAGGACGTGCCCCGCCCCGAACCCGGCAAACCCGTTTTTTTTAAATATATAATAATAAATTTTTTTTTATAACAATCGAATACTAAAACAAATAGCATTAAAAGCACAAAAAAAAATCTAAAAACAATCTATTGATCCATAAAAATAAGATAAATAAATAAATAATATATTTTTATTATATAAATGTACATATATATTAGTTATAATAATTTTAAAAAATATCCGGGTTCGGATCCGAGTTGGGACGAATTTTTAGTAAAACTCGTAACCCGCCCCGAAAAATATTATTTAGACCCAAACCCACCTCATTAAGAGTGAGTCCGGGGCTAACCCGCCCATTTGACATCCCTAATAACTTGTGGAAAAGTGTTCAACCAATTATTCATTTCATTTAGATCAATTATCATCAACCCTTTTTCTTTAAATTTCTCACCAATTATTAATTAGATAAATATATTACATAACATTGAAATTATTTACTGGATTTCATCAAATTCAATTAATTAAATTATATATATATGGCATTTTTAATTAGCATGAATTGGTGAGTGGAGAAAATGGGTATTATATAAAGGGGTGTGGTGAGTGATGGTTTAGGGCAGCACACAAAATTAAAGATCACTTCCATACTAACATTTTTGGAGCTTTTATTTCACTCTTCAATTCACTTTCAAATATCAAAAAAAACACACACACAAATCAGGTTAGTTTGTGTATAAATTTGTTTATTTTAATTTAATTTTTTTGTTACATGCATGTTGTTACAATGATAGATAGTAAGTTTAATATTAATATATTAATTGCAATTTATTTTTCTCACTATATAAATTGGATGATAAATTCTTGCATGTTTTAAAAAGTATTCTATTTCAAGGGCTCTTTCTATTTTAAAATCTTTTATTATGTTTTCTTGAAGTATTGTTTTATCTTATAAACATTGAATTCAAGTATTATTTAAATATTCTTTTTATTTTTTTTATTTGAAATTTAGCATAAATATGTGTATATATATCATTACATGTGGCCACACATTATTAGAAAAGCAAAAGATAAGATCAATGCTTATTCACTAATGTTTATTATAATGTTTAAAATTGCAATTTATGATACAATTTCTGTTAATTTATTTTTTTTTTTATAAAAAATATTTTCGCCACCTAAGGTTTAGAGAAAAAAAAAATTCATATTCAATGACTATTTTTATTAAAATAAATGTTAAATAATTTGAAACACTAAAGAGATCCCCAAAACACTAGTAAGTATATATATTTAAAATTATTTTAATAATATATCATAAATAAATACTTTCTTCGTCCACTATAATTATGTTAGATTTTTCTTTTTTTCCGATTGGTGTTAAACTTATGTACAATTAATATATTGAAAATCACATCATATTTGTATCAATTTTTTAATAAATTGTTTATAATATCCTAATTTTAATTTGTACTTTATATTTATATTTAAATTAAAATATTATTATTTTTTAATTTGTGCAAATAAAATAACATAAGCATTAGGGAGTATATGAATTGAATAAATTTGATTGAACCTTAATAGACAGAAGCTGCCAACTTTATGGCGCCATTTGTTTGGAAGGCATCCATTAATAAATTAATAACCATTTCACTTCTGTTCAGCTCCAGGTTTAACTGAGGAAATATATATATATATATATATATAGAGAGAGAGAGAGAGAGAGAGGATCTTCTCTCTGACTGACAGACAGACAAATGTAGTCGGAAAAATTAAATTAAATTATTTAATATGAAATGAGCATTCTTTTCTTGTAATTAATATAAGGTATACTTATTCTCTCCCAATACAATAGTCATGTTTATTATTTTTATTCATTTCAAAATAATAGTTTTTTATAAATAACTATATCACTATAAAATTTATCTTATTTTTTTATTATTATTATACAATTGCTACTACTTTTTACACTAATATACTCACAAGGCAAAAATATTTTTTATCTGTATTTTTTACCTATTGCTAATGTAATATCAATATTATTTAAATACTGTGTCAAACCCAATTCAAACTATAATTTTGGGACGAAAGAAGTATATGATTATAAACATATATATATATATATATATATATATATATAGCCATGAATGAGATACCGATGAAATTAGGACAGGTCGGCTGTATTTAGTATGAGCATTCCGTCTTTTTATGCCTTCCTCAAAATAGTTTATGTTTCACTCTCTCCGTAGTAATTCACTTTCTTCTAGTTGTCAAAAGAGTCATGGCTCTTTGTCAAATTTTAGTAAACTTCCGTTTATAAATGAATAAATTATAAGTATCTCTAGAATTAGTTTTGAGTTTCACATATATATATATATATATATTACTCCCTCCGTTTTGAAAATTTAGAAAGAATATAATTAGTAAAAATAATTTTAAATAAATAATTAGTTTAATTAAAATTAAAAAAATAAAAATTTTATAAATAAAAAATATTAATTAGTCTTGATCGCCGTTCTAACCAACCGTTGATAGAAATACAAAAGTAATGTTTTAAAAAGTGTTAACTGGGGAGGGAAGAAAGAGGTTTACAAGTACAAAGTAGTAGCACTGACCTCAACTCACCTCAGGTCATGCGATGTTCCACGAACCTTCTTCTTCGTACACAACAAAAACTATCTTATTTTATTTGATTTCATTTTCATTACCATCGAAAGCCTCGTCTTGTCCCTGTAAGTTTTTTTTATTTTTTTAACTAATTCATTCAGGGGAGGCATCAGCTGCACCTGAGGAAGGCTTTCCTTTCCTTACATTTCATTTCATTATTACAATCGACCCATGTAATGGAGCTTCATTCTACATTCTCGATCGTGACAATTACTTTCATTTCTACGTTCCAAATTAATTCTTCCCTCCACACTTATTTATAATTCACTTCAGTTTGCCGACACAACAATCACATGAACATGGCTGCTGACGATCATTCGTCTAATCCTCCCAAAAAGTGGATCGATCTTCCCATTTTCATCTTCTTCCACGACCCCACGAGCGTCTTCAAAAGAGACAAACTTGGCCGGGAAATACTCGGCATTGCTCTCCCGGCCGCCATGGCCTTGGCCGCCGATCCCATCGCTTCTTTGATCGACACCGCCTTCATCGGCCAATTAGGTATACATATACATTCGTATACATATATATATATATAGTTAGTTCATTGCTCTGTTTTGATCCATCGGATTTGGATTTGTGTTTCGAACAGGATCTGTCCAAATCGCAGCCGTCGGAGTTGCCATTGCCATATTCAACCAAGCCTCGAAAGTTACCATCTTCCCTCTTGTAAGCATCACCACGTCCTTCGTCGCCGAGGAAGACACTGTCAAGCGAATCAACGATCGCAAACTGCAGAACGACGTCGAAATGGGATCCGCCGTCGACGATAAAAGCTTCGATCATGATGCTGGCGACGAAGAAAAAGATCAACAAATCGGTAAAAAAATTGCCTACATTCTTGATCGACCATGATCATCGATCCATCCATCCATCCGTTGCTTCGCTTACTTACTTACCGTCGTTTATTACCTCAAACCTCAGTTGCATCTGAAAACACTCAATGTAAGAATCCCGCCGATGATGATGGTAATGGTGTCGATAAAGATGCTCCGGCGACTGTTAGTAAGGAGACAGAGAAAACCGAGCGCCGGAATATTCCTTCGGCGTCGACTGCTCTGGCTCTCGGAGGTGTTCTCGGACTGCTTCAGACCATTCTTCTTATCTTTTTAGCTAAGCCATTTTTAGGCTTCATGGGCGTCAAAGAAGTGAGCATCCGAAACTTTTCGATCAATTTTTCAAACGTTAAAACGTCCCTTTGTAATAACCCAACATCGAATTATACATAGGGATCTCCGATGCTTCCTCCGGCGCAAAAGTACCTAACGATAAGGGCGCTCGGAGCGCCGGCCGTTCTTCTCTCGTTAGCGATGCAAGGAGTGTTTCGAGGATTTAAGGACACTAAAACTCCTCTCCTCGCCACCGGTAAGAAGAGAACATCGATCACAAATTTCGATCTGTTTTTCTCGTCCTTTGCTTAGCGTTCATCGAATGTAACAGTTGTTGGAGACGTAATGAACATAATCTTGGATCCGATCTTCATCTTCGCCTGCCGGCTGGGGGTTACCGGCGCGGCAATGGCTCACGTCCTGTCGCAGTAAGTCTGCGACGAACATTCGTGCATACATTTCATTCCACATCGATTTTCTTGATCCATTTCTGTATTTTTTCAGGTACTTGATCTCACTCATTCTTCTGGTGAAGCTAATGAAGCAAGTCAATCTCATGCCGCCGAGCGCGAAAGATCTGCAGTTCAGCCGTTTCCTCAAGAACGGTAACTTCTTCTTCCTCGCAGCAACCGCGCTTTTGCTCATGCTCACGTCGCGAATATTACCGCTGCAGGTTTCCTTCTTCTTGCAAGAGTCATTGCTGCAACCATTTGTGTGACTCTAGCAGCATCAATGGCTGCGAGGCTCGGCGCGACTCCGATGGCCGCGTTCCAGATATGCCTCCAGGTCTGGCTCACGTCGTCCCTTCTCGCCGATGGCCTAGCCGTCGCTGGTCAGGTAAGAAAAAAGATCGGTGGTACCAGAAATGTCTGTAAGATCGCGGCATTGTTCGATGATCATCTGTAATGAAACTGTTTAGGCCATTCTTGCGTGTGCATTCGCCGAAAAGGACTTCAAGAAAGCTACGGCTGCAGCCGTCCGCGTGCTGCAGATGTCGTTCGTGCTCGGGCTCGGGCTGGCTCTACTCGTCGGACTTGGTCTGAATTTCGGATCCGGGATTTTCACCAAGGATAAAAATGTTATCCGTATGATCGCCATTGGCATCCCGGTACTTATTTGCCTTTGACTCCCTTAAAAACAATCCGTTTTCGTGCGCTATCCGAAAGTAAATCGAGTGTGTTGTTTTTATCAGTTTGTTGCAGCGACACAGCCGATAAACTCGTTGGCGTTCGTCTTCGACGGCGTTAACTTTGGAGCATCCGACTTCGCCTACTCGGCTTACTCCATGGTAATCCTAACAACACAATGTCTCGACTCGGATGATTATTAATCGCTCGATCGATCGACACGCTTAACGTCTGTTCGTCGCAGGTTCTAGTGTCGATCGTGAGCATAGGTTGCTTGTTCATCATGGCGAAAACCAACGGATTCGTCGGTATATGGCTCGCGCTAACCGTCTACATGTTCTTGAGAACATTTGCCGGCTTCTGGAGGTAAATGGGCTCGCGATAACCTGAGAATAAGTTCGTCGTAATTTGATATCTATTAACACGTAGAGTAAATATTATCGACGTTGCGCAGGATGGGGATGGGTACCGGACCGTGGCAGTTTTTGAAGCGCCGATCATTGCCGCCGGCGGTCATATGAGAGTAGAAGCTACAGACCATGTATTAAAAATAAATCCATGTTCAGAGAGCTTGTGTTTTGTTTTTTTCTTAGTCTATTTTTATAGCTCATATTATCTCCTTACTTCCCTGTGTTCTTTCAACTGTAACGTTTATTTTTCTTGTACCATAATGTGATTCCCAGTCTGTAGTAATAGCAGCCATAAAATGTCACAAAAAATTATGTCTTCATTTTATGGGTTTTCAAAACTTAAAATAACAATAATAATAATAATAGTAATAATAATAATAATAATAATAATAATAATAAAAGGGGGACAGAGACTAATGATGCAAGCAAGAATGGAGATCAAAAAACAAATGGAAGGGACAATCCAAATTTTCATTTCATGGCCTGTGTGCATTCATGTAAAGTCATGTCATATCTATGACCACTCAAGTCAAGTGCCCATCACAATCTCATCTTCTTAACCTAACCTAACCTAACCTAAGTATACAAATAAAAATCTCTTTAGATATCATCCCATGAATGAACGAACAACCCCATCACAATTAGGTTTGAAAACGGGTCGAATCCGCCCTTTTAATTCAGGTTTCGGATCCGGTCCATCGGAACCTAAAAAATATGGATCAGATCCGGAGCAGTCTGGGTCCAATATCCTTGAACCAAATTTAAGATAATTTTTAAAAAATAAAAATAAAAATAAAAACTGTTGGCCTTGCAGAGCCATGTCGTGTTTATTTTGGATGAAATAGGAATGTTAAATTCATAAAATAGGACATAAATATTTAATTATATAATAGAATATATAATTATATAATAATAATACATAATGTATATATATATATATTACTGGATCCGGGTCGGAACCATAGATACCAAATCCGGTACCCTATATAATAGGGATCTGGTTCCAAAATCGGATCCAGGTTTTAATTGAGCTTATATCGGATCAAGTCGGGAACGACCAAATTGACAGCCCTAACCACAATCACAATCATCATAACAATTTGCTTATTCCAACTACCAAAGAAAAAAAAGTGACATCATCTCTTCGTATCAAGAAAACCCACAACAAATGCAAATTAGAGATTGAAGCCAAATAGCCACCGCAACAGAAATGACATTGATGAAAGGAAACAGGAGGATGTAAATAAAAATAATCATAATCTTTAGAATTAGGAATAGTACAGAGAGGTTGGTTTTCAGTACACAGCCCAAATGTAGTAGATATGAAGATTCATGCTTTAACAATCAATAAATAATTGGGATTGCATTAGGAAAATTGAATTCACTTGTTACCCATAAAACAACTTCCAAACTCTAGCATTGCTTGCTATGTTTCTGAGTTTGCACCTCTTCCAACAGCAAAAAAGTGAGCTCAAAGATTTTTTATATGCTTCCTAAAAATAAAATGCTTAGGTTCTTCAGCAGAAATGAGTTCATATATTACCGGTTAGCTAGACTACGAGTTGATCAAGTTGCATCTGCTCGAGCCAAGCACCTAAAACCGAGTGATCTACAGAGTCAATTTGAGTATTTGATCTTAAACACTCACCGGATGGGGTTGCACTCGCACCCGAAGAGGGGGCTGCCGTCTTGTCCATCATCTCAGGTGGTGATTCTTTTACGAGAGACTGCACCCATGATAAGTCCGGCTCTTCTTCATCGTTCTTGTTTTTGAACGAGCAAGATCTCTTCATTCGACCCTGACTGTCCCCAGCAACAGACCAATCAACTTTTCCATTAGGGGACTCCCACTTGGGCCAAGCAGCAGCAGCAGCAGCAGCAGCAGTGGGTGATCCAACCATGGGAGCACGGTTGGATCCAAGATCTCGGGAACTGAGGCTGCGCATATGCTGCTGCTGCCTCTCACGCTGAGCGAAAGCTGGAATATGAGCGCTCATTGGAGAGGCCGGATCCATGCTTCTTGGAGACATCCGTGGAGAAGAGACACCAAAAGAAGCCTGCAACATAGGGTGCTCGACATGTCTAGGAGAAAAAACATTAGTGTTAACAGGTGGCAAAATGCTTGGCTGCTGTTGAAACTGATTCCGAACAGCGGCTTTATGTGAAGGAGAAAAAACACCAAAAGCTGCTGCCTGGTCAGACAACCTTGGCGACAATGCCATCTCAGCGGAAAAAAGCTCATCCAGATTGGACGGAGTTAGTGTTGCCTTGGGGCGGATGGAACCATTCAATACAGAAGAATTCGGGCGTGGCTGCAAAAAACATGCTGATTCACTCAGAAGCAGTTGCTGGGTGTCGTAGTCCCCTCGCATTGTATTCAGATCATCAGGTGGGATATCACGGGCACTAATGGAAGACCTCAAGCGACTAGACTGGAAGTTGCTGCCGGGAAGATGAAGTGTGGGAACATTTGGCTGAGGCCATGCCGCAGAGGGGTGAGTCATTCCATTTGCCGTAGGAGACATGGCTTGATTAAATGCAGGAGAGATCACAGATTGTGATGTGGGAGAGCCTGGCAGAAGACTTAAGGCTGCAGCCATGTCCATGAAATTAGGGGCCGAGGCTGCTGATCTAGGAGAAGGAACACCAGAACCAGTGGAGACATACAATGGACGAAGCTCTTCCTGTGTGTGAGCAAAGAAACAAACTTGCCTGGCACAGCTTGTACCATCTTTGCACAGCCGAGTTCGATACTGAGCAGGGTGCAGCCAGCACTCAAACACACCATGAGCATACTCACACATATCCCCACGTCTGCAAGCACCCTTTCTAAAGTCAGGACAGGGGACACAGCTGTAATGATACTTCCGTGGGTCTCTTCTGCGCGCATTTTCTCCAGGGTGAACAAAGGGACACTCAGTCCAGTCATGAGAGTATGCCCTCGAACAAGGCCTAACTTTGAATGAAAACATACGAAACTCATCAGTCGAGTAGATACTGTTTCTAATATCCGGTAAAGATGGATCCACCGGATACTGTTTCTTCTCCGAGCCAAAATTAACAGAAGTATCACCAAACTTAGGGGCAGTAGGAGAAGATAGACGCTCGGTTGGAGAACATGGGGATCTACTCTCTGGAGGTGACGAAGATAATACAGGTGAGGATGCATTGGATCTAGACAAAGACACCTGTAGATCGGAAATACTGTTTGTAAGCAAGTCCTCAAGAGCAGCTTTAGCACCAGGGAGCTTTGGATGAACTGTAATCAAATCAACGGGACGCTTCCCACTGGCATCCTCAATGTTTGGATCAGCACCGGCAGATAACAGCAACTTCACAATGTCCACTGCATTAATAGGACCTCCAAATGCAGCACAGTGGAGAGCAGTCCATTTGTCTCGTCCGCATGATCTATTTAAATCAACTTCTGGTAAAGCAACAATTAGCTTCAACACATCCATGCTGCCGTATGTCGCAGCTATCATCAGTGGTGTTCTCTCATCCTGGGTGATCTGTCTAGAACCTTTCTTGTGGACATACCAAAGTCCTGCAACATCAACTGCAGACAAATCAAGCTCAATGGATCTCCTGAAAGCTTCAGCATCATTGTTGGCAGCAAACTCAAGCAAAGTGGAAAGATTGTCCTCAATCTCGGTGGAAAATTTGTTTAAGTCCTTCATGCTGTTGGTTTCCTTAATTGCAGCCCCTTGGGTAGTAGAAGAATTGGATTTCGATTGCTCAGGTCCACTGCACATACTCTAATCAACTGCAAGTCAAACAAATAAATTCATTTATATCAAGAAAACACCAGATTCTACAAGCCATGTTAATTATAAAGAACGCTTGAAATGAAAATTTACAAAAGCCACTGCAAGACATAACATCTTTGCCCAACAGAACAAATCCATCAAGACACCTACAGAAAATACTATAGAAAACCACACAAGCAAGAACCTTACCCATTAGTCAATCAGGAAAGAAATTACAACATACAATCGAACACCAACGAAAATACTGCCACAAATTGATCATCAAAATATAAATGAAGCCAAATTTATAGAAAGATTCATCCAGTGAGAGACACGCTTCACAGACTCGAATTACACAAATAATAATGAGAAAAGAACAAACTTTCCACGATATGACATCCAAAGTAACCGACTTGCTTGAAATCCGACACAGAATCCAAACTATATGCTTCTTTTTGAAGTAAAACAAAGAAAGATTAAGCCTGGTCCATGTTTCGCCGCTAAACACCAGATCCTGAGAACAATACTATAGACAAGTCAAATATGGAATCTAACTTTGCCATCCATTTCAAGGAATCGAATCATTTTCGTATGCTCGCAGATTATACCTCATCAGAAACGAACCTTTTTTTCTAAGTGTAAAGGGTATATATTCACCAGATACACACAACTGCAGATATATTCACCATAAATCAAAATATTTGAAGCCATCCACATCGATGTCGTGAAGAAACGAGAGGAATGGAGAGTGCGTTATTTAACCAAAAAAAAAAAAACTGGATCACACTACCCACGATTAAAACCGAAAATCCATATCCAAACAAGGGTTAAAAGAAGTATAAATCAAATCAACAAAAACTACACATAACTACAGCAAAAAGCAAAACCAGATCAGTTCAAAGTGAAGTCAACGACAATCCAATCCAGTAGCCTAAAATTGAAAAAGAAAAGCAGCACAAGATGAACTCACCAGCGTTCCCAACAGTAGAATCTTCTACCAAAGATCGGGAATGAATCATATTACTCCGTCGTTAATGGATCTACCGACTGCAGCCAAAACAAACAACGCAAAAACTACAAAACTCCGCAGCGGACAAGGCGATCTTCATCGTACAGATTCACAAGCTACAAAGAGAGCAAGAAAAGGCACGCATACATACAACATATGATAGTGGAAGGTGAGAAGGAAAAATCGATGGAAAGCGAACTCAGATAAGCTTGTTCCTTTCTGCGGTGTAGTGAGAGAAAAAAGTGTTTTGTCTGTTTCCTCTAGAGAGAGAGAGAGAGCGCTGGGAAGGAAGAATGAAAGGAGCGGTTTTGAAATTGAAATGTAAATGAAATTCAAATGCAAATGCAAATTTAAATGTCAACTGAAATGTGATTGAAATTCACGCGAAATGAATTCGGAATGAGAGAATCTGTACGGTAAATTGAGAAATTGGGAAAAGCAAAAACTATCCAGGCCAAGTATAATGGGCCTATTAATTGGGCCTGTAGTTTAATGGGCCAGTCCATAAATTGACCCAATTCGTAATATGAAAAGGATTGGGGTTTGAATACTGGATGTGATATTTGCTAGAACCTAATTTCTACTGGATTCTGGAAAGTAGATGTAATGGAATCGGTTCTGCGATCCATGAATTTAATATTTGATTGGATTGTTGCAGGGGTTATATATTCATTTCCAATTTATGATGCGATAATGCTTGAACATTTGGCGTGATCTGAGATCTGTCCCGGTCTATATCTTTCGGCGCTGCTGGCGGGATTGATCGGATATTTTGGTTTTGATCCAATACTGATTGATTAATTGAGCGGAATTGTTTCGATATGGAGTCATCGTCAGGAGCAACGCCGGAGTTTGATTATTTATTCAAGCTTTTGTTGATAGGCGATTCTGGGGTTGGGAAAAGTACCTTGTTGCTCAGCTTCACTTCGGACACCTTTGAAGATCTCTCTCCAACAATTGGTGAGTTTTTGTATCAGTCGATAGATGCTTTCACTATGTGTTGGTAATGGCTTTGAATTATCTGGTTTGTGAAATTGGAAACTAGAACTTTGTGTTAATGGCATAGGTTAAGTGATTTAGGTTGAAATTTTTTTTCTGTTGTTGGGGAGATTTAACTATGGGGACAAAATAATAGGATTCTTCAAAATAATAATTCAATAATGAGGTCAATGCGTTTGATTTCATTCTTTTTCTTTATTATGATTGTGTATTTGTGTATTGTGTGTATAATGGAGTGAGTAGAACTCAGGTTGAATTAGATTTGGTTGGACATGATTGTGATGATGCATAATGGTAACTTTCTTTGTAAAGATTTTGTATCTATTAAATTAAGCAGTGTATTTGAAGGAGAATGTTTCGATTATAGTTCTTTTACATTATTTTTTTATTATTGGGGACCTGATCTTTTTAATCAGGTAGTCTTGTTTTCTAAGTTCTGTGGTAATTGTCGACTGGATGGTTCTGATAGTTACACATAACTTAAGTTTTTATCCTCCGGCAGGAGTGGATTTCAAGGTAAAGCATGTTACTGTTGGGGGTAAAAAGTTAAAGCTTGCAATTTGGGATACTGGTAAGTACCTTAACATACTGTTCCTGCAAAGCTGGGAATCATTATCGAATAATAAGATAGCTACTCTTATCTTGAGTTTCGTCATTTACTTGTTTAATAATGGGATTACAACTTTGGTGCCATCACAAAAGCAAGACGATACTTTGATATTTTTCTGAGGATCTTACGTCATCTAAAATTGGTAAATGTACCATGTCCATGTCCATGTCTTAGAAATTACGAAAGGAAGTTTCGTAGATGAATTTACCTTTATTTGAGGATTTGTATACAAGGATATGCATTATCGGATTTCTCACTTTGCAGCTGGACAGGAAAGATTTAGGACTTTGACTAGTTCATATTACAGGGGAGCACAAGGAATCATAATGGGTATGTTTTCACCTATTGAATGCTTTGTATTGCTGTAGCTTCCATAACTACTCTGTCGTAATAATTGAGGTAGAATATTGTCTTCCATTGTAGGTATTTAATTTTAACTTCCGCACTAGCACCCTTGGTGCAGATCACGAAATAAAATAATAATAGCAAACGTCTTTGCTTTGATACAGTTTATGATGTCACACGGCGAGATACATTCACAAATCTATCTGATATTTGGGCTAAAGAAATTGACCTCTACTCAACAAATCAAGATTGCATTAAGATGCTAGTTGGGAACAAAGTCGACAAGGTATTCTATGTAGTAGTCATATCTTAAGTCGACTAGATTTTCCTATTAAAGCAGTATCTTGATACATTCCAGGATTATTAGGTCTTTGTTGTGCATTGTGTTTGATCACATTTCAGTTTCTACGAATTAGGTTTTTGTCCAGCACTTTCACTTACCTTATGTATGCTTATACAGACCAATGAATTGATTAGTGAATAAGCTCGAAACTTTTGCATCTGCAGGAAAGTGAAAGGGTTGTCAGCAAAAAAGAGGGAATCGACTTTGCAAGGGAATACGGGTGCTTATTTATCGAATGTAGTGCCAAAACCAGAGTAAATGTGGAGCAATGCTTCGAGGAACTCATCTTAAAGGTACAGGTGTCACTGTATGTCCAGATACGCAATATCTTGACAGCAAACATTCATGTGTCGAACTTTTGATTGATGAACACAGATATTGGAGACACCAAGTCTGTTGGCTGAAGGTTCGTCCGGTGTAAAAAGAAACATTTTCAAACAGAAACCTCCGGAATCTGATGCATCCTCTAGCAGTTGTTGTTGAGCCCTCCCACGGCTGCTCCGAGAAGTAAAGCAACTCACCTTATCTCAATTGGTTCATTTCATATCATTCATCGTCCTGTCACTGTGGTTTTATCCTTAATTTGTCATTCTGTAACTGTTTTCTGTGAATTCTGAAAACCAGTGTCTGTAATACATATGTATATATATACAAGACAAGCATATAATACATGTGTTTGGTCAAATACTTCAAGAATGTATAACATTATCATACCAATTCTCATGTTTCAGTGATGGAAATGAACACGAAATTCTGTCATTGGGTGGCTACAGAAGTTTATTTGTAATAATAATAATTATTATACACAATGGCAACCACATTTTGCCCAATTCTCACATCATCTTCATAAGATCAAGACACTTTCAGATTTGCTTGTTCTTGAAGTTGCTCCTGTAAAAAATAACAATGAACAGCATTAGGTACCCCAACTTTCTAAGAAATCATTCGAAAAACTGAAGGCAGCAGGGTTCAAGAAAGGTCGGTATGCACCAACCTCCGTCACAAAGAAAGCATGGAAACCGTAAGGAACTCTTTTCGGTAGTTCAATCACAGCGACGGGGTCAAGTGACATTGTTTTTGCATCGATTACATTCACTTCTGACTTCCTATGCATTCTCACATGAACAAGGAAAATATGCATCAGGTTTCACCAGATTCAAATTAAGAAATGATATATATACAATGATATATATACATATACTTATATGATGCAAATTATACCAAATATAGAAAGCGCGTACCCGGTGCTTTCATTATGAACAAAGAAGATCAAGTAGCCATCATCTTCCTCAGATGAAGTACCAGGTTGTCGGGGTACGAAAACTGCCTCTGATCCATATTTTCCAGGTCCAAGATCAAAAATGCCACAAACATTGCCTCCAACTTCAAGCTGTCCTTTTCCGGTCTCTGGTTCGGCATGTAGATCAAATTTGACAATTCCAGATACCATGGCAACACGGTCCAGTATTGTCCCATATACGTAACGCTGTTTCCTGAATTCACAAAAACATTCTGACAGATGTAAACATATGACCTAAACAAAAATCAGTCTATTGAGTACTAATTGTTTTTGCAATGTGAACAATTGACAGCCATGAAATTAATATTCTCTTTCTGAAATTACTTGGTAGTACAGTGACAAAATGTTGACAACGTTAATAAAACATTACCTGCCAGTATAGCTTTCATTCACCCTGGGAAAATCAACAGCTGGTGCAGACAATTTTTTCTGCGCGGCCAAACCATTTTTCAGGTTGAATCGCATCTCATACCTGCCAGAGCCCCCAACAGTTAGTTGCTTAATGGAAACATGTGCTACGATGATTATTCAGTAAATATAATCTTACAGTTCATTAGTAAAACTCTCAAGATCATCTTTCACGGGACCATTAATTACGTCAAGATCAAGCTTTTGAAGTCGACAAGTGATCAGAACAACTTCATCTCCTTCCTCCCATGCATTTGCTAGAAGACAATTGAGATACATATATTTTAGAACAGGAAATGTCAGCACTCACAATGCTCAAGTGGCAAGGCAAACTTGGTAATAGCATACTTTCTTTAAGTCGAACAATGAAATAGATACATCACAACACTATTGTAGTGACTTCTAGGTAGGCAGGCATTTATTGAATAATACAATTTACAGTGTGGATAATTGTAATGAAGTTGACACATCACACCCTGTTTTGTTTCTGATTATTTCATATTTTGTCCTACAAACTCTTGTGGTTATGACCACACATCTTGTATTGTTTTCAAAGTTCGCTCAATTAAATTAGTCTAAATTTTTTTGCTTTATTGACATGGAAATTATAGGCATTCACCAATCTAAGAAGTCTTTGTTTGTATCTCATGATGCTAAGAATCAAACTGACCAAAGATCAGTAGATATAAGTAACAAATACTCTAAATAATGACATCAAACACTCTCCTGTCAACCCTTGAGGAAATGAGATTAAGATACTTACCGTTATGGAATATAAAGCAGTTCGGAAGCTCAAACCACCTGATTAAGAGCTCATTCTTTGCATATCGAGGTAGAACTCCAAAACGAGCTTTCTTTGTTGTATCAAAACTGAAAACAAACTTCTTTTCCTTTACCATCTCCTGAAAACACAGAACTTATGACTTTGAGGCCTTATTAGTTATTATCATGAACAACTCTTAGGTATTGAATTCCTTCTCCTTTGCCAGGTGGCCAGGTGTCATAATATGGCAACTAAGGACTCAACTCTTAAGAATGAAAATTGGATAAGCTAAATGATGATGTCAAATTCAATATGATTAGTGTGTACATGTGTGTGTGTGTGTGTTGACAAGGAAAGAGGACTAGTTCTTCACAATATGAGTTAGTCATATGAAATATTTGCTCTAAAACAAAGTGAGAATCGCGGAAATTTATCGCTAAGGTAACATTCAAGAGGGTTAATTTTGTTGCATGATCAACACACCTTAGGCCTGAAGTATAATGGCAGATCCATGAAAATGGCATAATTTTCAGTGATGGCAAAATCATGCATCATGATTGGTTCTGGAACAGTTATTGGCACAGGATCACTCATCACACCATCCTTTGATATGACTCTATATGTGATATAAGGTGGTGTGTGTGAATAGCCAAAGGTAAACATTTCCCCTGCACAAGATCACAAATACTTTGTTAGCTCAATTTTGCTTGATGTGTTATGCGCAAACCAAAGATGTACCCAGTACAATTTCTTATCACTGCAAATTGAATGAAAATCTTTTTTACAAACTATATTATGACAGATAAATTGAAATTCAAAGAATGAAAAATATTTTGTGACAAGTTTTGAATAGGATGATCTTAAATAGAAGCAAAACAGTTATTAATGTTTTCACATGTCATTTTAGATTTTAGGATAGGTATAGTATAATGTGTGCATAAAATAAATTGCAAGTTTGAAATGTTTTAGGGTGAGGGATATTATAAAAAATGGACTGGCATTCTTAAATTGAGAAAATTGGTGTAAGACAAATATAACTTACCAGTTACTGGGTCAACTTTAGGATGAGCAGTAAAAGAATGTTGTAGCCTTCGATCATAGTCGAGCATGCCTATAGTTTGTAAATCTCCATCTTCCAAAACTTTGATAGCATCTGTATAGTAGATTGAAACTCTTAAATCATGAAAAGGAATGTACATAGCAGATAGGAGCTAATTATGCTTCAAGGTAATATGAGAATTGTTCGGTGGACTAACTCAATTCTCATTTCTCAGAACCAAAAACCATAAGTAAATAAAGAAGAGCACAAACATTGCAGACTTGCAGTAGTATAAAACTTGAGGATGGTAGATAATAAGCATACATGGTTTATCCGCCTCACTCAATGCTAAAAGCTTCCTGTCGTGGTACACTAGGGCAGTATTAGCTGCAATAAGAGCCCAAGAATTTTAAACCTAGAACAGGTTATCAAATATTGAAAAATAAAAAATAATTGAGGCACTAATATCAACAAGATGTTCTAGAATATAATTGAGGCACTGTGGCAACCTACCAGTACCAAACCCATGGGAAACATCCAGTACATTGAGTTTAATTCTAAGCTGTTGCATGTAAACTGAAACAAGTCCAAAAAATCCCTTCAAGTCACCAATCTGCAAAACACATTAACATTTAGACACAACACACTAGAGAATTGGAAGGATGCTGGGAAAATAACCACAAAACTAGTTTGCATGTGTGAAATCAGAAGACACCAGATGGAGAATGACAAGAGGCAAGTGATTCTGGAACAGTAAGCATAAGAGATGAGCTTCAGGTCATGTTAATCTGAATTCTATTCGACTTCATCGAACAATTGGAATCTCTTGAAGAATTTTGCACTTCCGTATAACTGCGTACAGTTCTTTAGGGAACTCATAAAACTAATATATCCACATGCTGTGCAAGTATTCAAATATGACAGATTCAACAGGGATGGAATATTCTAGAAGAGATAAAGAAACTCCTCGCAATACCCATAACATTTCCATGCATACCTTCATATATTTTGCTCCACCATAAAACTCCTCCTGTTTAAGGCGTGATGTCTTCACAAAACGGGAGACATAAGTTGCTTTGCCATCTTTAATGCGGATACCATGAATCATTCTGTAAAGATAAGCACATTGAAGGAATTTTGAAACAAATGTAGTTGCTTGGAATGATAACTAAGTAGAAAAGATAATGGTAGGATGAAGGCACGGAAGTTGGGCTTTCACCTAGTAAGTTAAAATCATAATATTTCTCAAAATTAAGAACATGTTTCTCAATGTAAATAAAATCCTACTGGATGAAACCATGTACACTAGAACTAATATCATATATAAATTAAATGCACTTCAATATTCATAAGGTTAACAGAAGTATAATGTAATGATGAATTAATTACTTAGACATCTCATCAATAATTGTAAGTGAAAATGTAAACACATTGCAACACCCACCAAAGAAAAGAAAATATTTATATGTTCAGAAAATCCATTGTTGTCAAAGTCAAAAGCCCCCGCTGACTTGCCTAAAAGATAAGGGAGGTAAATTTCAACTGATTAGCAAATACACTAACTCAACCCAGTCTTAAAAGACCTACGACCTCAGACTTCTAATAAAGTCAAACAAGTAAAAACTGGATCACTTGGAAGGAAGAATGTGGCTGTGGAAAATCGTAGACGATATTCCAATAAAGGCAAACACAACACTATATATCAAATATAATTGAATCGAGTGTATAAAAGACCCACCCGTCTCCATCAAACCTGCAGAAAGAAGAGACAAGACCACAGTTAGTCATTCTAACACCATCAAAATTCTCGGTTCACAAATCAAATACAATTATGAATGGTAGCAAAGCAATGAGACAAAAGAGGGCAAAGACTGAGGATTGTGTAGATTAATTAGGGAACATCTGCCACGATAGAAACAGCATAGTTGAGAAATGAGAAGGCACTACCAATGGTATCCAGCAACAGGAGCAAACTTTGGATTGGGACCAACTCTTACAAACTCACCATTGAGGCACTCCTGCAGGACAAATTCACATTAGTTTTTTTTTTTTTCAGTTAAATATGCATCACTGCTGGTGCTCAGGTACAAATTGGAAAGCACGTTCATGGGAGTTTTTTATATAATAAATAATGAAAGAAAGAAAACACCTTTCTACCAGATACATTTTGCATGGCACATCGTAAAACCTGATGTCGAAAAGAGGCAGACAATAAGAGTAACATTCAATTGTAAAGGAACAAGACTCCTTGTAGTTTATTTAGACTTTCTAGGTAATGTCTCCCTTGATGGTCATTTGCTTCTTCAGCATATACTTCCCAATCGTATTGTCTCCTAAAAATTTTGGAGAAACAAAACCTGAAGACCACAAACCGATGTCCCTTTTCCTTCTACTCCCCAATGTAGAAGAAATCCTTTCCATTTAGTTTTTGCTAAGCTTCCGAGCAAACAAATACCACCTTATTTAAAGTCAAAACTCTTGAAAACTGCATATTTCATTAAAGAATTAAGAAAACTTAAACCAATACTCATTGACACAATTTTTAGTCGCTTCACAATACCAAATATATGTTTGGTGGCCAAGACTACCTATTCAAGAATGACCAAATTATATCAATTCCTTCCGTTCTCCAACTAGTTTCGGTCTCGAGCATTTAATAACAAAAACATATACATGAATACAATCCATTTTCTACAATATTCGTCATCTCGTCGATTTCCAATATTTCCAAACCATAAACAAAAAGTATCTTCATATAACAAAACACCAGCACAGAACTGAGAAACCACAAATTCACCGTCCAGGAAAAAAAACAAAATTTACAAATAATTACCCACAACAAGCACTTGTAATCAATCAATCAAGCAACAAACACACAAATCACCAAAATCGAACTGTACTCAGTCTCACCGGAAGATCCCCTCGGACCGGAAGGTCGGCAAGAGGAGGAGTCTCGTCGACGGGGGCGAAGTTCCCAGTGAGATAGTGGAGCGGCTGCTTGGAGTCATGCATCAGCTTCACAAACGCCCATTCCAGCCAATCAATCGCCGCCGAACTCAGCCCCTTGTTGGGCTTCGGGTTCACCACCACGACGCCGTCGTCGGTCCTCCGCTCCTCGTCTCCCGTCTGCCCCATCCCTACAGTACACTCTCGAAATTCGAAGAATCTTCTGGGCGTGTGGATCGGAGCTCGACAACACAATAAATGGATAAGCAGTGGGATCGAAGGATGGTGTGCCAACCGTCACATGCATAGATCTTTAAAAACAATGGCAAAAAATTTTAATTAAAAATATACTAGGATATTAAAATACATATATATTTTCCTAAATATTGCCGGCTAAAAATTAATTAAAAATTTTTATTGGACTGAAATTCTTTAAATAAATAAACATATATTGTGATACGTCAGTGTAGTCGATTAATCATAGAAATGCATGGTGTGACAGGCACGTGAGTGGCACGCGATTTGTTAAGTATGCGTCGCATTCCCTCCCTCGGGACGACACGGCAATGTTTATATTTAGTAATTATAATTTTATATTTTTTTGTAGTTTTTCATGACAGATAATTTGACAGAATATTCTTCTAAACAGTTGCCCCAAACAAAACAACGATCTTAATAAGTCTTGATTAAATAAACAAATAAGAATTTATCCGATAGTATAAATTTTATTAATTTTTAGTATAATATAAAAAATAAAAAATAGGTGTTTGATTTGATATTTTAAAAAAAAAAATTGGATGAATAATAGAATTTTGTCAAAATCCTACAAACAAACATACCTTAAATGTATTCTTCTTTTTTTTTCGATCAAATGAACATTTGATTGTACATTTTGACGATAGAAAAGTATATGAACAATCAAATATGGCAAAATGAATATTTTTCAAACCAAGAGTATTCGACTAAAAATTAGTCGAATGTTTTTCGAAGTCGACTTATAGCAATCACCGATCTTTAGAACATCCCCACTTGCATAAAAAATTGAAACACAAACAAAAGTAAGTAGGAAACTCCGATGAGTAGCAAGGGAGCGAAGAAAAAATAATAGTTCAAAATGAATTAATGTATTTTTACATGAAGCGAAAAAATGTATGTATATATATAAATAAAACTACACATACAACAGCTCAGCCTCAGCCTCAGCCTCAGCCTCTGACTCGGCCTCTGGTGCTGTGTATGGAGGAGGCAACAATTTCTTGGCTACGGCAAAAGCATCTGAAAATCCAATCGGAGCTGAAATGATAGGTGCATCCAAGACCGAATCAGGTATGGCCATCAGGGTTTCATCAAAGAAGGATTGCACTGTCTGTGAGTAGAGTGGATCGACATTAGCTTGTGTACATTTATTTAATCATAAACCGAAAAGGGGAGGACGAGATAGATGCAAAAACACGAGGCTGTAAGAACTGAAAATCGACTAATGTTACAGCACATCACGATGAAAAATAAAAGCAAACAACTCCTGGTACGAGCATTCTAGAACTCAGATGCGCGGACCCTTACTATATGAGCCATTTTCATTTCTAAAAGCTAAAAAGGACATCATCAAATTTTTATTTCCTTATTTCTTTACAACCGATGCAGGCTGTAAGAAGACACTGACTTACCTCACAGTTCAGGAAAGCAGCATCAGCTTTCCGCTTCCATGCACGATTTCCAGGCTCCGAATGGAAAAGGTTAAGTAAAGGCTGCATGTACATCCAAAAGTCGAAATTTAGAACATGACAAAAAATCATTATATACAAGGAAAAGAATGCTTACTTTTAAAATCAACAAAGCATTAGAAAGCAATTAACAGCTATTTCACTCCTAAAATTGCAATCATTAAAATAAAATTAAAAAGATACAAACAAATTAGATTTTTTCTTTTACCTTTATGAGCTCGCGAAGATTGGGTCTAGGCCCATATAAACCCATGACAGAATCGGCGTACACCTGGTACTTTTCAAGGACCTATACACGAAAAAGAACATAGATGGAGTTTAGCAAATAGGAATTTATACATAATCCATGTAAAAGTTAAATGGCAAAGCAACCTGTCGCCGAGTTACACTGTTTGGAGCTGTGCCGTATATTGCACTATCCACATGCCCCAAAAGATTCCATGGACTTGAAAGAAAGAGAAAAGAAAAATAAACTCACTGCGTACTTTAGATTAGTATCAACTGAAAAAAGAGAAAGGAACTTATGGAGGGCGTGCATAATTCATACTTATTATAAGCCCCACGTCCAATCATAACTCCATGAGCTCCTTCTGTCAGAGCTTCATTTACCTAGAAGTTGCAGGGCCAATAAAAATCAACAACTGGTGTATGGACACTGTATAAGCTTGATAGTAGCACAAAGGTTTCAGTTTCCATATTAGTTGATAAAACGATATTTTTATGTTAAACTAGAAACTGCTCTCCAGATACAGTAATGGGCTGCTAATATTAATCACTACTCTGTTGAGATTGTATTTCTCTTTAACAGATATTCATTCCTTGTTTCTCCAACTCCCAAATAAATTGGGAACAGGAAATTGGGAATGATGTTAGCCCCGCATCATAATGGGGCTAAAACTTTGGTGTGGAAAAGAAAATTATAAATGGTGCTACATTTATCTTTCAGAGCCAAGTACTGCTTACAGAAATGAAAGTCTGGTTTTAGACTTATCATTACCTCATCAATGGTATTTATACCTCCATTAATGGTGAACTGCAGATCAGGAAAATCGCGAACAAGAGCATAGTAGAACTCATATCTGCATAATCCATCTAAAATAAGCAACAATACCAAAACATGGATAACTGATGTGCAGAACTTAAGCGGACCAAACGGATAATAAATTGCAATATGGTTAATCATACTTTAAGGGTGGAATTGATCTATTTTCTTTAGGGGTGAGTCCCTTGAGCAAGGCCTTTCTAGAGTGTATTATGAAATGCTTTGTTGGTGATTGAGATGAGACCTTATATATAAAATCACCTGCACAGAAATAAAAATTATAAATGGAAAACAATTGTAAACAGACGCCCACATCAATTTAGCGTCCATGATAACCGGTCTAGGCACCAACAATGTCATTCCAAGTTACAGAAAAATAAACAAGAGAGGAGATGCTGGCAGGAAGCAAACAGCACAAGAAACTTCGATCATAAAAATTCACAAATGCTTTGCAAACGTAATCACACAAATAGGAAGAAAGCATACAAATTGGAAAACAAATCAATATTACAATAACGAAAAAAAAAAAAAAAAGTGAAACCTGAATGTAACAATTTCTTCAAAAATACATTTAATTTATAAATACAATCAATGACTTCTTATTCTGAGCATCAAGCATCACATATTAACCTATAGGAGGAAAGTTTACAAGTGGTTAATAGTTATACGACCCATATAAATAACAAATAATAGAAACTTGTTCAGAGGGTGAAAACAAAGTAAGCGACTATGGGTATTCTTATTTGCAATAATCCATTAACTCGACGAGCATAAGAATAAGGTGGAATATCAAGGTGGAGTAATGCAAGAGATGAAAACACAAGAGCTGGTGTGTTTACTTGTGAGGTTTGGTTTTGGGTTTTGATTTTGAATAGTAAAATTTTGAATAGAAATAGTTGTTTGATGTGACATAAATATGTGTTGATGTGATGTTTTGAATGGAAAATTAAATTTTAGTGTAATAAAATAAATAAGAATTGAGTGTTTGATTTGATATTTTTGGAGGAAAAATAAAGTTGGAATAGTAAAATCAGACCTAAAATCTTACAAGTAAAGAGACCCCGGATGGCCAAGCAATAGCACTTCACCAAAGAAAATACTATGCTAAACTGTTGTAAAGAAATTGAGAACTTACATAGCTCATTATATGTATCATGATTATCAACTCCGATTCGGCATTTAACACTAACAGGAACATCTGTATTTGCAGATATTACTGACATAGCATCAGCAACAAACTTCCCTTGTACAAAAGAAATATGACTAAATCAGAGATCAATTTGGAGAAAGGGTAACAAATTAGTAAAGCAACTTTACAAACCTTTGGATCAAGCATGAGGCGGGCCCCAAAGCATCCATCTCCAGCAACTTTAGGGCTTGGACATCCACAACTGACACAAAATTACCTTATATGAGTAATTTGAATAAGAAAAAGTCAAGAAACGAGAAAAATAAAAATAATAATGAGAGAGAGAGAGAGTTTAAGTTAGAGAACTTGAAATTGATCTCATCATAGCCATAGGGCTTCGCAAGTTGAGTTGCTTTAGCTATGTTTTCCAAGTCATTTCCCCCTATTTGAAGCACTATAGGATGTTGCTCAGGATCGAATGCCAAAAATCTATCCTGGTAATGGGAAGAAATAAAAAATAAAAATAAAAAAATTGAATAAAATCAAATCAGATTCCAGACAGCTGAAACTAGGTACACCACTTCTCATATTAAAAATTAAAATTGATAATTCTGGAAGAATTATACTTCTTCAAATGAATGCAAGATAATAACAAGCACGGAAAAATAAAATATATTAAAACATCAAACAAAAAAATGTGATACTTATTGTGGCATCAGCCATAGAAGAAAACAAGAGAATAAATAATTAAGGGGAAAAGAAAACACCGACAAAAATATGCACATGTATGGATATATAACATATTTGCACTTTATCTCATATTTTGCATGTTCAATGCAACGGGTCATTGTAGAAATTAAACAAGATTTTCTGCAGAAACATTGAGAGGGTAGAAAAGGAAACAACTTGAAGTGTAAGGGAAAAGGTTCACAGAGATTGATCAAATCAGGTATTCCTTCTACACCCGTGCCTTATTGCAATATTTATTCAGTAACGGGTTCATTGGTCATTTATTCTTATTGCATTCATGAACTCTACAACCAGTAAACAAGAAGTGAGAACATTATAAACTCAGGACACTCATATTTATTATAATTACGCCATTTTATCACAGTACTGACATTGGGAACAAAGCAGATCTTAAGAAATTCATTACCAAATTTCCCTTTTGATAGACTATTGTTTCTGCAGCAATCATTTCTGTGTACAGCCAAGCGTGTTTTGATATGAGGCGAGCCAGAGTTCTAAAGTGGTTGTCGGTGTATTCCATCATTGGAGCAATACTGGATATCAACAGAGCAGTTATATAGATACAATAACAGATAATCATCAATCAACATCCTTTATAGAACAAAGCTCACTTCAAAAAGAATTACCTGAACCAAGGGGGTGGGTAACGGGAACCAACCATTGTAGTCTCTTTACGAACCTGGCACTTCCAATGGTAATGATGCGATCTCCTCAATTTGGTTGGATTTTTATAAATTAAGTTTGACAACAATCTGCTGGGGTTTTTCAGGGTAACAGAATGAATAGGAGTTAAAGAAGCAAATAATGTATGTCCAACAAGCTTCATCATCACTCTAAATCGATCATTCCCAGCACTTTATGTACCTATGGATATAAACTGAAATCACACATGGATGGGAATCTTGCCAGAGTAGGAAAATTCAAATGACGTACAAATTAGTTGATAAGCCACCAAATTCTATACAACTCTACGAGTCATCTTATCAAGTATCAAAATGGATCGCGTTATCAAAAAAAAGTATCAAAATGGATCATATTAAAGCCATGGATTATATATTAATTATCTCATTGACAGGGAGCAAATAACATAAAAGCATAAATGATTGAGCACATGCAATGCCTATTCTTTTCAAAAATAAAGTTGTAGAAGTCCAGACTGTCTAGTATATGCAAAAATCCTTCAATCCCATTCTAGCTGATTGAGAATTCCTATAAGTGTACTTACAAAATTCATAAAGTCAAGTACCTTTTATCTCATACACTGCTCAATCAATTCCTGGCGAGCTTCCGACACTGATTTATTCATTTTCCATATACATTAAATGTGAGAACTTTTACTTACTATTTACTTGTTTTCAAATCACTTTCGACCCTATTCATCAACAATACATTTTCAAAAAAAAAAAAAAAAAAAAAAACATCATATCAAATAACTATTTTTCATTAAAGTATTACATCAAAACCCTATTTCCTATACAAAACTCCAACACTTGCTTACATTATATCAAATATCTACTCTTTTATCCTAATTTATGATTATTTACAAAATTCACCAAAACTACAAAATACTAACAAAACATGCATAAACACAATGGAACAATGAACAATGAACACAAGTGAGGATTTATCTTCATGAATCCGCTTCATTTGTCCCAACTCCCAAGTGAGGATTTATCTTCCAATCCCTCCCCATTAACAATCAACTCAGTCAACCAGTATCTACAAGGCTCTAACTAGTTTTAGCCGTAAAAAGCGTATCTGTTCTCATTTAACAATTACAATTGCAAATGCCACCAAAAAAAAAGAAAAAAGAGCAAGACCAAGACACGAAGACAATCACCCTAAAAAGTATAATAGAAATTGAATTACCCAAGTGAGAAATTTGGTTTGCGGGAACCGCCCAACGAGCAAATCGGCAAGATTTCGTTGACCTTTTCAACTGGGCTTCGCAACAATGAAGGAAGTGTTGAAGGGCGAAAAGCACTGAATACTGCGTGGCTATTCGGGTCGGGTCGGGTATCTAGGCCATGGTAGAGTCGACCCGGACCTGGAACCGGAACCGACCCGATTAATATTTTAGTTATACATATTTTTTTTAAAAAAAAAAATCTAACAAAATAAATTATGATAAAAATATTTTTTAAATTTTATTTATTTTTTAATAAATACATGGAATTTAATATATATCAATTTGAATCTAATTAAACATTAAATTTTAACAATTGTGAAAAAAAATTTGTGGATTCTTAGGATCCAGACCATAGGATCTTATTGAATATTAATAGGATTGGATCTAGGTATGGTCTAATCCGGATATATAACCAAATCTAATTGGAATCCCAAATCGAAATATATATTCGGGTTTCCAATCCTACTGGACCTAAGTCATTGCTATTCTAGTGGCTATAACAATAATAGTAATAATATATATATATATATATATATATATATATAGCATAAAGAAGAGTTTTGAGAAAGCAAAAAAAAAAAAAAAGTTTCAAATAATAAAAATTTGAAATTTAATTTAATAGATTTTGTAAAAGTATATACTCCTCTTAGTCTCAATTCGACATATTTTGTTATTTTTATCCATTTTAAGATAATAATTTTATTAATAAATAGTATAACATTATATTGATAGACAAGTAAAAATATTTTAAAAAATATATAAATTAGTTAAAAATTTAAGATTTTTATTTTTAATAGATTAATTATATAAGTAGAGTCACTTTTAAAATAAATATAATATTAAATAATTATAAATTAAAATTTATGTAAAATTATTTAATATAAATAAAAAAAAAACAAACATAAATTTAATTAATGAAAGAAGCAGTCCTTTTCAAGTCAATTAGTTTGTTTACCACAGCTGTGCCTGCTAAGCCCAGCCCATTCGTTTAGAAGCCCATAGCCGAAAAATATTTATATATGAAAATACAATTGTTGTTAGAAAAATAAAGTAGTAATAACTTTCAAGTGTTTATTTCTTTTTTCAAAAAAATTCCAAAAATAAAATACAACTGTCCGGAGTTATTTTTCAAATTTTACTATATTTAGATTCTACTCTTTTAAAAAAAAAAAAAATTAAATAAATAAATAAAAATATTCCATCAAATATTATTTAAATACCAAATGATCAAACAAATAACATGTAAGTATTTCATACATTAAACAGCATTCCTAATTTTTAACTACAAAATTGTATGAATGGAACAGCGAAATACTATCATATCCAAAAAAAAAAAAAAAAAACACTAGAAAAATTCTTGAAAAACACACAATTATAAAACAATAAAATTGAAACAGTAATATAGCTTTATCGTCAAAATTCATAGATAATTAGAAACTACATGCTAATTTCTGGCACACAGCAATGCTAGAATTAATAGTAGAGTATTTGAAGTGAGAGCAAGCAAACCAATTAGCTCCTGTGTCTGTCGACAAAATCGTCGAATAGCCGCGCATTTAATTTATCCTTCCTGGGTTTTTTTTGTTACTCCTTCCACATATCAGCAAACTCGTCGACTTCCAGGGGATTTTCCAGCTCGTGCATCTTCCGCCTGGTCTTGGCTTTAACTTTCTTAACATATTTCCCAGCCTGCTTCCTCTTCTCGAGGGATCGAATCTGGTGCAGACAACAATCAGTTATAGTAGTAATCCGACTGCTTCGTATAATTGTTCAGTGATCCATGGGAACGCCAAAAAACACAAAAACATTCGAAAGAAATACTAATAATATGCAATGGGGTGGCGATATATTCCATACTTATGTTCCGGAAATGAATCAGAAATGAAATTAGAATGTATAAAAGATAACCTGGTTCGGCGAGACATAAAATGGATTTTCATATAGTGTTGGACCACCAAAACTGCCACCAAAGACTTTAATTGGGTTCAAACAGAACCTTGGGCCAACCTATTCAACGAGAACCATGTAATGTCATAAGACTTAATGTTACTATGTTTCCGGTGTGGACAATTACAAAGGTAGCGCTTGTTTACAAACCTCAACCAATGTCATCTTGTCCAAGTCTCCACAGTCCAATTTTTGTGCTCCAGTGTGGGGGCATGATATCTGCTCCAAAATCAGGCAACCAAAAAAATGAATTTTTTGTGGGGTTTAATAAAAAGATAATAATAACAGTTAAAGGGTAAAGACAGATCCAAATCTATTCACAAAACACAATCTTCAAAATACAACCCAATTTATATTATAGACTAACCTGGTAATTACGGAACCATATGTGGTCATCGACAATGGAGAAGACAAAAACATGGTCATGGTAAGGCTTTGATTTCCTGTGATCCTTTGGTGTGCCAAATATCTGAAAAAACAAGGGGAAAATGTTGAGAATCATAAAATCAATATACTGCAAGTTTGAGGTGGCCATAGAATACTAATCTGGTAATAGTAAGCAAAAGAAAGCTACCCTTTCCATAGACAGAAACGTGTTTAGATGTTTTGGAAGTGTTTTGGAATTTTGAGTTGGTTTGTGGAAGTAAAAGTGGATAGAAAATTAGTTTATAATATGATATAAATATGTGTTGGGTATGATGCAACATTTTAAATGAAAAATAAATTTTAAATATGATACATTTTAGAGAGAAATTTTGATAAATAGTGGGAAAATAATTTTGAAAACATAAGTAAACAAAGCATAAGTGGTTGGACAGGAGAGTTCAAATTAACATTATCAACAATCATTTGACTACTGCAATGACCTAAGATTCTCTGATGTACAATTTCACAGAATAACTAAGGTGCAAAATCAGTTATTATCACTTATCAGTTACTACATGGATAAAGGAACGAATATGACTTCAAGTAGCTGAAATTGGACCTGAGAAATCATCTCCTTCAAAAGCTGCCAGTGAGGGTTCTTATCAAAATTGGATGAAAAAGTCAAGATTGGACGTGAGCCCTTGAGATGATTTCCAGTAAGTTTCAGTTCCTCCATCGTATGCACTTCAAACACACAAGCACATTTTACATGAGTAGAAATCCTCCTCAGAGAAACACATCAACACATAGTTATGGATCTTTGAATCCAAGATGCTATTAATTAACCAACTAAGAAATCATCTGTACCCGCATTGACCAAGAACTTGACAGATGGACCATTGGGGCACTTTGCCATCCATAAGTAAAGGTCCTTCCCTTTCCTGCACTGAGATAACAATACATATAAATTATGAGACATGATCCATTGCAATTGTGATTCTTCATTTGAGAATTAGCCATGAATAAGAAACTCTCTCTGGAAAAAGAATTTTATACCTCAAAGAACAAACAAGAAGAGCAGCTCTTAAGCTCAACAAGCTCATTCAGTGTAGCGCCTTTACTCTCCTTAGATTCAATTTTGTTATCTTTCTTACAGTGAGGCAGAAGATCAACCAAGTTCAGCATCAAATGGCGATACCTAAAATTATATTCCCATATTACACAATAACAATACATAGAAACCAAACGTAAAATTAATCCTTATCAGCATAACTAGATCAGCAGACGAACACAATTTTTACAGCAACTTTTGAAAACGATTGAATAAAATCCAACCTGAAACTGATGCGGCGCGTGCAAGTGACCAGCACTTTCTCCTTATTCCGGAAACCAGCGTGAGGACTATCGATTTTCTTTTCATCCTCAACTTTGGTTTTATATCCGAGAAGAGTTCTTTTCGGCCTTTCAGGCGCACTTTCGTCTTTAACAGTGACTGCAGCCTCAGTAGGCTCGCTGTGCTTTCGCTTCTTTCCCATTAAAGACACGATGAATCTCTATGAACACAAATTTCAACAAATATAAAAACTCACATCTGCGCTGTGTTTATACAAATATTTGAGCTTCGAAATTTACCTGATGAAGAGAGAAACAAAAGCACAGTGGAGACTAGGCAAAAACCTAGTGTTGTAAGTTTTGACAATTTTGCCTCTGCTTCGTCTCTTTCCTCTTTCCGCTTTATTCCTCCGCCGACAGCTGCCCAAACAAGTTAGAACCGCTCGTTCTGAAATCGTTCGAAGAGGAGTCCCTCTGCGGCCGAGCGTCTCAGCGGAGTGAAGAAGAAGAAGAAAAGGGAGGGGAAAGACGATGGAGGGAGTGCGGCCGCGGCTTAGTAGGGTTTTTTTTTTATATATATATAATAATAATATTTTATAATTAAAATTAGTAATAGCTTTAATCATTTTTTTTTATTATTCATTTGTTTATTAAAATTTTAAAAATATTATTAATTATATATTTATTTTTTATTATCTTTTTTAAGTAAATATTCATTTTCTAATTTTCTTACAAATTCATTTTTATTGAAAGGATTACAATCAAATAAATTCAAATATGTATTTTCTTAATGAAAATATAATACATATACATACATATATTCACTCTTTAAAAAAATGGATTTATACTTTTTTACACGAAATTTTAATATAATGTGTCTTTTTTATTGTCATTTTTATCTTTTATAATATTATCTTTATTTCATATATAATGTAATATTTGATTTTCGATATGAAATTTTAAATGAATATATTAAATATTTTTTCCGTCTTATAATAAATTATTTTTTTTTTTATTTTAGTCTGTCTTATAAAAGAGTATTCATTTTTTAGTAATTCTATTATAAATTACAAATATATTTACAGCTTACAATATATTACACAAATTACATTTATATCACATAATAATAAAGTTATTTTACTCATTTCTATATTATCTCTATTATACATAATACTGGTATTTTTAAAATTATATGAAAAAACAAATGAATACGAAGTTATAGGATGAAGGATAAGACAATTAAAATAAACATATAAGAGTTTATTAGCTTAACATTTTTTTTTAACAATTTTTATAAATATTATTAAAAAATACAATTTAGACATACATTAACACAATATATTATATAATTATTTTATTCACAAATTTCAATAATTCAACATTTCAATATTATTTTTTATATTATCTTAACATAATTCACATTATTTATGGTATCTAACACAAAAACACTATCAACTAAAAAAACACAAATTGCAACCCTTAGATTGTGTTTGTTTTTAGGTTTTAGGTTTTTTGTTTGAATTTTTTAATAGTAAAAAGTTAAATTTGAATAGCATGAAGGTTGATGTGATGTTTTTAAAATAAAATAAATTTGTAAGATGATAAAAAAAAAATTATTTGATGTGATATTTTTTGAAAAAAAAAATAATTTGAATATAAAAAACTGTGGTAAAATTACAAAAGAACGCAACTTAAATGTCTCAAAATTATCTATTGAGAGGGAAATTTCATTTGCCTTTTTGGTTAGTTATATTCATCTTGTCATTTGTGTGTTTGTTTGAAGATTTTTTCCTAAATTTACTATTAATCAAATTTTCTGTAGAAAGATATAAAATCAAATATCTATTTTTTTTTAAATACTATACTAAAAATAAATTTTACATTTAAATATCACACAAACTCTTATTTATATCACACTAACATATATTAATATCACATCATATTATTTTCAAATACAAAATTTGTACTATTTAAATTAAACTCAAAATCTAAATCCTCAGACAAACACACCCTGTTTTGTTTATGAAGTGTGTCTTTAGGTAGATTAATCCACCAATTAAGCAAATATATCAAAGAACAAAAATTAGAAATTTTTTTCTCCAATAAGATTATGAATATATATTATTTTTTATATTTTCGACACATTCTCTATATTTTAGATAACAAAAAAATCAAATCAAAACACTAAATACATAATAAATTAACAAAAGTGTAATATTTTGTTCTATCAAATATTATTTTCTTATAAATAATATTTTTTCTATCAATAAAGAGAGGAATATTTTGTTGTGAACAAATAAAAAACAAGTATATATATATATTTGTTATGAATACAATTGTAATATCTATTATTAATTTTAATGTATATTAAATATAATATTTTATAAAAATATAAATATCATGTTGCGAAAAAAATAAATAAACAAATAAACCCTTAAATAGACACATTAAACACGGCTACCCAACTACCGAACACGGGCGTGTTCTGTACCATACTCAGTTCAGGAGCAGTTTCTTCGTTTTAGTGATGATGGCCATGTGACTTGTCAGACATGTGGCGGGCCACGCGCGGAACTCATCAATACTTCGTCATATCAATCCAACAGTCAGTTTTTCCTCTAAATAAAAACATTTCAACACTTATATGGTCCGTCTTCGTTGGTTTTGACGAACAGAGGAATAAAACAGGGAGCCAACATAATCCTAAAATCCTCCTCCTTTTACCGTTTGGAGGTGGTTGAAAGAACCACCGATCCCTTTTTATCTTCCTTCCCGATTCAATCAAACAAAAAATCTCGTATCCAGTTTCATCTTCGGACCCCCATTCTGTTTCTGAATCCTTCGGCCCGTTCATCGATTCGTTTCTTGATCATCTAAATCCAATAACCCACAAATTTCGCGAGAAATTGGTCCGAATTGTTTGTAGATTCTCCGATCCCATGTGCAGGAATTGAGGGTTACAATAAACCTTAATCGGGCTCGGAGAGAAGATGGGTGCCATGTCGAAGAGAGTGATGCCGATTTGCGACAGCCTGTGCGTCTGTTGCCCGGCAATGCGGCCGAGATCGCGGCACCCTGTGAAGCGATACAAGAAGCTCTTGGCTGATATATATCCAAGAAATATGGTTTGTTTTGTTCTTGACGCTATTGTAATCTATTTTGTTGTTCTGTTTCTTGTTTGAAGATGGTGAATTCTACGGTCTATCTTATTGTTTCCTCACTTTTTATAGGATGATTCGTCGATATTGAAAATCTTGCCTTTCTATGACAATAGGAGCTCTAGATTTGCTTCACACAAACTCTTATTAATTATAAACGTGAAATTGGGTGTAATTATTACTGTGGATGCTGTATTTATCTGTAAAGTTTCCTCTTTTCTGTGCTTATTGGCCTTTTTCTATTTCGACAGGATGAAGAGCCCAATGATCGAAAAATCAGTAAACTGTGTGAATATGCTTCAAAGAATCCTCTTCGAGTCCCCAAGGTTAGGTTGCTTTTATAAATCTATGTGAATGTGACTAGTAGTCTTTTGAGAAGTTACATACCTCTTTTCGTCTTTAATACAGTAATTTAGAAGTGAACATATTTTATGTAGGGGTTTGTTTAAAAATCTTCATTCCATGTGAATCTCATGGAAACTTAATCTCATAGAATATACCCATTGGCACCTGTTAGATGAACTGGTTACCAAAAGCTTGAGAAACATTGTCAAATCCCCTGTCACATTAGAGATTGAGTAGCAATGAACTCCTTGTATAGTTGTCATCGTGGAACCCTTGGTTTGGGTGGGACTATCTCCTTTGTTTGTCATTAGATGTATTTGTCTCAGGCTTCTTTCTTGGAAAAAAAAAAGTCCAGTATGGTCACAACTTCGGTGGTATTATTCATAGAACTTCCCTAGGTTTGTTCTTTCTTGGTAGTTGTTGCAATCGAACTTTTGAGACACCCAGCCGCTCATCTTGGTTGGTTACCCACCAGTTGTATCCCTTGCAATGATCAGCTTGCCAACATCCTCAAAATGTCCCTTAGATATTCTCGTATTAAGTTGATATGTAAAAATGAGTGTTTAGCTGTATGTATGGCTAATATTGTATATGATTAGAATGTGTCGGAGTTGGTATAGCGCATCACCCAGGTGCATACACACACACATATATATGTACATTCTATTACCATTAATTGGTAAAATATTCTCTTAATCACATCCTTGGGTTCCTTTGATAACTTGTGTAGTATACTAATATTCACAGCTCATGTATTATTAACCAGATTACAAGCTTACTCGAGGAAAAGTGCTATCGGGAATTGAGACATGAACACTTCAAGCGTATAAAAGTTATCATGTGTATCTACCGAAAATTGATTTTATCTTGTCAACAACAAATGTGAGTTTGATGCTTGTACCTTCTCTTGATTTGTATGGATATTCGAAAATTCTCTTGTTCAGTTGTAGAATGAGGTTTAAATTGATATTGCTTTCTTAATATGAAGAGCTCATCATTTATGTACTCTGCAGAATGAAGTTTTTAATGTATGTATACAACTATTGCCTCTTTCATCAAGGATGAAAAGACCTTTTGAATTTATAAGAAATGGGCTTGTTTGAAATGTTGTCTAAGTTACTATGATACTGGTAATTATCATGCTGCAGGCCATTGTTTGCTGGTAGTTTTCTCAATGTCATACACATTTTGTTGGATCAAGCAAGGCATGATGAAATTCGAATAATTGGTTGCCAGGCACTTTTTGACTTTATAAACAGCCAGGTTCTATTCATTGTTTGTCATTTCAAGTGTATAGTTAAATATATGCTGGGTGCTCACTGGAACGCACATTTTGTTTTTTTTTGTTTTTCAGAAGGATGGAACCTATATGTTTAACTTTGAAGGTTTGATTCCAAAGCTTTGTAATATGGCTCAAGAGATGGGAAACGGTGAAAATATCCGGCGTTTACACTGTTCTAGTCTTCAAGCGCTTTCTTCTACAGTAAGCCATCTCCCTTGTGTGTCTTTATTTCGGTAAAGTTTTGGCCAAGCACAGACATCTATGTTATTGTTAGCCCTTGTTATATGATTTATCAGCATTTCATATATATATTTACGATGTAATCTTACCTGTCCTTTTGTACTGTGGCTTGTTGAACTTTGAGGACCTGTATTGTTTCAAAGTTGTTATCCGGATTTCCAAGAGTTATGAGCATTTTCACTTAAAGCATGCCTTGTTTTTAATTGCTTGAATCTTTTGATATGCAGATTTGGTTCATGGGTGAATTCTGTCACATCTCAACTGATTTTGGCAATGTAAGATTTTTTAAGAGTATTTTCAAACATGTTAACTTTTGTTATAATTGATATTGACAAGCATATAGTGAATTATTCACTACTTCTGCTTAATAATTGTTTCTTATTTATCAAAAGATCAGGTTGTCTCTGCTGTCCTTGAAAATTATCAAGATCCTGACGATAACAGAGTCTGTCAAACTCAGTCTGGTCAGGATACCCAGAACTCAGCCGATCATCAACACAAGCAAGTTCCTTCATCATCAGATGCCATGAAAAGGACCATTTCTTGGAGGAAGATTGTCAATGATAAAGATTATTTAACCACGTAATTCCTTTCAGCATTTATAGCTACTTTTATGTTTACGATAGATGCTTTACACCTTGTATTCACTATGATCATCATTTGGTTAAACAGAGAAGATACTGGAAACCCGAAATTCTGGTCCACGGTTTGCTTGCATAACATGGCAAAGTTGGCCAGAGAGGCTACAACTGTACGGCGAGTTCTTGAGGCTCTATTTTGTTACTTTGATCGAGGCAACCTATGGTCTCTTGAGTCTGGACTTGCACTTCCTGTACTGCTCGACATGCAATCAATAGTAGAAAATTCTGGTCTTTAGCTTTGAACTATGTACTTGTACTTGGGAATTGTTTGGCTCTACTAGTCTTCTTTTATCAGTTGCACTGAGTTTACTGCTCCGGTTATATGATCTTGCAGGGCACAATCCTCATTGCTTACTATCCACCGTGATCAAGCATCTTGATCATAAGAATGTTCTGAGGAACCCAAGAATGCAAGTGGACATTGTTCAAGTTGCTACCTCTCTGGCTAAAGTGACCAAGGCCCAGCCATCTGTGATGATTGTTGGTGCATTCAGTGATATGCTGAGGCATTTGAGGAAAAGCATACACTGCTCTCTTGGTGTCTCGGAACTTGGTGAGGAAATAATTCAATGGAAGAAGAAGTTGCATACTGCCATAGATGAGTGCCTTGTTCAACTGTCTTATAAGGTTAGTCGTCTTTCTGAACTATTTCTAAAAGATATATTAACAAAATACAGTTCGGATGTGAGGAAAATTGAGAGATTGAATAGTAAGAAATTGGAAAGAAAACGCCAAGTGAAAAAACTGCTTTCTGTGCGTGTGTATGCGTGTGTTTGAATTTTATATTTTTGAGGTGAAATAGTTGCTGAATATAATGTTTTTAGAGGAAAATTGCAATATTAAATAGTAAAAAAATTGGGAACAAAACCATAAAGTAAATGAACCCCAAGATTATAAGCTTTTTCTTGGATCAAGTTTTGTTGTAGTAAAATCGATGTTGTGAATGCAAGAGCATATTATTTACCCAAATTAAGCAGTCTCACGAGGACAGTTAAAATTATATTGTATAGTTAAAATTAAAGTTAAGTGGACCTAAAGGATTAGTTACCCTTTGAGGCAGATTGGAGATGCCGGGCCAGTGCTGGATGTCATGGCTGTAATGTTGGAAAACATTTCGAATGCAACTGTGGCAAGAAATTCAATCGCAGCCGTCTATCGTGCTGCTCAGATCGTTGCCCTCTTGCCAAATAAATTGTATCAAAACAAGGTAAGGTATTACTCTTGGAAATTCGGTTTCATCTTATAATGGTTGTGCTTCATTCTAATATCCTGTATAATTATTTTATGGCCGTAGGCTTTCCCCGAAGCATTATTTCATCAGATTCTTTTAACCATGGTCTCTCCATACCATGAAACAAGGGTGGGAGCCCATCGTATATTTTCCGTTGTTCTTGTTCCATCATCTGTTTGCCGGCAAACTGATTTCACCAGCCAGTGTTCGGCTAACCGCGCTGCTGACATGGAAATGGCACTTTCTAGATCGGTTTCTGCCTTCTCTTCTTCAGCAGCTCTATTTGATAGATTGATGAACGAACAGTATTCTTCACAAACATCTGCTGAACAAGCTGACGGATCTTTAATAGATATCGAATCAAAGTCCAAGGAACAATCCTTACTGACACGACTGAAATCAAGCTACAGTAGAAAGTATACTACTAAAAGACATTCTCTTCCTCCTGTTTTGGGTAATATGGAGAATGAGGTGGTACTTTATATTTTGATCGACTTCAATGGTTTAACTACTTTATGGTTATGTTTGTAAGAGTTGATTTTTTTTTCTGCAGAAGGGAGTATCACTTAAACTGAAAAACCGGCAAGTCAGCCTCTTGCTCTCTTCAATCTGGGTGCAGGCAACCTCCAAGTTGAATACACCTGCAAATTATGAGGCAATTGCACATACGTACAGCTTGATAATGCTATTTTCACGAAACAAGGTGATACGCATGGTATTTGATAAACTCATTTCCTCTGGTGTGTTTTTGTTTCAAAGATTATGGCGGAGTACCACTATTGATAAAAACTTTTCACTCAAAAGCATCAAATCAAATACTTTATTTTTTTATTAGATACTATAAATTAATTTTGCATTCAAAATATCTCGTCAGTATCTATTTATATGACACCAAACAACTATTCCAATTCAAAATTTTATTATTTAAATCCAAACCCCCAAACAAACACATGTTCGACTCTAGGCCTCTCTCTCTCTCTCTCTACGATTTATGTATATTTCAGGTTGTATTTCTTACACAGTCATATGCATTGAATTAAGGGATTCCCTTCTTTTCTCTCCTCTCTATCTCTCTCTTTCCTGATAAAATTTCTTTTGTTATCAGAAGTCTAGGCATGATACTCTTATTCAAGGTTTTCAGCTAGCGGTTTCGCTAAGGAGTAAATCTCTTCAAAGAGGTCAGTTCCATTGAGTGAAGTTCATATTCACTATATCGTCTTCATTAATAATTCAATATCAGTGCATTCATAATGTTTTGATTGATTGAGAATCACTTATTGACTACATTAAATCCCAGTATTTGTTGTCTAATCATTGAAAATTTATATATTTACATGTTTACATTACTGGTAGGGCCCCTCTAATGTATGCGTCTCTTTCTACGGCTTCTTTTCACTTTCTAATACAATGTAATATATATCTGTGTTAATGTCACTTTATAAATGGCTTGCTTATTTTTGCAGGCGAGCTTAAACCATGTCGTCAGAGAGCGCTTTTTACTTTGGCTACATCAATGATCATTTTCTTATCAAAAGTTTACAATTTTCTTCCTCTTCTCTACTCTGCCAAGGCTGCATTAAGGGATGAGATTGTAGGTTCAATAACCTGTCAACTGTTTTTACCTAGAATTTCGATATACATTTTAATCTTTGATGTGTTTCTACTGCTGTTATGTTTTATTGATCACTCTCAACAGGCGGATCCTTTTCTCCGGTTGGTGGATGACTGCAGGTTGCAAGCTTTACATAATGAAATTGTAGCAGATGACGTGGTAAAAGTTTTCAGTTCAAAAGAAGACGATGAAGATGCGCTGAGGTCACTTTCATTGATAAACATTAGCGGTGACCAATCTCCAGAAGCTTTTGCTTCGATGATTTTGGAAAATTTGGGAAAACTCTCTGATGTAATTTTCTTCTCTGGTTGTGTTCTGCCGAATTCTTGTCTGCTCGTCACATGGCGCTGTATCTAAAATTTCACAATTTATATATGCAGGCTGAAATGTCCAATATCAAGGAACAATTGCTTAAAGATTTTACTCCTGACAATGTATGCCCATTGGGAGTGCAGCTAGTCGTGAATTCACCATGCAGAATCTACCAACACGGTTCTAAAGAAATTTCTGAAGAGGTAACATCTAATGTGTATTTTGACACATTCCGTTTGCTTTCATCTCAAATTTATATATCTGTCGTCTCATTGTTTTTTGCAGGCCGATCATGCAATGTTTTCAATAAGCGACGACTGCCCCACTGATTCTTTTGGCAGTCAAACAGATTCAAGCTCACAGTTAACTATGGAGAATCCCAGTTTATTGAGTGTCGACCAATTCATGGATATGGTATGTTTCTGTGCAATTTCCTTTGCCTTTTTTTTGTTACTCGTGTGAGTGTTGATATAATCTGAATGAATTAATTGGAAAATGTAAAATGATGGCAATCTATGTTGTAGGTTTCTGTAACAACAAAAGAGGTTGGACAAGACTCGACTATAACCCCATCGGACTTGCCATTCAAGGATATGGCAAGTCAATGTGAAGCTCTTCAGGTCGGCAAGCAGCACGTCATGTCAAGCGTCACGGTTTCCCCAGCAAGCTCCTGCCATGACGACAGCAACAAGCCATCCGATTCATGTCATCAGTCGGGATCTGTTACTGTAAGTTATTTCTAAAACCGAAAGCATTAATTTTCAAGCAAAAAACTTGATGCTGTTTTTTTTTTTAAAAAAAAAAGGATATCACACAATCGAGCTATATGTTCTTGTGGTTTTAAGAGATTATATTGTACACATTCATTTACAGGCACAATCGGTCACAGCTGATCCCGTGCAATGTGGAGACGAGCTCCAGCATTATCCCAACACATTCCATCTCCCGGCTTCTAGTCCTTACGACAACTTCTTGAAGGCTGCTAATGGTTAATGCTGAGTTCTCTGATGTTGTCTTAAAATCTTCCTCGAGTAATTATTTGTTGATTGTTTTGTTAAAAGGGGATTCTTTGTCACACTTGGGCTCCATGGAGCACATGTATAGCTTTGATGATGATTGTAATAAACTTGTTCTTATTTGGTTCTGATGACAACATGTATACGGAATAAAAGAGAAAAATATTGGGGTTCTTTTTAATCATCTGGCCCAGAATATATATATATATATAGATGTATGTTTATATTTAAAAATTTTAATATTGGTTATGGTGAAGTGGCTGTGCAGGAAGAAAGGAAAATTTAGAAAGACATACACCATGGATTCAGCACAAGTTTACAGGTGAGTAAAAACTAAAGTTACTTTTCATAGACATCATCAAGATCATCACCATCATCTTTATATATATACATATAGAGAGAGATAGGGAGATGAGTAAGAAACAGATCACCATGGTTGACTGGCAGCCATTGAAACCCAAACACAGTAGGCACACACAATCTTCTGAGACATGTAAACATACACTGCAAATGATAGGCTCATAAGTGTCAAGTCTTTCCAGTCCCCTTTGTGTTTTGGGCTCAGATTATCTCTCACTCCCTTCCCAAGTCTCCCTATTAGCTGCTGCACCAATATCCCCTTGTCCTCTTTGCCTAGGTTGTCTTTGAACTGGTTGTTGTTTTGGCAACAAACTATGCAGCAGGGCATTCTTGAATTGCTGCTGCCCCTGAGAATCCCAACTGGAAAGGGAATAACACTGTGGTTGATTGATAAGGCAGCCATGGAAGAAGACCAAGAACAGAAGAAGAAAGATTTATATGAGAAGGGGTCTTTTTGCCTTTGATTACTTTTAAGAAAAAAGTGATGGATGATGACAATAAAGGGTTTCGTCTGATTGGTAGAAAGGATAAGGCAAATGGGGTATCTAGGAAAAGAAATAAAGTAGTCATTTTTGCAAGAGAAAAGGACAATTAACTGTTGTCATCTTCTTCTATTTGGTCCACAAAGGTTGCAAGAATTCAGAGGATTTAAAGTTTACACTTAGTCATGGTTTTCATGGTTTTAGTTTTCTCACTAAAAGAATTACTCATCATTGTCGAAGTCTGAGTCGTCGCTATCGGCTTCACCATCACTGCCAAAGTTATCGGCAGAGCCACTGTCGGAGTCATCACTGATAACATAGCTTGTTTGCCTCCTGTTAACTCTCGTCGGGCGAGCTTTAGGAGCAACAATCTCAGCTTCTGCTGAAGTTTCTTCATCTTTGTCGTCTTCAACAATGCTCGACGATGATGTCCTTCCGAGAATGGAACTGCTTTTCTTGTTGAATGGAGAATCCCTCATTTTCCTTACTTTCTTTTCAGGAGAATTTTCTGCAGGCTGAAGAACTTCAGTGATCAGCTTTTGGCCTAAAAGCTGAGACGACTGCTTCGCTGAGGGTCCTCTTTTCTTCGCCCCTGCCGGAGGTTTCGCTGCTGCCTTCCCATTCACCACCTTTTTCCTGCCCCCCTTCTTCGCCTCTGGTTCAGACTCATCGTCAATGATCTCGATATCATCATCATCATCAGTTATCTCTGAAACACTTGCCAATGGCTTCTTCTGTGCTGCAGTCCTTCTGCTCGGTTCTTTGGTCTTTGCTGGTGGCACCATGGACACTTCAGTTTCCATTTCTGCGAGAATGATAATAAACAATCCATCATATATATATATATATATTTAGAAGATTCCTCCACCATTTAGCAGCTTACCTTGAGTATGATCCGGGGAAGAGTCGAAATTGTAAGCAGCAATTCGATCTCGCAGCTCAGCCACAGCGTCATCATCCTCACTTTCATTTTCTGATGCAACCTTCTTTGCCGGCGCCTTCTTCTTAGCAGCAGCTGCTGCCTTCCCTCTTGGTTTCTTGACTTCACCATTGTTGTTATCTGCAAGGGACAGGTTTTATGTATTTTTTTATCCATGAAATTTGCATAGCTTGCTGACTATATATGTATATATATGTGTGTGTATAATATGCACACCTGCTTCGACATTGTTTGTTGCTTTTTTGGTGTTCTTTCGTGCATTCTTGATGACTGGTTTCACTATCTTCATTTTCCCAAGAGCTTCTTTTTCTTTCTTCTCCCTCTTTCTATCACTGTCGTCGATTTCCTGCATCGAGTTTTTAGAACATTGTTAATAAACTCAGCCATCAAACCATGACAGGAGTAATGTGAATTAACTTAATAGAATCCTCACATCAAGTTTTGATTCAAGAGCATCAAGATCTTTCGCCCACAAGGATTTCACCGTTGCTCTTTTCAATTCTTCGAGCTCTTTCATCGCCTTGTCCCTCTCGTTCTGCAGCTCCTTCATCTTCTCAACAGTTAAAGTACCGATTGCCAGTGACATCAAGTAGTCATAATCACCTGCAGATGTTTCTTGGGCAGTTGGACTTTCGGCATTCTCTTCAGTCTCTTCAGCATCATCGGTTGCACCGGCAACGGCTACTTCTGCTGCATTTTTCTTTTTCGGGAAGGGGGTGAAGCCCTTCTCCTTCAACTCAAGGAACAGATCAGCCCTTCTTCTGTTGCTAACAACAATGGTGCCTTCCACAACACCTTTAATGAATCTACACTTATTGTCACATTTCAACAGTTCATAATCAAGTTTGTCCATCAAAGCTTTCTGCAGGAACAAACAATTGATTAATCACAAATGCAGATATATACATGGTCCCTTATCTCTGAATTTTCACCATAAATTTAAAAACTTGCCTTTCTCTTCTCATAATATTCAAGCCTTATGTAGAAGAATTCCTCAAGAACTGCACCAAGAATTACACAATGAAGTTAGTTCTATTTTCATAAAAACAATCAAAATCATTTTGTTTGTTTTATCTGTTCTAGATTTTGCTGCAGCAGTTGCTTACTCTGTTCCGGGGTGTCGTATTTCTTGATGACACCTTTCGCATCGAATAGATGCATGTTGCTTGTGCTAATCGAAGATGTTAGCTTAAATTTCTTGAGCAACCCCTCTTGCTTGGCTGCCAAAAGTCCCTCGGGAGACATATAAACAACAAAATTCACTGAATTCGGTGTGCTGTAATCACTGCAAGCCTGCAAAAAGCACAACTCCGCATATAAAACTCCTTTCCTACCATCATTAACCTCATTGTTACATGATAAACATAACTAAGAACAATACCTCAATGAAAGGGTCCTTGCTCTTTTCATTCTCAGCAGAAGCTGACTCCAAAAACTCCTTATAATCTTGTGTCCACTTCCGAACTGGAAGCTCTGTTACCCTCAGCGTCGTCTCATCAACTTCCTCTATAATTCCAGTGACAGTGTAGCTATTACCACCTTCTTTTGTAGCAGTTTTCTCAATCAAACCTCTGAATCCTCTGTACCAGGGATGCATGGCTTCCATGGGTTCGCCGTCCAGCAAATGCCTCACATTAGCAATGATGTCTCTGGGGTTATAATTCGGAATGTATGTACTCCACCCAGTGCCTATCCCTTCACTTCCATTTACCAGAACCATTGGTATGGTTGGCATATACCTACATATTATTATATACAGTGTCACAACTCCTTCAACCAACACCAGTTTTAAGAACACCCTGTAAAACTCACCATGTAGGTTCAATTGATTGCCCGTCCTCATTTAAGTAGTTAAGGAGCATGTCATCGGCCTTGGGGAACAAAAACCGAGTGATTGGAGAAAGCTGTGTGAAGATATACCTAGCACTGGCATGATCTTTGCCTCCCTGAGAAAACAATATGTCATCGATTCGAATAAGACTACAAAGTTAAACAACTTGTGAGTGAGAGAGAGAGAGACATATCATATAGTTTGTTGTAGTACCTGGACTCGTGTCCCGAACTGACCATTTGGCATGAGGAGATTTATGTTGTTACTGCCTGTATAATCTTGTGCCATGCCAATAATTGTACTGGCAAGACTCTGCTCTCCATGATGATATGCCGAGTGTTCGGACACATAACCAGAGAACTGGGCGACTTTTGCTTCCTTGATAAAGTTCCTCTTGAAAGAACAGTAGAGTATCTTTCTCTGCCCAGGTTTTAGGCCATCCACCATGGATGGAATTGATCTCTGAAGATCTGCCATTGAGAACAGAATGAGCTCCTTATGCACAAAGTCCCGATACTTGATGTGTTGCTCTTCCTGATCAAGGTACGTGCCGGGCTGCAAAACAAGAAAATGATAGCTTCTAAGTATTGGACAACCATAGAGAAAAGCTTGAAGAATTATATATACATATATATGTGTGTATATCTACAAATTAGTATATACCTCAAATTGCCTGAGCCAATTCTTTCTTGCTTCAATCTTCTTTTTACTGAAAGCAAGTTCGATTGCATCGCCATCCTCCTCATTCTCCCAGACAAAATCCTTCTTGTGCTTTCCAAGAGCTTGAAAATACTCCTTCCCTTCTTGATCTGTGCTGGTTCCCAACCCCTGAAAGTGTACACAAACAGAATGAATACATTAGGAACTGCAGATGATAAAGGAACAGAAAGTAACACTGAATAATCAAAAACTGATCCATTCTTTCTATTGAGCATAAGCCAAAACACCTTATAGTACTTAATGGTCCAGTTTCTTGCTTGTGGCCCCAAACTTTGTTTCCAACTTTCATACTCGGGCATTGTATAGAAAGATAGCTTCCCCTCTGTTTTATGAGTGGCCTGAAGAAGAAAACACCATTAAAGAGTTATAGATCATCAAAGGATCACCAACTGAACTCAAGATTAAAGCTATTGTCTGCTTGTTGTTGCAAACCTTTACAATAGGAGTAATGAACTCCAACAGGAAGGTAGGAATTTTGAGCAGCGACGGCCAAAATGAATGGATAAAATTAATCAGGAGCCCTTTGATGTGAGAACCATCATGATCCTACACCAAGCCAAAGATTATACTTTAGTTTAAAAGGCTGTAAAATCGAAAAAGATGAAGAAAACCATTACTAACTGAACCACAAATATGGCAACCTGATCAGTCATTATCATCAAGTGACCATATCTCAGTGACTTAACATTGTCATATTGTTTTCCATGCTGCAGACCAAGAATCTGCTTGATGTGCTGAATTTCAGCATTTTGCATTAGCTGATTATGACTTGCTTCCCTTACATTGAGCAATTTTCCCCTCAGAGGGAACACGCCGTAGTGATCACGCCCGACAACAGAGAGTCCAGCAATCTGAACAATATTTGAGACATTAAACTTCTTGCTAAACATACAAAACCATTTCTCAGTCTTGTCTTAAGCTTATAACTTACTGCAAGTGCTTTGGCTGAATCTCCTTCTGTCAAAATCAGGGTGCATTTATCAGAATTCCTACTCCCCGCCTCATTTGCATCGGCTAACTTGGCTAATCCGTAGATCCTCCTGTCCTTAGATCCATCTGTTTTCTTGAGGTCTTTCTTCTGCTTAAACTCTGCCCACTCCTCAATGTTTTTCATGATGTCTGATTTGGCCACTGCAGAGGATAAACAATAGAGTTCAAGAAACCAGTCTTGGAATAAAGCTTGTAATGAACTTTTAGGCGAAAACACGATACAGTACCTTTGTCTAGAAACTTTGTTGAGAAATCCCATGAAGATCCAAAGCTTGCGGCACGAAGCGTCAGAGTCTCCTTGGTTTGAGAATCGAAGGCAGGGTTGTCAATAAGGGCATTGACAAACACCCATAAATGGTTCTTGACAGTGTGAGGCTTAAGGTCAAATTTCTTGTTCTTTTTGTTCTTGTTCTTGATCACTGTTATAAGATGGCTTGTTATCTTGTTAGTGACATAATCGACATGAGTCCCGCCCTTGATCGTCGCGATTCCATTAACAAAGCTGACCTGATTATTAAACCAAACCAACATCAATCCACATTAACTTGTTTACATTTCTTGAACAAAATCTGTCTTCTTCCTCTTCTCATAAATTAAATCACAAACATTAATCATTCATTACCTGCTGAAACTGCCCTTCACTCCTGCTGATGCAAATTTGCCATCTGTCATGAACTTCCTCTTCAAACCTGCAAGATATATACATATATTATTGTATTATTAGATTGATTATTAGCTACACTGCAATAAATGGAAGATGGAAACCATGGAAACAAGAAACAGACCTTGGAAGTGGATCTGAACCAGAATCTGATACAGATTTCAGGTAAAGATCACAGTAACTGGAGAATGACTTGAAATGAAATGTCTGCCCATTCAATTCCACCTTCACTGTCTTCCCAAGACATCCAGCAACATCGATTACACGCTTCTTCATCAAAGCAACCACATCCTCTTCCAAATATGTCATCCCAAATTTTCCCAGATCTGGCTTGAATGTGATCTTTGTCCAATTCTCACCAGATCTGCACTTCGTTATTACAGGTTCGGATTTCGTTGCCATATTCTTAGAGAATACCTAAAAGGAATCAACAATATTTCAACAAGAAGCATCCTCAAAACCAGAAATCGCATCAAGATTCAAAGGAACTGATTGAAATTTCAACAAGAAATTCATACCTGCTTGTATCGTTTCTGCCTCTTCCCATCCGCAGTCTCGATCACAAACTCAGTCGAGAAAATGTTTGTAAGTTTGGCCCCGTAACCGTTCCTCCCGCCGGTAGTCTTCTTCTCGTTGTCGTCGTAATTGCTGCTGGTCAACAAATGCCCAAAAATCAGTTCCGGAACGTAAACCCCTTCCTCCTGGTGGATCTCGACCGGAACTCCATCCCCGTTGTTGTAGATGCTGATGCAGTTCGATTCGACGTCAATAGTCACCTTCACTGAGTCCATCCTGGGGTCTCTCTGCTTGTTATCGGCGGCGTTGACGAGAATTTCGTCGAAGATCTTGTACAGTCCGGGGACGTAGGTGATGGATTTCTGGATCATCTGGTCGTTCTCGTACACCCATAGGTTTTGGGTGTGCTTTTCAATGGAGCCGATGTAGGTGTCGGGGCGGAGGAGGATGTGCTCGAGCTGCGTTTTCTTCTGGTATGTCTGTTCGATGGTTTTCTTGCCGCCGCCGCCTCCGGCGGCGATCTCAGGCTGTAGGATATTGGCGTTGTTGCTGGTGGTTAGGGGGGCTGCTGGTGCTGCTTTCTTAGCGCCGGCCATGGCTTCAGAAACTCAATAGAGAAAAGAGAATAAGAGAGACACGGAGAGAGTGTCTGTCTGAAATGAAAACGAGCAGCGCTGCCAAGAAGAAGGGTACCTTTATCAATGGCGGTCTAACGGCTATTGTTTCAAGTTTTGAATTTTGAATTTGAAAAAACGGGTTATTCAAACCGGGTTGTCTTTCAGTCCGTGTCCGACCCGTTTTATGTGGGCTTGTGCAAACTTTAATGAGCTGTGGTTTTATTCGATCGGCCCATTTTTTTAAGTGCCTAATACTAAAATTTGCAATTATTTCTAAAAAAAATCGATCAAAATAATAGATATAATTTTGTTACCATTATAAGGTTAAAATTGAAATTTCTATAGAATTAATAATATAATTGTTGGATTAAAATGGAAATAAATGCGTAGAATTGATATTCGTCGGCTTTAAACTATTCTTATTCCGATTCAATGAATTTCAATATCATATTGCAATTTATTTATAACACAGTTGTATAATTTTTACTTATAATATTTGGAAAACTTTGTTTATATTTACATTTTTTAAACATTATTTTTTAATATATTTTTTTCTTTAATAACTTGGGAACCCAAAACATACTTCTAATATCTACGCAATTAAATTAATATATATTTATTAAATATATTTTTATTTAAAATTAAAATATATTAATTGTTATAAAAATATAAAAAAAAAATAAAAAAAATGTATCAATTATTACTGAACATATAAAATTAAAATTAAAAAAAATATTAATTAAAATGGGAGGAGTATTTTTTTTCCACTGAATATCCTTCTAATACTAAACATTTACATTATGCATAAAAAATTTCAAAATTTCATCTGCTTATAGTTTAAACAAACATTTTCATTTGCCTTAAGTACCATTTAAAAAAAAAAAAAAAAAACATCTCGGGATTGTTAACTTTGTATTTGTTTATATTATTCTTATAAATAATCTTTATGATAAATTGTTTTCAGCTTAAAAAATACTAGTCTCTCTGTCGCAAACAAGGTGCAATATTTGTTTTGAAGACGGATTGTTAGGTAGGTAGTATTAAATAAGATAATTTAGAAATTAGGTAATGTGACGGAGAGATAAATGTATATTTTATTTTTTTTATTTGAGTGATAAAATGTGATAAAGTGTGGAATAGAAATTAAGTATAATTAATTATTTTTTATTTTGAAAATATTGCATGAATGTTTAGAATATACCAAAAGGAAATGTTGTATGATTTTTGAGACGGAGGGAGTACTAAGCATCTCATACATATTTATGCACATCATACCAAATGGTGAATATCTCAAAGGTGTGCTTGTTTTGTGAAAAACATTTTGAATAAATATTTTTATGCCAGCTATAGAAAATTGAGCAGAAATATAAAAATAATAAAGATGTGTTAATATAAATAATTATAAATTAAGATTAAAATAATTAATTAGTTTAAATTAAATTTTAAAAAAATAAAATTAAAAAGTTTAAAATAAGATTAAAGTGTGTAATTATTAAGAAAAAAAAGTAGTGACATAGTACGTGGTACAAGATAGAAATGGCAAACGTGGACATAGTAGGTTAGTAGGTGAGACGAAGGGAGTAATATTTTTGAAAAAAATATGTAGAGAAAAAATGAAAAAGAAAATTTCCAAAACTTTGAAAAACTCACCATACCAAACTTCTCATGACACATGTGATCGATCATAAGCACATAAACAAGTATAAATGAACAAGAAAATGTCCATACCTCTCCTTACTTCTCCAACTGTCCGAAGTATCTCCCGGAGATTGTCGCAAGAATATTCAGAACAATACCTTCGTCATCAACCTCAGTTTTCGCAGCCCGTAAAACAGCACACTTCCGGAGCAACGACCTTAGCGCCGCGCCGGTATCGGCGTCAACGGGACAATCAACAGCTGCACAAAGAGCAAACAACCACAGCCCATCATCAATCGCCACCCCGCCCATTTTCTCCACCGAGCTTATTCGCCTCCTCAGCATTGCTGCTCGCGCCGCCGGTTCCATTCCCAAAATCTTCGAAACCATTGGAACATCGACGCGACCATTGGGATTAATTTCTTCTATAGGCTCTTGTATCCCCAACTCATCCGTATAAGCTGTGCTGTCAGTTGTCTCAGAGTTTGCACTTTCAACAATCTTAACCAAAAATTCGTGCGCCTGCAATGAACTGGATTGGATCAAACTGTTTGCGCTGAATTTCTCTCTTAGCTCAGAGAAATCTGCAAGGAAAGTATCCTCCCATTCTTTGAGTGGCTGTAGATTTTTGGGGCATTTCGCGATGTCGGGGATTTGAGGCATGTAAACACTCTGCTCCTTGATCTTGTCGATTTTGGCGACTTTTACGTTTGGGATCCTTGCTGCCTCCCACCTCACTCGCCGGAGATATTCTAGGCCGTCTAATGGAGGCCCTGAATCGAAGTCGGGCTCGCCTTTAACCACAAATGCTGGCTTCTGAATGCTACTGTAATCTTCTTCTTCTTCTTCATCTTCTTCATCACTGTATTCGTCTTCGATTTCCGAATTTTCAGGCTGATTTGCGGATTTCAGGAATTGGGGACGAGGATCAAACTCGATGCTCGGAGGATCATGCTTCTGATGTTTTTTTCCAATCAATTCCTCGTATTGCTGCATCACTGATGGAGAGAAACCTGAAAAAATCTCGATCCATTTCTTCTTTTGGTAGTCCAATTGTTCATACCTCAGAGCGTTCATCTCCTTCCTCGTGTACTGCAATTCCTTCTCTTTCTTTTCAATCGGAAAACATTTCGAAGGCTCCTTGTTATCTCTACCCTTGCCTCCCCTTCGTCTTGGCCGCTTCTCCTTCTTACCCTCCTTTTCATGGCGCTTCCCATCCATCTCAGAACTATCATCGGAAGCGGCTATCGTTGCAGTACCATTAGTCGCTTCAACCCTAACCGCGCATTTCTCCGAACACTTTGCAGGCGTTTCCTCTTCCACCTTACCAGAAGCTTCTTCGACTAATTCAGAGACGCACAGCGCCGATTTTCCGGCCAAGTCAGTTCCGCAAGTAGCAGATTCTCCGACGACACCGAGTTCCGCGCCTGCTCTTACAGAAACGACGGCGTCGTGCTCGCCGTTGGTAGCAGAAGCATCCGTCTTTTCTCCCGGTGCGAAGCCGCCCCTTCCTTCGGAAGATTGAAATTCCATTTCGGAAGACAGCTTCGCACTATCCCCAAGGCCTCCGCGCTCGATTTCCGGCGGCGCTGCCATCATCGGCGGAACCAAGCAATCGAAAACGTTGATTGGGAATATATATACATTACACTTGTTGGGCCCATATCGGCCCAAACAACAAAGTGTCCACATTCTAATTCAAAGTACAAGGCTATTTGTAATATTAATACATTTACTAAAACAAAATTAATATTTACGGAGACGTAACAAAATAAAAATATATATTTTGTTAAAAAAAAGTGAACTTATAACCGTTACAATATTTTATTAATATTATGACATTCATATTTACTAAACTAAGAAGGCCTTTCGAAACATTTTCAATTAACTTATCATTGTAAGCCAATTCAATACAAAGGAATGTGAAGTACATTCTTATTCATTTCTGTGCTCTACAGGGCATACACACTTTAACAATTTTGCTCTCACTTATTTCAACAATAACAATAACACTAGATCAATGTCTTGCATCCAGCTCGGCTTTCGCGACATCTCTACTGAAACCGAGTCCCCTTGCTTCATGAAATTGAATACCTTCATTGGTGTTCCTCTAAAATGCCGACGAGGCATTTTTCCAGCAAGAATTCTGCATTAACCCAAGCGTGGTACTTATCTGAACCATGTATCAGGATCACAAATCTCAGCAGGTTCAGATGTCGAATGAAAAATTAAGTAGCCAGATATAAATGGCGCGATATTAGAATTATAATGAGGATACTGAATAAAGATGTACAATCTTTTCCGACTGCCTTCATCAGCATATCCACACCTAGCAGAAAATTTCAGTGTATGAGTGAACATACAATCACTAAAGAAAATATGCATTGTAAACTATGTGGAGGATCGCGAGAGTTACGAATATTTAGGATATAATGCCCCGAGTGAAGACAAATATTCCATCAAATTAATGGCAGAAGAATCAACCACAAAAAGGGAGAAACATGTCTGTGTATGTATTTTTATGTTTAAATAGTGGTTTGATGTGATGTTTCGCGAGAAAAAACAGGGAGCTGCAGACGACAATATGCACAAGCAAAATACATGTATGTTAGAAAGAAACATGGATAAGAATAACATTAGGGGAGTTGACATGAGAAGCAAAACCAATCAATTAAATGACATTCTTTTTCGTTTCAAAATTTAATCTAAGGTGAACTTGAAATAAAAGCCACACAAGTAATGAGCGTTATTCCTTTGATGAAATTAGCACAGGGACTGAATGCAAATTGATGATGGGTCGAACTCAACCGCCAACATAGTTATGGTGAAATAGTGCATTTTCTAGAAGATAAGAAAACAACATATTAAGCATATATCATCATCTATGATTGATGAAGCTTTTGCATTAAAAGTCCAAATGAAACAAAGGCATCTTTTCACCTAAGAGTGAGGAAAATCTTTCAGGGATAAGCCGTGAGCGAAAGAAAAAAAAAAACAGTGAAAAGTAAATTCAATTGGATATCTACCTCCAGGATGGAACTTCATATAAGGTGCAATATTGTAGACGCGCCCTTTGAGAACCGTCCACATGGAGCCCTCAGACTGGTGTTGTTTAACTTCATCCAAAGATATTAACCGTCTATTCGACTGCCCCTTCAATCCTGAAACAATCAAACTATGGTCATTGTTCAACCGATTATCTCATCTAATTTTGCAACCCATCATATAAAGTTAGCAAGTGAAGTACTACTATTCTACAAATAAGTGGGCATTGAAACAACAACCTCTTATGTTGCTATAGAACTTTCTCCTTATCTAAATGATGAAACTCATGGCCATACGTTCATTAAGCATGGAAGTGGACTAGCGCACAACACCGCATCTGGTTTTAATGAGCTATACATTTCTATAAAAACACCTTTGAAACACCCCTTTAAAACCCCTTGTGTGGCTAAAATAATATAACATAAATTGCAAGAAGAAATTAAGGGGATTCAGAAACATATAATATGCTCAGTTGTAAACGAATATCAAACATTGCAGAAAACAACACAAGAGTAATAGTTGGAAGGCTCGGAATGAAACAAATCGTGCAAATAACATTACGTAATATCATGCAGTAAAATAATTTTTTCACGAGCACTGGCTCTACCACATGTTATCAGTCAATTGGGGGAAAATTCGTCTATTTACCAAGGGATACAAAGTTAAATCATACACAAGACAATAGCATCCAAGACAGGCAAAAATAGGAAAGCAGAATAACATATGGGAAAACATTGGCAAGCCAATTCAGATGATAAAGCATTTCATCTAAAAAGATTCACGCGTAATGAATAAGTAGTTTGGCGGATGAAACACACGCCCAGAAACCACACAAAAGTATTCTCACAACATCGAGTACCTGCCAGGTCAGTGTGAGTTCTTGTAAGCTTAAGCCAGTCCATCTGACTGTAACCCTTCTCAAAAGGAACCTTAGCTCTTGGCACTGGTTTCTTCGTAGAAACTTTGGGTTCTGGAGAAGCCTTATTTGCACTTCCTGTACCCTCAGGGCTGCCTTGTTTGGCTCGTTGATCTACCCCTTTACGCGATGATGCATCAATCACATTAAATGTCAATGAACCAACAGTTTCCTGCTTATACGATGAAGTGCTGGCGTTCAATACATTTGTAGAATTCCGGTTACTAGCACCATCTGCAGTATCCGCATTTCCATCTTCTATACGAATCTCCCAGATGTCATCAGCAATCTTCTGAGCTCCAACGCCATCTCCAGGTGTCCCAACCTTACAATCAGATTGTAATTTAAAAATTAGGTAATTAGAATTTAATCTAATCTGAATACAGGAAATAATCCAATAAGCAATTCACAGTTTGGAATCTAAAAATAATTGAAAAAGAAAAACAGCTAATATACATACATACATGCATAACAATGACTTACTTGACAAAAAGTAAAATCATCATCCCCCTCCATTGTAGGCCAAAACGCAGACTCCAAGTAAAACACCTAAATGCTGCGTCAGACGAAAATTCCATCATTGATGAATTCGATGCACTAGCAGCACATTTTCTAAACCCCCTTTCCAGGATCACCAAAAATCACTACGTGCATCAATCAACATAAATTTTGAAGAAACCAAACTATAACTTTTCCAATACAAGCAAAAAAGCGCAATTCCATTAACAGCTATGTATGTAGCCACTCCAATTATCGTATTCTTCCAATTCACTGAAATCTGAATTCCCCCATCGTTCCAAATCATAATTAAAATAAAAATAAAAATACACAAAGGTTAACACCCAATCAAGAACCCACAATAATACGTACACACAGGTAGAAATTCAAGCGTACATAATCGCAGAAGATCGTCCAGGACACAGACTGGTCTCCGATTGCGCGTCGAACAGAGCCCTAATTTTTAGATACTTTGTAACTTGAACGCAGTAAGAAGGTATGGGCCTTTGATTGCCAGCTCACAGAAATGGGCTAGGTTTCTTGAGAGGCCCATATTTAAACATTGGGCCTCTCCCGAATTATTAGAAATTCGACACAATTCGAAACTAGTACGGCCCAATACCCAAACTTTTTTAACTTTGTTTTTTAAAGATATATTTAATATAGTATGATTTTTTTAGTATGTATTGAATATGAATTTTTTCTTTAAAAGAAATATTATTGGTGAATATTAAAAATTTCCAAAAATATGTATTCCCTGGCTCCATCCCATAACAGTTGTTAAAGGAGTATTTTCTTATTTTAAGTAAATTTGTCCATCATAAACCTATTTAAAAAGTATAAATTAATTTAATTAAATTTTTATTTTATAAAAATACTATTTATATCAAATTTTTAATAAAAAAACCTAATTTATAGTCAACACCAAATCAAATTGTCGGGCTTAAATTGCATACTAATTGATTAGATTTATTCAGAGCGCACCCAAATAATATATTGTATGAAAAAAATATAGAAATAAAACACCCACAAATTTCGAGGCATTCTAAAAAACAATGCATGAAATAAAATATTTACATAGTGTCTTTCTTTTCTCAAAACAAACACATATATTTTCTAAAGAAAATACAATTTATTGTACATATTCATTATTTTATATTATTTATACAATCTTTTATATTTTATATAAAAAAATATACTACTCCCTCCGTCTTATAATAAAGTATTCATTTTTTCATTTTAGTCCGTCAAAGTATCAATTTCTTTTTTTCAGTAACTGTACTTTCTGCCTAACATTACAAATACCGTTACAACTTATAATATATTACACAAATGCCATTATATTTATATCACACGTACTAATAAGGTTATTTTAGTAATTTCTACTTTATTCCTACTATATCCTAATATAATACTAATATTTCAAAAATTACGTGTAAAAAACAAATGAATACTTAATTTCGGGACGAAGGGAGTATATTTTAAAATATGTCACAAAACAAAAACACTTATAAGTTTTGTTGTAATTTAAAATTGATTTAAAATAAAAATAAAAATTTTTATTTTTATTTAAATAATATTTTAATCATAATATTTTATAAAAAATAATATATTTTATTAGAAAGTGTATGAAACTAATAATATTAATTTAAATTTAAAAATACATATACTGGAATATTTTCATCATGACTATAATATATATATAATTAATTTTATTTTTTACGTCCAATTTTAATCATTCATATAGTTTTGTGATATACGAAGCATGATTCTGAATCGGCACCGCTTACCACTTAACAATGAAGCATTAAATAAATCCTATATTTAAAAAATAAAAAATAAATAAATAAATCCTATAATTAAAAAATAAATAATAAATAAATAAATCCTATATTTATGTACGTAATAAATCTTATATATACGAAATGCAATATTATAAATTATCGGAATAAATAATGTCACATCTGAATTAAAACCATTTCCAACTTTGTTTAGGAGCGTCACGTGCCTAATGCAATCCAGCAAAACAGAAATCATTATCAGCGAGTCCATGGTCCGGAATGCTCAATAAATCCACACCACACGGTTCAGGGCATGGAGTAAAGCTCCAGGACCTTCCCAAACCACTCGGCACTCACGTGATAATCCATCCCGAAGATCTGATTTTTTTTCCTCCGATTCTTTCAAATCTCGCAACGCAATCTTCCGCCGCCCGATTCGGAAGCGCCTCCGCCCCGCCTGCCGGCCGGCGATTCGAAATCACGTGCGTTGCACGTGCGCTGAGGTGGCAGCCACTTCCGACGACACGTTTGGGAGTCCACTAAACTACAAAAGACAGCCCTTTCAAGCTTTTTGTTGTCGCCTTTTATCGTCTCTTCTCTCTCATTCCTCTCTCACTCCTCCTTTGCCATAGAAAATTGATTAATCGACCTTACAATAACCTATTGTTCCTTTCCTTCTCCCAGATCGGAGTTGTTTTGTAATTTTTTTGCCGATTTTGTGGTCTCTCGGAAGGGGCATTGGAAATCGAACGATCGTCTTCTCCGGTGAGTATAATCTCCTGCATTGTTATGCTTTCTATGCATGAAGTCGATTTTTCGTTTAATTTTTCTGCAATTAGATCTCCAAGATCGTGGTTTTGATTTTGCCAAGGGTTAATTGATAGAACAGAGATGGCTAAGGCAGGAACATTGGATCTGGCGTCTGGCGTCGGGGGTAAGATCGAGAAGCAACAAGTTCTCTCCGCCGTCGACAAGTAAATCCCTAAAAAAATATATATACACACAAACACACACAGTGAGATTAATCATTTCGAGTTTGAAAAGTACACTACAGAATCTCCACACCTTCCATATTCAGCTTTGATCTACAGTGACCTCTTTGTAGCATACTTTTGGATGTGATTTGAAAGCAAGCTTAAATCTTGTTACTCTTATATATATATATATCTGTATATATTTTGATGTTTTGAGTGCCTTCAATGGATTTTATTGTTGTTTGGTGGAATAGTATCTGGCAATAAATCAGTGCTTAATAAACAGCTGTAAATGTTCACTATGTTCTTTATGTTCTTTTTTTTTTTTTGGATTTCTACAAAATACTATTCTTCTTTCTCTTCCTGTTATTTATTTCATATCTGAGTTTAGAAGGTTTTAATGTTGTTAGTCTTTGATTCTACATTGTTAAGGTGCATCAATCATCAGTTTATTTGCAAAGTTTTGAACTAATTTCCATTTGTTTTGCACACAATTGGATTTGTGTGATGATCTTTTGATTATTGTCATTGTGTTGGTATGAAACAGGTATGAGAAGTATCATGGTTTCTATGGAGGTCATGAGGAAGACAGAAAAGTTAACTACACTGATATGGTGAGCTTTCTTATTAGTAATTCCAATCTTCGTCGATATTAACAGCAATGGTGGTTGCTATTTTTGTCGTCGAAGTTTTAGCCGTGCGCTTTTTTGATCGACAAACTTAACAATTATGTGCTAAAGCTTATTGCTTTGTGTTCCTTATTAGGTAAACAAGTACTATGATCTTGTCACAAGCTTCTACGAATATGGATGGGGAGAATCGTTCCATTTTGCGCCGAGGTGAATCGCTTTTTCCATTTTGCTTTATCACTTTCAATTGAACATCGATTCTGTGGACCATCTTATGTGTTGTTAGTTCATATATTGTATTTGTATTATGTTAAATTAATATCGTGTATTATCTGTCATTACATTATGTGCTCTATGTCTACGGTGTTGTCAGCATGGTACTGAAAGTTGTGATTCAGCATTAGAATCGTAATTGACTTCTAAATACGATTGTTGACGCGATTTGATAGGTGGAAAGGGGAGTCTCTCCAAGAGAGTATTAAGCGGCACGAACACTTCCTCGCCTTGCAGCTCGGGCTGAAACCGGGACAGAAGGTGTTTTGATGGCCGTTTGTTTTAGCTACCTCAAGACTTCTATTTATATGCTTCAAATCGGACTGACGTTTTTGTGTTGTTTTTTTTCTATAGGTCTTGGACGTCGGATGTGGTATTGGCGGGCCGTTAAGAGAAATTGCTCGGTTTAGGTAATGCAGGAAGTTTGCTCATTCATTTGTTCGATTGTCTTGTCCTTATTTGTCTTCCTTCTTTGACCTGTTTTCGCATATTTCTATTTTGAATCGCATACTGCGATTTCTGTTGAAAATCATGCTCAATATTAGTAATATCATATCAGCGCCTCGCGGTAGATATTAAGATTAATTTGGCAATTGCGATTCTTCTTCGGACTTTTAGTGTTTGTTGTCGTCTTGCAGCCGCACATCGGTGACGGGCCTCAACAACAATGAATACCAGATATCGAGGGGGAAGGTTTGTGCTTGTTTCGATTAGTTTTTTTAATTAAATCATATGAAACAAACTTTTCTTCGACCCTGTGTATATTTTCTAAGTATAATGCAGTCTTTTTTTCGACTCTGCAGGTGCTAAATCGTCACGCTGGAGTGGACCGAACTTGCGATTTCGTTAAAGTAAGTCAAATTGAATATCGAATCGTTGTTCCCGGCAGAATTTTCATACTATTTCCATCCTAATATTTTCTTTGCAACAATGGAGGCCGATTTCATGAAGATGCCGTTCCCGGACAATACATTCGATGCTGTATATGCAATCGAAGCCACCTGCCACGCTCCCGATGCGGTATGCTAATTCAAACTTCTTTCGCAACATCGACTCTATAAGCTTTTCTTTGTACTAACCTTTCGTGCTTTCCGCGATCCATGTTTTCGTCAAGGTCGGCTGCTATAAGGAGATTTACCGAGTGCTGAAACCCGGCCAATGCTTCGCTGTATACGAGTGGTGCATGACGGACGCCTACGACCCTAACAACGAAGAACACAAACGGATCAAAGTAACCAAATGTTCTAAAAAAATTTTCATTTGCATTTGCATTTGCATCTGCGTCTCATTACGATATCTACACCCGTGCAGGCTGAAATCGAGCTCGGCAATGGCCTCCCCGACATTCGACTGACTCGCCAGTGCCTAGACGCCGTTAAGAAAGCTGGCTTCGAAGTGAGTTTCCGAATGCTTTACCACTGTATTCTTATTCAGCTGATCATCGCAATGTAATAAACGAATTAAATGAGAATTTCATCTTCGCTAAGGTTGTTTGGGAGAAGGATCTTGCCGTGGACTCTACCGTCCCGTGGTACGCGCCGATGGATACGAGCCAATTCTCTCTCAGCAGCTTCCGCCTTACAGCAGTCGGTCGATTCTTCACCCGAAACATGGTAAGAATTTTACATCCGAATTCTCGTAACCATTTTACCACTCGCAGTCTTATTACAAGAATCGATCGATCAATCATTGCAGGTTATTGCATTAGAGAAACTCGGTATTGCTCCGAAGGGAAGCCAAAGGGTTCAATCGTTCTTGGAGAAAGCTGCCGAAGGACTCGTCGCTGGTGGAAAGTAAGAATCTTTTTTTCCCGTAATTTTTGTCGTCTCGTAGAAGCATCGATGTTTTGACATAATTATCGATCGATCTGGAACTTTCAGGAAAGAGATTTTCACGTCGATGTACTTCTTCCTTGCGCGGAAGCCTCGAACGGAGGAGAACTCGTAGTCGGCGTGCATCTATCGAATGTGTTATTACCCAAATTCCTCGGCTATTATGCGTGATTATTATGATCGTGTGCCGGGCCGTCGTTCTTTCGGTTTTTGTTTGAGTTTGAATCGAATGTTTTATGGTGTATTGGTAATGAAACTGGACATCATTATCATCCTATCATCGAAACATTTCTTTTCTGGTGTTTTTAAGGTTCCATTGACGAGAGCTGTGATTTCGTATCAGTTAATGATTCTCTCTGCCTCTGCTTGTCTACAATGCGACACTGTGTAGAATGTAAATGAAATCGGTGGTAGTGGTGGTGGTGGAGGATGGGGCGGCGCCGTCGTCTTTGCCGGTGGGGGGTGGGTGGTAGTAGGTCCGGCCGGTCTGGGGGCACCGGGAATGGAACCTGTAGGCAATTCTGACAGCGGAATCTAGAAGCTTCCCCGGCATCTTTCACCCGGCAGTCGAAACTTGTCGGGAAAAAGATGCGGCGGCGGGGAACGGAGGAATTCTCTGTCGGAAAAGCAGCATCGGCGGCGGTGATTTGTCCGCCGTTAAATAGGAAGGTAAGGGCTGAGTTTTTTTCGGCGGGAATTGCGGTTTGTCCGCTTGATTCTTTTCGGTCATTTTTTTTTTTTAGAATAATAATAATAATAATAAATTATTTATATATTATATTAAACGAAAAACGATTTTTGCTGATTTTAAAAGAAAAAGTTAATGAAACCATACCTTAAATAAACAATTTTTTTTTTTTTTTTTTTATATGACCTGGGAATTAGCAACTGCTATCCAAATATGCGCACTGAGGTGTTTGTTTGGGGATTGAATTTACATTGTTCATCCAATTTTTTTTTCCAAAAATATTAAATCAAACACTTATTTTTTTTTTTATATTATACTAAAAATTAATTTTATATTCAAAATATCACATCAACACCTATCATACAACTATTCAAATTCAAAATTTTTACTATTTAAATCCCAACTTAAAATCCAAAACCCCAAAAAAACACACCTTGGGTAAATTCTCAATTGAAATTAGTATTATGCAGCCCTGACAGAACAAATTTGTTTTTTTAGTTATTAAAGTTTGCTCTTTAGTATTTAAAGTTTTTTTTTTTCTAAGTTTTATGATTTACTAGAAACTCGAAAGTCTCTATTAGCACCATAATCAATCCATTTAAGTAAATTTAAAAGTTTGTTATTCTTTTTTTCTAGTATTGTGTATATAATATATATTTTTAATATTACTCTAAATATCTATTTTTTAATATGAAATAATTTATTTAAAAACATAAAAATCCAATATATTTCATATTAGACACACTGTTACAACTACTTTCTTTATTACCTTTATAATTGTCTTTTCCAATTTTATTATAATAAAATTCATTACTTTAATCAAGTACCGATTATTTTCAACAAAAATAAATAAATTAAATATATCTAAATTTTTTTAAAATTTTAAAATATTAAATTATAAATTTAACATAAATTATATATATTTAAAATTCATTAATCAATTCTCATACTTTATCTATTATATTTTGAAATTATTTGTTATTTGCCACTTTTCATTGATCTCATATATTTATTTGGACACGATTTGATAATAAAAATAATAATTTTTAAGTTATATGGTTAATATATTTATTTTATACGTTTATAGTATACTAAAAATTTTTATATTATTTTTAATTAATATATATGTTGATTTATTCTAAATATATTTAATTATTAAAATTTATATATATTATTATTTAAAAGTTAAATATAAATATTATTGGACAATAAGAATAGGTATTAATAAAAAAATTATTTATATTGTTTATATATATTATTACATAATAACAATGTATAAAAAGAATAAATTATTATGAATTTATAAAATAGTACTGTAAAAATAATAGATTGTAAGTCATTTACCATAATGAATTATAAATAAAATGATTTAAATATTGAAACGAATATGATATGAATTAGCAAATAAATATGACGCATATAAAATAGATAATAATTATAAAGATGCTCTTAGTTATTAAAAAATGTATAAATATTATAAAAATATTTGTTTTTTTAATTTTCAAATACTCTATAATAAAAGTAACAGTATATTTTAATTAAAAATATGAATAATAAAAATTAAAAGCTGAGATCGTGGTTTTGTTTTTAAAATTATAATTCATTATATAAACTATAATAACATATTTTAATTATAATTAAAATACATTTTTATCTATACAAAATAGTTAGTTGGCACAGCATTCGTACCCGAAAAATAATACTCCCCCGTCTCTTAACAATCTATCCATTTTTTCATTTTTGTCCGTTCCAACACTACAAGAAATTATCAATTTTTGTAACAAGGTTTTTTCGTTCCTAAATTCACTTTTTCCGTTACTAATGATATTAGAGACAGAATTAGAGATAGAATTACGTTAGCTACGTGAACTTTAGGAATGGAATTCCGTTACAAATATACTATTTTCTTGTAGTGCAAAGTATCCGTTTCTTTTTTTAGTAATTGTACTATGTACCTCACATTACAAATACCCTTCTAATTTACAATATATTACACAAATGTCATTACCTTTATATCATACAATACTAATAGGGTTAATTTAGTCTTTTTACCTTTATTTGTACTTTATTGCAATATAATATTAATATTTCTAAAAGTCCGTGCAAAAAGCAAATGCAAATGGATAGATAGATTGGGACGGAGGGAGTAATAAAAAAATTAATAATTAATTATATTGGTTGCCACGTGTCACCATGGTAAGCTACTGTCGTGGCAATCTTGCTTTCGTCACATGTAATTTCTTAAAAACAAAATTCATCTATACATATACACACTTTATTTTCCACTTACAAATAAATTAAACAGACAGAATTAGCAACGTTAGAAACCTTCCAGAAAAAGAAATATATATATATATATATTTATAAAATTATATATATATAAAAAAAAAAATTATGAAAGGTTTACAATTAGAGGGCTCGTTTAATTTGTTTCGGTGGATTTGAATTTGATTTTTTATTTTTTTTTTCGAATAGAATAGTATTTGAATATTATATACTCTCTCTCACAGTATAATAGTCTTGTTTACTATTTTTGTCCGTCTCAAAACAATAGTCTTGTTTCCATAAATAATCGTATTACCATAAAATTATCCCTATTTTTTCATTTTTATTACACAATTGTCACTATTTTTTATATTAATACACTCACAGAGACAAAAAAGTCTTTTATCTATACTTTTTACCAACTATCAATATAATATTAATATTTCTTAAATCTCGTGCTCAACCCAATTAAGACGGGAGGAAGAGAATATATTTTTTCAAATAATATATTATTTATTAAAAATATTTATTATTATTATTTTATTTGTAATCCAAACCAAACGTTCCCATACAATATACTACATGAGTAATAAAACAACAATTAGAAAGATCAAATAATAAATTTACAATTTTCTTAATCAGTAGTGCTGATTGTGGCCGTTCATTTTTTTTGTTTTATATAAAATATTATTTAATATTTTTATATGTAACACAACTAGAGAGTGTGTTTGTTTTGAAAAAAAAAATAAAACTAGATACGTTCTTAACAAAAAATAATAATATATTTTTTATTAATTATTTTTATATTATTTACACCATTTTCTATATCTTATAAAAAAAAAAATATCATTTCAAAATGTTTCATAAAACAAACACACCCAAAAGATTTCTGCGGAGCTATTGGTGGTGCTTTACAATCCTTTAATGATTTGTGAAAAAAAATAATAATAAGAAAAATTGAAATAAATGAGTATGTTTATTTTTTAATTATTTTGAACTTATACGATTTTGTGATTAAAAAGTAGAAAAATATGAATTTGAGAAAATTTGAAGAACTCTACATGAAAGTAAAAGTCTTTGGTTAATAAGTAATACTTCTTCCGTCTCAAAACTATAGTTTTAGTTGTGTTGGACACGAAATTTAAAGAATATTGATATTATATTGATAGTTGATAAAAAAGTATATGTAAAAGACATTTTTGTCTTTGTAAGTGTATTAGTGTAAAAGATAGTGACAATTGTGTAATAATAATGAAAGAGTATGAGTAGTTATACAGTGATACGATTATTTATGAAAATAAGAATATTGTTTTGGGACGGATAAAAATAGTAAACAAAACTATTGTATTGAGACGAATGGAGTAAATGATTCAGATTTAAATTTGATTTAAACCAAATAAACGATGAAAATTTTGATATTTTCACTAAATTTGTTCAAAATATACAAATATGAAATAAATATATTGATAAATACATCTCTATGGTGTTTTTAAGTGCTATTTCTGAAAATTTTTATGTCAAATCTACTACTAAGAATAGTAGAGATAATATAATTTCTTTTTTTTAATGATGTGAGAACCTGCAGCTGCTATCGAAAGTGCGCACTGGATAAATTCCCGGGAGATAATATAATTCTTGAAACAATTAAAAATGGATTAAAGAGTAAAATATGATGTTTAGGTTAATTGAAAAGATAAACAAATACTTGATAAAGTTTTGTTAGTTAGAGGTAGGTCACAAATTTTAAAAACTATATAAATCACAAGAATAATGACAAATGGAAAGATAAGTCTAAGTTTAAAATATTATTAGAGAATAATAATATTTTATTAATAAATGAAAATGTGTAAAATATTTTTGATAATTTTGTACTTTTTTTATACATTTATTGATATATTTATAATTTAGGTAAAAATAAAAATATTCTAATATTAATATATAATTACCTTGACAGTAATAAATAAATATTTTTGAATAAAATATAAATAATATTTTCGATTAAAAGGAAAAAGTATAAAAATAGAATAAACAAAAAATAATAAAAATCTCATAAGTATCATACCAAGATACTTGTGAGAAATTTTGAAAAAAAAAATACTATATATATTTTTTTATAAAATAAATTATATATTTTTTAAATATTACATTAAGAGTTAATTTTGTATTTAACAGATCACATCAAGTTAAGACCTATTTATATCATATAATATAATTATTCAAATTCAAAATTTTATTATTAGAAAACCCAAAATCTAAAGCCAAACAAACACACCCTGTATATATACAAAAAATTATATATATATATATATATATAATAATGCTACTTTCACGTCGTAGTCATTTGCTTTGTTAAAAGCATTAATATTTTTTTACCATACTTTTATTTCATTACTAATCCATGATAATTTTTAATAACAGATACTATTTTATTTTTTATTTTATTTTTTATTTAAAGAACTTATATATATATATATATAAGATCCCAATACTCTAATCGTCATTAACTAACTCACAAAATTTAAATTATCCAATCCTAATAGAGAATTATTGCACCAAATTCACTTTCCACTTCACTTTGTATGGTTCATGTCAGAGGGGACACAATAAATTAAATAAAATCAATTATACAAATTAAATATCAATTAAGCAATTAGGTACTTGTACCTAGACTAGATATTTCCTTTTTATTTATTTATTTTATCATCCACTGCACCAACCATTTCCTCCATTTGATTAATACTCCACTATATATATATATATGTTTTGTTAGGCAAAATTGTCCGTAATTTCCTTGTGGTTTCGAAACTCAGCGTAAATTCCCTCTCTACTTTAAAAATTACATGGTACCCCCTTATACTCTAAAGAATATTGCATGAAACTACTCTGTGGTTTCGAAACTCAACATAAATCTCCATTTTACTTTAAAAAATTGCATGATGCTCACTTATACTTTAAAAAATATTGCATAAAACTCCCTTGCCGTGTTCTTATGACATGAGGAAAGTTTCAAGGTGGTGGAGTTTCATAAGGGGGTACCATGCAATTTTTAAAGTAAACGGGAATTTACGCTGAGTTTCGAAACCACAAGGGAGTTATGGACAATTTTGCCGTGTTTTTAATACCTCCTTCGTTTCCTTTAATGATTTTGGTTTTTCTATTTTTATCTTTAAAAAATACAAAAATACTATCTCCGTCTCGTTGGAAGGGTGGCGTTTGTTATTTGCACGTAGATTTTTTAATATTAGTATTATTTTGGATTGTAGTAGAAAGGACAAAAATACTCCTATTAGTATGGTGTAATATAAAAGTAACGATATTTGTGTAACATATTGTAAGTTGAAAAGATATTTATATTTATTATATTAAGTAGGTAGTACAATTACTAAATTAGGAAATGATAACCTTATTTTGGGACGGACGAAAATGAAAAATGTTAACCTTTCAATTGAAAGAATGAAGTATTATTGTTACTTTTTTATCAAATCTGAACTTCATTATAAATTATAAATATCTTAACATTTATATTTATTTATATCAATATCATATATAAATTTATGTATTAAGGGTGAAACAGTGTTACATATAGGGTGTATTGTCTAGGGGTTTGGATTTTAAGTTGGATTTGAATAGTAAAAAATTTGAATTTAAATATTTGTATAATGTGGTATTTTAAATGTAAAATTAATTTTTATTATAATATAAAAAATAAAAAATAAGTATTTAATTTAATATTTTTAGAAAAAAAAAAATTAAATTAACAGTAAAAATCTTACACAATCCTCCAAATAAACACACTCATAAAATGTACTATACACAATTATAATAAAATGCTCATTTAATTCCGCGCTAAAAGTAAACGAATATTTTTATAGATAGGGATAGTAATAAGTTTGAAATTTATTTATCTTCGACTTATTGAATTTATTGGTTAAAAAGTAAACAAATTGTATATTTGATTTTATTGAGAAAAGATGGAAATAAAATTAATTATATTATTATTATTGTTATGATTATTATTATTCCAATGAAATATGAAATGTTACTATAATAAAACTTACAATATTATCCTATTATGTCAATTAAACTTATGATATTTCTTTTAATGACAATTAAAAAAAAGGAAGGTCACGTGCACCCACACGGACTGCCGAGTCTGTACTGTCACTTGCCATTTTTCTACTGCTATTAATAATTTATTTATTTATTAATATTGAGTATTTATTTATTTATTTATTTTTTGAAATTTTTGGCATTAATAATTATGTCACTATAGTATACATATATATGAACAGACTCCCTCCCGCTGTTTCCTGCAATTGCCTCACCGCTCTAATCTTTGCCATACCTCTTTTGAATTTTCCTCATCGCTCATCTCTTCCAATCGGTTCTCGCCATCCATGGAGGATTCTCCCCCATTTTCCGTCATCATCGTCGGAGCCGGAATTTCAGGCGCGAGCATGCCCCATCATCTGATTTTTTTGCTTGATTTTACTGTGGATTTGATTTTGTGGCGGTGTTTGTGATTGTGGCGGTTGTGCTATTGATTGAAGTGCAGGAATTGCAGCGGCGAAAGTGCTGGCCGACAATGGGGTGGAAGACGTGCTGATATTGGAAGCGGCGGACAGGATTGGCGGTCGGATACGGAAGGAGGACTTCGGCGGCGTTACGGTCGAGGTCGGGGCAGGTTGGATTGCCGGAGTCGGCGGGAAGCAGTCGAATCCGGTTTGGGAACTCGCTCGCGAATCCAATCTCCGGACGTGTTTCTCCGATTACAGCAACGCGCGTTATAATATATACGATCGTAGGTACGATTGTGATCTCGAACTATTGATTGCGAACGGAAATGAAACAGAAGCAGAATCACGCAAATTCTGTGAGCGTAAACGAACACTTTCATTTTCATTTTCTTTTCTATCTTTTTTTTTTTTTTCTTTAAAAAAACTGAAAACCGTAAATTACAGCAAATGATTTTGATAGGAGTTTCAATTCCAAATCTTGATTTCAACTGCGTGAAATCAGGGTTGGGGGTGTGGGGCAGAGAGCAATCATATTGCGGTTAAAATACACAGTGGGGTTTAATGGATTTTTCCCTTTATCATCATATACTGATTAAAGCTGATTCTCCATGATTAGCAACGTCGAGATAAAGTCCATAGAAATTTTTTGTTTCCATGGAAATATTGTTTAGCTATTGGTAGTGGTTATCAGTTCATCTATACGATTTGGTGATTCAATGCTTTTCCTGATGACGATATTTTTTTATTCTTAACTAATCCACGAATTGGCTGTCATTATCTTTTCTTGGTTTTTTTCATTTTTTGTGTAGTGGGAAGATATTTCCGAGCGGTATAGCGGCGCATTCCTACCAGAAAGCGGTGGAATCAGCGATTCAAAAGCTACAAAGCCAAGAGTCAAATCCAGATGTCGACACATCAACCTCGTCGTAATTGAGATTTCCATTTTCTCATAAAAATTAATAAACAAAAGCGTTATGTACTACCATCTATGTTTTTGTTTCCTTATCCAGTGAATTTTCATTGCAGAGCTCCAAAGAGTCCGATAGAGCTGGCAATTGATTTTATTCTGCATGACTTTGAAATGGCAGGTCATTTCATTAGAATTATTTTGAAACTTTTCTTGCTCAGAAGCAACCATGTTCAAGAAATGAAATGAATTTTACCAAGAACGTGAAAGTAGATTTTTGTATGTATTTTACAGAGGTGGAACCAATATCGACATACGTGGACTATGGGGAAAGGGAGTATCTGGTAGCGGATGAAAGAGGGTACGAGCATTTGCTGCACAAGATGGCTGAGACTTTTCTTTTTACCTCGGAAGGTGAAATCTTGGACACCAGGTTAAAACTCAACAAGGTAAAATGATCATGTTAGTTCACTACGAATTTGACTCGTGGAAAATATTTTCGGATTCCATTGATGATTTTCCTTGATTTTGCTTTTGTCTTTTCTTAACCCAATCATTCAGATAGAAACAAAGGGAAAATTGCTTTTTTAATTTCTGGAAAAAGTACAAAAACTGGTGGGTTAAATATGCATGTATATATGAAAAACAGAAAAGTGATTGTAAAATAGCGAATTGTCCACCAAATGCAATGACCCTTTTGTTGCCTTTCTGTTTTGATTATGAATAAGACATTTTGTCAATGGTTTGCTGTTTTGCGCATTACATGCTTATGGAAATAGACTAATGCCTACATTTAGATTAGTTCTACTGATCAAATAAAATAATGCACAAAAGTTGTTAAATACTTCTTTGACAACTACTAGTGACAAGGAAACAAAGTAAAATGGTGAAGTCTTAGTTTGACTGGAGGAAAGAATCTGATATGGCTGCAGATTTTATGCATGGGACTTTGGGTTTTCTCAATATATGTAATTTATATGTATGTACGTATATATTTTGATGATGCATACGAGTAAATGCAGATTGACATAAGGTTATTTTCATGGAAACTGGGGAAGCAGGTAGTTCGGGAATTGCAGCACTCGAGAAACGGCGTGTCGGTGAAAACGGAGGATGGCTGCGTTTACGAAGCCCATTACGTGATTTTGTCAGTTAGCATCGGAGTTCTTCAGAGCCACCTCATCTCCTTCTCCCCACCTTTACCCGTACGCTTCCTCATCTCTATCTTGTCCTTTTGTTCTCTAATATAGAGGTTAAAGAACCACAATTTAAATTACTTTAAAACATATGGCAATATAATCCAGTCTCTTTTAAGCTGACTTACTTGAGCTCAGAACACATATATATGTATTTTTTTGATTGACGTAAAGAGCTCTACACTTGAATTGGTTCGATTTAGTTAATTTTCTGGTACAGTGTAGTGTGTTTTGTGTACTAATTCGAGACATAAGCATCAATGCATCTACAGGAAAGAACATATTGTCATCATATTGGGAAAAGAAAAAAGCTTCAAATAAAGCTAATTCTTGAGATAGAGACGCTACAATAATTTAATAATGCATTGCTCAGTGAATTACCATTCTGTATATAATATTGATGAATGTTGTTTAAACTAAACAGCCATCTATTTTTACATCTTTATTGTATTGGTGTGATTTGGCTGTGACAATGTGGGCATAATGCTGTATGGGCTCCAGTAATAGCTTGCATGATAGTCTTTTGTTGGTTTTTAAAATGACCAGTAGAATATGGGAAAATGGGTCCCCTTGAGTTGGATTACCTAATTGGCTCAGCTGCAAGCACAGGTATTGATGAGTAGAATCTGGCCCTCCTATTAAATAAGAATTTTTTTAAAGGGATAATAATTGATTATGGACAGGGTGCAACTATATTAAATGTACTTGATGGATGACCTAAATCTGCGGATGTGGACTGCATGTGTATTAGATCAGTCTTTCTGCAACCAAATCCAAATACAGTGGGCAAAACTTTATGAATCCACAGTATTCTGCCCCATTTAGGACAAATCAAGGGTAATGCCAAGTGTAGTGTGTAGAAACTAAGGTGCATCAATGGTGTCTGCCGTCTTGGTGCATCAATGGTGTCTGCCGTCTTGGTTTTAACTGTTTGGACTGACTACTCATGAATTTGTCATGAAAAGTTGAATATAGGAAGTTGTATTTGTCAAGTGGTTTTGAATTGAAGGTTGTCTGATGTTTCTCTTTAGTTGAAAGTATTGTTTACTTAAAATACACATACTAATGGATTGTAAACTAATGCAACAGAGATGGAAAACAGAGGCCATCTCCAACTGTGACATAATGGTTTACACCAAGGTTTTCTTGAAGTTTCCGCGTAAATTTTGGCCTTGTGGCTCCGGTAAAGAGTTTTTCATCTACGCCCATGAGAAACGAGGATACTACACGTTTTGGCAGGTTAGTAATCTCTATAATTTCACTTTTATGTTATGTTTGAACTATGGTGTAAAAATGTGCATTAGGACATAATAGAAATAATGGTTACTTGAATTGTTGCTGATCTACTGATTTACAATAATTCATATGCAGTAGAAGTCAAATAGTAAAATGATGCAAACATTAAGTAGCACATCACTGCTACATGCATATAATGCGTCATTGTGGATGATGATAATGTCAATTTGTTTATGTCTATTAAAATTCCTAATAAAACAAAGCTTTCAAGCTCCACGTCTTGTTTCCATGTATCGGATGTGGATTGAAAGAGATGTTCTCCTAGATGCCACCTTTCGCCGTCAGTTTTGTTTATCAGATAAAAAATTGATTTTGTTGATTGATATGGCTCCCATTCTCTGAATGGTGTGAATGATGCGCGAAAGCTCAGTCGAAAATATATTACATTTTAAATTTACATCGAATAGATCATACCGTATGTTCTTGAGTAGGGTAATTGTATAGGTAATAAAGAATATCGATTATGTGTTTTTAGCTATATGTAATCTGGCCAAACTACTGAAGTTCAAATCTAAATTTAAATTTACAGTTTTGGGACATTGCAGCTGATTATATGTTTTTTCTTGATATGTTATCAGCACATGGAGAACGCTTATCCGGGCTCCAATATCCTCGTTGTAACATTGACCAATGGAGAATCAAAGCGAATTGAAGCGCAATCCGACCAAGAAACTATGAAGGAAGCAATGGAAGTGCTAAGAAACATGTTTGGGCAGCATATCCCCGATGCCACAGACATACTTGTTCCGCGATGGTGGAATAGTCGCTTCCAACGTGGCAGCTATAGTAATTACCCGATCGCTGGGAATCAACAGCTTGTAGACGACATAAAGGTTTGGACCCTCTACATCATTTCATCGCCAAAAGCAGTAATACTAAGCGGCTGGCACTTGTTGTTGCAGGCATCCGTCGGACGCATATTTTTCACAGGCGAACATACAAGCCAAAAATTTAACGGATTTGTGCACGGAGGCTTCCTTTCAGGTTATAACCATCACGATCTTTCTCAGCAGTACAACATATCGTTACGGATGCTCAAGAAAATAATCTTCGAATATTGAACAGGGATCGATACTAGTAAAGCTCTGCTCAAAGAAATGAGGACATCGGCGAGGGACAAGAAGGGCGAAAATCAATCTAATTTCTTGATAGAGCCTCTGATCGCATTGACGGGAACTTTAGCTCAACCAGATGCTGCTCTACCCGATCTCCACAAGTTCGACATCCCCAGACGGCAGATGTTCGTTCATACCAGTAAGTTGGGCGTTGGAGAGGCTATACTGTGACACGACAAAAATTTTCGCCCGGGAAATGAATATTTTCTTAACAACCTGACTGACTGCTGATTGATGACATTTGCATTCATAATCATTCCGGACATGAAAACGATGATCGGTACCGGAAAGGAAAGCGAAGGGTACAGAGCTAGGTTTGTGTAGGTAACATAATGGTGGTGAACTCCAGATTTTCGTCACTTTGATTTCTACATTATTGTTTTGATGTACAGAAGTCGTTATTCGATTTGCTTTAGATGAAGGAATTTCTTGTTTGGAGTTCATTTGATTACAAATTTATTTATTGTGTGAGAAGCAATGTGCCTGTGGTGTGTTGACTCTTGCCACTTTGCGCGTGTTACGATACTATGTTGCCGAGGATGATCATCGATGTAATAATTGATCATCGATGTAATAATTGATCATCTTTTCGCCATCATATGTTCTGACTGAAAAAGTGATATGCTAAGCTGCATACCAAATGTGAAAAAATTGCGATATTCAATACATGATATTATATAGTTGTATTTTTTAAAAAACTTTAATAAGGTCTTTTCAAGGTTTATAACTTATTGAAATGAAATTGAATAAATTTTGCAAAATATTTAGATTGAATGTTTGACTTTTTGTAAGAAAATAAAACATATAAATTATATACATATATATATATTGAGAATCGTATCAAGTAAAAAATTGTTGGACAAACAAATCCATAGATATTATTGTTACATATATTATATTCTGTCGGTCAAATTTATTCTTATATTTTTATTTTTTTTCGTTAAATATAGTTCATTACTAATTTTTTGGGAAGAAAAATATAATTACTAGTGTTACATATATTGTACATATGTTATGACATTCTTATTTTAGGAGGGAAAATATAATTACTATTGTTATATATATATATTATAATAAGAGTATTTTGGGAGGGAAAATATAATTACGTATTGTTGTTACATATATTATACATATCTTATGATAAGAGTATTTTGGGGGAAAAATATAATTACGTATTGTTGTTACATATAGTATTTTGGGAGGAAAAATATAATTATAAAGGTTGTAAATATTATTTTGTCCTATGCTCAAGCATCTATAAATATCACTTGAACAATTTTTTGTTTTTTAAGACATACAAGCAAGGAAATAAGATTTATTTTTCTAATGGCTAAATTTATTTGCTTCCTCCTGTTCTTCACAATTTTTGCAGCAGGCAATAATTATATATATTAATTGCATTATTCTTTTAAAAAATATTAGAAATAATTTATTTGAAATCTACGACAAACTTTAGAGATTTGAATCCATTGTGTTATCAAACAAATCGGATATTGGAAAATAGAAAAGTTTGCAACATAATTATTTTGTTATTTCTACATGAAATTCTATATATATTACAATTACAAGTTTACATATATACATATATATTATTGATTATTATTTTATTTTTATTTATTATTATTATTATTATTATTATTTTGCAGTGGATTTTAAGATTGGTTACAAAGATTTCTTCAATTTTGCCGATGCCGCGGATTGTTACCATCTTGCTAGAGGAAGCCCGGAATGTTTTCCAGGGAACAAAGAGAAGTCATTGTGTTTACCGTTATGCATAAAAGATTGTGGTCCGAATATTACAGCACATTGTTTGGACAGTGTTAATCCGTCTCGGTGTTATTGCCAATATCAAGCCCCGAACTGCGCTCAAGCTAGACGTTGCGGTTGATCATATTTTAAACTTTTGATTCAAGTTTTCGAAATAATTGATCGTTCTTGAAATATACATGTGAGAATCGAAGAAAATAATAATAATTATTAATGAATATTGTATGTGAACTTTGAATCGTTTTACTTATATTTTATCTAATATTTTCTCTATTCAATGTTTAGACATATTTTGTATAAATAATAAATGTGGTTTTTATAATAAAATGGGGAAATATAAATTACATAGTAAAAAAATTACAACATATGTATTCATCATATTCAATCAATTAAGAAATTTATTGTGTTTAGTATGATTAAAAATGTATACAATAATATTATTATTGTTGGGATATGAAGTTGATTATAGATTTTAGAGATATGATTTGGATATTATTGTCGGCTTAGACTATAAATATCCATGTATTCTCACTTTAACATGGGCTGAGTACTTTAGTAGAATTACTGGTTTGGCAGCGCTCTCAGACGTAAATCATCTTGATCGAACTAGATTACCAAATTCTTATGTTCTTTTGTCTTTGTTGTCTCATCTTGATTTGATTTCGTTGGGAATTTCCTTACCAATTACAATAGAATAAATCTTAGCATTCAAATATATATCTAATATTCAATCACATCCAAGAGGTTTTTTTATATTAGTTAATTAATTACTTAATTTAATATATATGAGATTTTATGTATTATAAATGCATAATGAGCTAAACTAAATTATTAAATTTTTATTTCGAAATTTCAATTATTTCTATCCATTATGTAATTTTTAAAAAAACCCCGAAATCCATATCAAAATTCTATAAATTCAAATATATACAAATTTAAGGGTTCGTTTGCCCAACATATTTTTATTCGGCATAATTCTCAATCTATATAATATATATGTTTTATAATGTTATAAAAATTAATATTCAATATAATATATTATTTTTTTATATTACCGATATGATTTTATATACTTTACATTAAAAAAAAAATCTCAAATCAAAACACTAACAAGCAAATAATTAAAATAAAAATTTCAAAATCTAAATTGTATGGGCGAATCGTATAATTAGTTATCATAATTTTGAAGGAAATTATTAAATATAATAATAGTAATAAACAAGAGAGATAAGTCTGTAATTAATAAAGGTTAATCAATTTTGGGTAAATTATATAATAACATTGTGTTTTTAAAAATGCACAAAATACTATGTATTTTATTTATGGTGTGAAATTCCTATGTTAAATTAAAGTATGCATAAAATATTTTTTTCTTAAAAAAACAACTAAGTATATTAGTTTTATATAAATAAAAAAAGTAAAATATTTTAAATAATATTTTTTTTGAATAAAATAAATAAAAAAATTATTTATCAACCATCTATTTAATAATTTTTTTAGACAAACTGTTATCTTTTTTTTTTCAAAAAATATAAAATAAAATATTGATCAATATTTTATTATTATTTTTTTATGCAATAAGACTATTTAAAATATTTAACATTTTTTTGGCATAATGTGCGCGTTTGCAATCAAATATTAGTTTTGAGTGAAAATAATGTTTTGTACATACTTGAATTTAACATAAATACTTGGTGCAATAAATAGAATACAAAATATTTGTACATTTTTACTAAAATATATAAAAAAAAATATAGTACAATTTACTCTATCAATTTTTAATCACAAAGGGCAATGGTAATAAGTTTTTTAAATTACCATAAATAGTAACAAGTTTTTTTAAAGGAAAAATTTTAAGATAATATCATTGTAGATTCTATAAAAAATTTCAAACATCTATAAATACCATTTGAACATTTTTTATTTTTTATTTTTTTCAAAACATACAAGGCAAGAAAATAAGTTTTATTCTTCTAATGGCCAAGTTTATTTGATTTTATTCTTCCTTCACTTATATACCATGTTTGTTTACCAATTTCAAAAATTATTTGTTTGTCATGGTATTCAATAATTATTTAATTAGTTTCCAATGTGACCATTCAACTTACCAAACAACTTAATAATTTATCATTATCTTATTTAATTTTATTTACTCTGTATCTCAAATTTTTAGTATAAAAGTAAGACATGTGTTTATATATAATTAAAAAAAAAAAGTAAAAAATAAAGCAAAGATAAATTCGATAGCAGTGAAAATGAAAAAGATTTCAGTATATCCATTTTTGTTATTTCTTATAATCGTTGCTTCAGGTATATATTGTACATATACACTTACCTAGACATATATTTTTATAAATTAATATTTGAAATGTTTTGTATTATAATTTAATTTGTACAGTCGACTTGAATATCGATTCGAAGGATTTCTTCAATGTCGCAAATGCTTAGGATTGTTATCATCTTGTTAAAGAGAGTCCGGAATGTTCTCCGGGGGACGAAGAGAAGACAATATGTTTGGCGTTATGCATACAAGATTGCGGACAAAATATTACGGCCCGTTGTTTGAACACTGTTGCACCGTCGAGGTGTTATTGCGAATTTCAAGCCCCCGACTGCTCCCAAGCCCGTGTTTGTGGTTGATCATTTTCTAGCTTTGGTTCATTTGTTGTAACTATATGACAATCCATCTTTTTTAGAATAAACATGTCATGTCGGGATCAAAGAAAATAACTATGAACAAATGTTGATGTCGAGGCTTGAGAATTTCACGATCTTGAATACGTGCCTTCTCTGCCGGTGAGCCACCAACGTACTTGGCGCCAGTGGCTGAGTTAGAAAAAAATTTGGCGGGAAACCGTAAATTATATATATATATAATATAATAATTTTAAAACTTATAATATAATTAAGATTTTAAAAAAATTTACAATCACATGTATTAAGATTTGTGAGATTATTTTTCTATATAAATTTATACTATCAAATATATTAATTGATTAAATATTAATTGATTAATCAACATTGATGGAAACAATGATTTGCTAAACTATATACGAAATTTGGAGGAAATTATTAAATAATAATAATAATAAGAGAGATAAGTTTGAAATTAATTAGAAAATGGTAATAAATAATATTAAATTTTAATTACCTAGAAAATCAATAGATTAACTTCCATTAAATAAAAACAAGTATTTTCCAAGGGAAAAACTTTTGGATAATATCATTCTAGATTTTGTAATATTTTCAAACATCTATAAATACCAATTTAACATATTTTTATTTTTCAAAACATACAAGATAGATAAGAAAATAAATCTTATTTCTCTAATAATGGCTAAGTTTATTTGCTTCATTGCCTTCTCCACGATGTTTGCAGCAGGTAATGAATATTAATTTTATTCTCTTTTTAGAATTTGTGTTTCAAAAAACAATACTATTATTTGATTTTATTCTTATTTCACTTATATACCTACCATCTCTAGTTTACTAATTTCCGAAAAATAAATATTATTTGATGAAAGATTATTCTACTTATCATGCTATTACTATTTGATTGTCCTGCGAATCTCTCATTTTTGCTTGGCCCGTCAGGACGAGTCCCGTTTGAATATCAGAGAGAATATTAAGAATGTACTGATGTTTAATTTGTCGTGATTAATATTTAATGATGAGTGTATGCAGTGGCCGTGCTGATGATTTCTCGAGTCGAGGCAGACAAGCAATGTTTGCATACTCCACAACCTAATGTCAAATGCAGTCCGGGCCCTGACGTTGGCAACATATG